TGTGTGCCCTGGTAGAGAGAGGACTCGTGATCACCTTTATGTGCGTTTTGCATGAGATACTTACTATCCGGTTGAATCTGCCTTAGTCCAATGAGAATCTTTAATGTGTATATTTATACTTATTGACTATGTAGCTATTATATGAGTTAGCTATAGAGGTGTAGTTTCTTCAGGTTTCTATTTGAGTTGTCGTAGAAAGGATTTGTTCGTGGGTTTTGACCCACCTTTGTTAATTCTTTCAGGTCATCGTTAGCAGCATGATTAACAATTGTCCGTGCAAATCAGAGACTTGGCATCATCACTCTTCTGGTATCATCGACGTATGATTCTATCTTCTGATTAGTTATTTCAGTTCTAGACAATTATTTATTTTTCAGTTATGGGATTTTATTATGGATCCATATTTGAGGATTCTCGAATTGTATTCTTTTGGAGAATTAATTTTGTTCGGATTTTATTATTTATCATTGAGGATTAATGGATTTTATTTAGAGGGTATTTATTTATTAGATTTCTTTTCAGCTTTATTATTTCTTTATAATTTATCTTTTTATAATCCATGTTTATTTATTATTAATTATTTGATATTCCCTTCGGTCTCATGCACGTACCTGATCAACCAGTGTTCCGGAATCGATGAGTATCACACAAGAAGCCCACAAAAAATGCAATATTTTTTCCTTTGCTCGAATGTTCCAAAGGTGCTTCCACACTTAAGACATAACATCTTGGTCAGAAAAGGACCAACATGGAAATGATGAATGGGACAAACTTCATTGAGGTGTAATGTGACGTTATAGGCTGATTTGACAAAGAAAGAATCGCTACTAGTGAACGCTCATATCTTTTTATCCAAACTAGCAAATTCACTAATAGGAATTATTTGGATAAGCATACAATCTTCATGGCCAAGATATTGATGCAATAGAGAACAGTTCCAACTCTTAGTATATGGATCAATTAGGTGGAAATTGTTTGCACGCAAGTGTAGTGTCATGTGTGTAAGATTCATAAATTTACTTAAAAGCAAGTGTAGTGTCATGTGTGTGCAAGATTCATAAATTTACTTAAAATCAAGTTACAATTTTGCTTAGGGAAAAAAAAAAAATCAAATTAGAACAACATGTGTTTTGGTTACTTGAAAATTTACTAGTTAACTATCTATTAGAAGAGATTTTTATTTATTTTTGTGTTTTATATCATTTTGCACGGTGCAAAGGTCCATCTCTAGTAGAATAAAAAAATTATTCAATTTCATTCATAAATTGCCATATAATTAAGTATATCCGCTTTATTCAACTTTTTAATTACATGATAGTTTGAAATTGGCCCGGACCACACACAGTCTCAGATTGTATATGAAAGTACATTACATTATTTATTTTTTCTTTTTTTCAATTTTTTTTCTTCTACATTTCAGAACCAAACAGCAATAGATTTCATTGTGAACACAACTTGGTCATTCCCCAACTGCATCTCCACTTTAATTCCTAAATTGTTCTCAATGTCCTAACCATGCCCATCAAGAAAAGACAAAAAGCTATGGACTTCATCTCCAATAGGTGTATACAACTACAAACACACCATCTTTTACCTTGCAGGTTACCCACCCCTAGTACCTTGGCACAATCTGGTTTGGCAATCCCACACAATCCCATGAATGAAGTTCAACCTATGGCTAGCAGTCCAATCAAGATTAACTACACTGGACTCCAAATCCATGGCACATCACTGGAACATATGTGCTTTATGTATTACCTCCCCTGAATCTCATGAGCACATGTTCTTTAATTGTTGTTTCAATTCCCCAATTTAGAGATACATCCAAGACAAATGCCACTTCTACACCACTATTCAAAATTGGGAAATTTTGGTGTAGACATTTAGCATCACTTGGAAGGTAATTCTCCCGCAAACATGCTATGTAAGTTTTGTCTTTCCTCGGTGGTGTATCACACTTGGAAATAGCATAATTAGCAGATCTTTCAAAGGAAGAGAGTGTCTCAGAAAGTTGTCCTTGCATCAATTTGTTACACCATTACCTCAATTCTCAAACTGGGATTTCTTAAGGATTGCACAGCTTCATGATGCATTCTAAGTGATTGGAACCTCCTGCCGTCTTGTTGTCATCCACGGCCACATCCACGGAACCGAAATCTTCAGTCCTCGTTTCAAAAGAGGGCTAGGTCTTCGTCACTAGATTTATTAACTAATACCCTCCACTAACAATTAAATTAGTCCGTTAATTGTGGTTATTTGTTATAGGTTGGTTTAGGCTAGGCCCTTGTTATTGCCCATTTGGGCTTCTTTCCCACAATATGTGGGTTGTTATAGCCAAAGGCCCACCATGTACTTATTCATTATTTATAGGGTAAATTACACAGACACCCCCTGAGGTTAGGTTATTTTTCAGTTAGATGAAGATTTTGGTTTTAACTTTCACTTACACCCTAATTTACTTTTTGGCCTCTAACACATGCAAATTGACACTTTTACCCTTAATTTTTTAATACAAAATATATATAATCCTAAATGACAAAAGGCCCCTATATAGTGTGTGTGTGTATATATATAAACACTGTTTGTACAGGCCCAAATCGTCACCGACCAAATCGTGATCGTCGCCGTGCAACGCCGCCTCCACTTGAATCACTGGCTCACTATCGTACATCACCGCCGACCTCGAAATTTAGATCCTCACCGTTGGCAAATCAGTCGTCGGTCATCATGCAACTTGGTCCGCTTCACCATTTCCGCTGGTTTTCACGTTGATGGAGCTGCAACTGGGTATTTCTTCACTGTCCAGTTTGGTCACTACCGTTGGGTCATTCATGCTTATGAAACTGGGTCACCGAAATCTTCACCTCTTTCGCCGTCGACAAGCTCAAACCCACTAACCTCTCGACCTATCAAAACCCTAGCTTCTCATGGAGGCGAAGTTTAATCATGGCAGCGACGAGGTTCAGGTTTAATCACGGCTTAATCACGGTTACGACGTGGTTCATGGGCTGGGTTTCAGTTGGGTCTTGTGGCTGGGTTTTGTTTTGGGTAGGAGCGGTGGTGTTAGAGGTGTTGGGTGGGGTTGTGGTGATGGAGGTTTTGGGTGGGTGGGTGGGTGGTGGTGGTGGTGGTGATGGAGGTTTTGGGTGGGTGGTGTTGAAAGCTCTTCTAAATCAAACCCAAATTGTTACGCCAATCACTCACCGATTATATTACTTTAATTCACGAAAACTCGCCAAATCTTCGAACCATTGTTAACCAAATTAATTTCCGGCGACCACAAACCCAACCAAATTAATTAAACCGTCATCTTTTTCAGCAGATCCCTATGAAAAAAAAAAAAAAAAACAAACAAACAAACAATTTTATTAAAGAAACACAACCACTTGCTTGTGAAATTGTTTGGTCCAGGTATCATGAATCAGTTTTCAAGGAATTTGTAAATAAGCAAATTTTTAACTCAATTCTCATAAACTATTAATGAAACAAAATTTTGAATTTGCTTGAAGTTGATGGATAAGGTAGTGGCTGCTACAACCAGGTGGTGTGGTTTGAACATTTCAATGGCTGGAAGAGTAGAGTTGATAAGGATTGTGATTACTGATCTTGTTTATTATTGGTCCTCTGTTTATACTCTTCCTGTTTTTTGGCACGCTCTTTGCTGAAATGGGGGCAAACCTAGGTGGTCTAACCACTCTGCCTTGGTGTTGTCTGATGCCGTCCTTACCAACTATGTATTACAGAGGAGAGGAATCTCATTGGTTTCAAGATGTGTGATGTGTAAGGTACATGTGGAAACTACGTATCATTTGGTCTGCAAATGTGAGCTTACCTGGAAGATTTAGTCTAGTCTGACGGGTTTACTTCATTACATCGTCCAAGGATCTGAATCTCTTCTAGAGTTAGCGCATAATTTATCTCAAGCATTAACTTCGAAGACCAGCAGGTATAAGATAATGAGGTTGATTTTCACAGCCAGTTTATACTTCATTTGGCGTGAGAGGAATGCTAGGCTTCATTTCATATAGGCAGTCAGCAGAGATTGTTAAATGCATTGCTTGGGAGGTGTTAGATATATTGGGGATGTGCCTCCAAGATATTATTTAAAATTTTGGACATTTATTTTCAGGTGTTGAGTGTTAGCTTTGTTTTGAGGATTAGTCCTTTTGCTAGGGACGTTTTTTTTTTTTTTTTTTTTTTTTGGAGGGTATGCCCTTTCTTCTTCTCTATACCATATTGTTTATATATATAAAAATTTTCTCCGATTAGGAATAATTAAAAAAAATTAAATTGTACAAAAACCTACTTGATTGATACTTTTTGAAAATTGTTTTTTAGAAAACCAGTTAAAAAAATGTGTGTTTTCAGAAAATCGTATTTTATATAGTTCTCTAATTGTGAAAACTGAGTAGGGGTGACAATTCGTGTTCGTAGGTCATAATTGTGTCGTGTTGACCTAAAGATATTATACTTGATACGACCCATTTAATAATTGTGTCAGGAATCCTCAATATTAAGACACAAATTAGATATCATGAAAAGAGTAAATTATAAGACACAAATTAGATATCATGAAACCTAAATAGAAAAAAGTTGACACATATTATTAAACGAATATAAAGTATAAACGAATTAAACAGGTTGAACTTGTCAGCTCAAACACAACACAATTAATTAAACGAGTTAATAGTATCTATCCTTAAATCTTCAATCATCGCAACTTGGTCATCAATTATATATATATCTATAGAAGGGCGAATGTAGGGGTGGGCCCACCAATTTTTTTTTTTTTTTTTTTTACTATACTAATTTTAGCCCAGCCAATAAAATAAAATAAAAAAAAAATATATTAATAATATTAGCCCACCCAATCAAGCTCAAGTCAACTCAGCCACCATACTAAATAAAAGGCCAAGCCTAACAAGCCCAGGCAAAATTTATGGCGCCTCAAAATTTTTAGGCCCATGGATGATGGGCCACCAGAAATTTTTTATTTTAGGGCCAATCATTTCAGCCTCCCCAATCGCCTCCATCTCTATCTATTCTCGTTCTCGACTCTGAACTTTTCCCCCTCTCTCTGCAACTGCAAACTACAAAATCTACAAGAATCAGAAGTTAAAAACCCATATCGGCATATCGTTTCAGATTGTTCAAAAAATCAAAACCCATATCTTTCAGTTTCAATCGCCCGCTGTTCCAGTTCGGGTTCGCCGTTCGCAAGCTTCAGCCGCTGGCCCGCTGTCTCTCAACTCTCAAGCTTCCCCCTCTCTCTCCCTCTGCAACTGCTAACTTGTATGTATGGGTTTTGTTTTAAATTTTTTTCTAAATCAACTAATCGAGGTCTGTAATTCTTGTTTTGCAAACTAAATCCTATTTGGTGAAATTTTTTATGATTTTTTATATATAATTTTTTTTTTTACAATATAAAGTAACAAAATTTGCATTGCATTTTGAGGTAATCACCGTAATCTACATTTTATTTCAGCAAAACAAATATATACATTTTTTATTTCTATAACTTCTGTTTCTGTTTTTTTTTTTTTTTTTTTTTTGTCGTCAATTATGTCTATAAGAAAATTTCAATCTGGGCATGAAAAAGGAAAAAAAAAAGAATCTGAATTGGAATAGAAATCTGCAGAGATTGAATCTGAAACAATTTTTTATCAACATGCCAAGCTTTTTGAAGATGGAAATCTTTTCAGAACTTAAAAAAACAAATGTATTAGGACTTCAGAGTTAACAGAGCTGATGACTTATCCCTGTCACTCTCTCTCCCACTCTTTCTTCACCCTTCTTCAGCAATACACCCAACAGAGAAACCTTCAAAAAGGCCGAGCTTTACATGCGCACATAATCAAAATCCTCTCATCTTCCTGCGTATACACAGCGAACAGTCTCGTCAACTTCTACGCCAAGTGCGAACGCTTTGTCGAAGCCAAGCTTGTATTCGAAGAAATAGAGGACAAAGACGTGGTCTCATGGAATTGTCTCATCAATGCCTACTCTCAACAGGGTCTCAGAGGTTCGTCCTTCGTCATGCAGCTCTTCCAGCGAATGAGGGCAGAGAATTCCTTCCCAAATGCCCACACTTTTGCCGGCATTTTCACCGCCGCAGCCACTTTGTCGCAGGCCTTTGGTGGACAGCAAGCTCACTCGCTCGCCATTAAAACGGCGAGTTGCTCCGACGTCTTCGTGGGCAGCTCTCTGTTGAATATGTATTGCAAATGCAGCCTTTTGGGCGATGCTCGCAAGGTGTTTGATAGAATGCCGCAGAGAAACTCGGTTTCTTGGGCCACAATGATTTCTGGGTATGGGACGCATCGGCTTGCTGGCGAAGCTATGGAGCTTTTCAAGTTGATGATGCATCAAGGAGAGGAGGGTTTGAATGAGTTTGTGTTTACTAGTGTTCTTAGTGCCTTTGCGTTTCCCAAGTCCATTAAAAATGGTAAGCAAATTCATTGTATGGCGCTTAAAAATGGATTGTTGTCAATTTTATCTGTTGGAAATGCTATTGTCACTATGTATGCAAAGTGCGGGAGCCTAGAAGATGCGCTTTGCACATTTGAGTTGTTAAGCAATAAGGATTCTATTACATGGTCTGCAATGATCACTGGCTATGCACAATGTGGAGAATGTGAAAAGGCCTTGAAGCTGTTCTCAAACACGCATTTTACTGGGATGAGGCCGAGTGAGTTCACCCTTGTTGGGGTCCTTAATGCTTGTAGTGATATTGGTGCTGCTGTAGAAGGAAAACAGGTGCATGGTTATTTAATAAAGTCGGGTTTCGAATATCAATTATATATAATGACAGCTCTGGTTGACATGTATGCTAAATGTGGTGGCATAGCTGATGCTCGGAAGGGATTTGATTATTTGCGAGAACCTGATATCGTTTTATGGAGTTCTATGATTGGAGGGTATGTACAAAACGGGGAAAATGAAGATGCTTTGAGTTTGTATTGTAAAATGCAAATGGAGGGTATCTTGCCCAATGAGCTAACTCTGGCCAGTGTCCTAAAAGCATGTTCGACCCTTGCTGCTTTGGAGCATGGAAAGCAAATCCATGCCTGTACCATTAAGCATGGATTTGGTCTTGATGTGCCAATCGGAAGTGCTCTGTTGACTATGTATGCGAAGTGTGGGAGCCTCGAAGATGGCAATCTAATCTTTAGGAGGATGCCTGCGAGGGATGTTGTGTCATGGAATTCAATGATATCCGGCCTCTCTCAAAATGGATGTGGTAGAGAAGCCCTTGAACTTTTTGAGGAGATGCGATTGGAGGGAACAAAGCCAGACTATGTTACTTTTGTGAACATTCTTGTTGCTTGTAGCCACATGGGTTTGGTAGAGAGAGGTTGGGTCTATTTTAAAATGATGTCTGCTGAGTTTGGTATAGTCCCAAGAGTGGAGCACTATGCTTGCATGGTTGATATCCTAAGCCGTGCTGGGGAGCTTAATGAAGCTAAAGAGTTTATTGAAGCAGCAACTATTGAGCATGACACATGTTTGTGGCGAATTTTATTAAGTGCATGTCGGAATTATCGTCACTATGATCTGGGAGCCTATGCAGGAGAAAAGCTAATGGAGTTGGGCTCACAAGAATCATCTGCGTATGTCTTGTTATCGAGTATCTATACTGCGTTGGGCAGGAAGGAAGATGTAGAACGGGTCAGAAGGTTGATGAACCTTCGAGGGGTGAGTAAGGAGCCTGGGTGCAGCTGGATTGAGCTGAAGAGTCAGGTTCATGTTTTCGTTGTTGGGGACCAGATGCATCCACAAATTAAAGAAATACGTGAAAACATACAAAAATTATACAAATTAATGAAGGATGAAGGATACCAGCCTGCTTCTGATTCATTTTCTGTTGGTTCTCAAAGATGAGGTGATGAAGAAATTATAACAAGGAGCATGCAGTGAGTTAATAAAAAAATTATAGCAGTACTCTTATCTGATTGATATGCCTTCTATGTAGTTAAATCTTTGATGAGTAAATGTGCGCCTTCTGATTTTAGCAACATATAACTCCTAACTTCTATCCAATTTGTTTATTTTCTTGCATTGCAGCTGTTCATATTCTATTTGATCCTTAGAGGCCCAACAATGAAGGTGAGTCTTGTTATAATAACCCTACATTTGCTGTTTGGCCTGTTTCTCTTATCTCTTTGGTATCGATGGGATTTAAGGATGAAGGTTTCCAACCTATTTCTGATTCATTTAAGCAAGTTTCCTGAGTTTGATCATTGGAGGACTCAACAATTAAGGTGTGACATTTGTCATAATAACCTTATATATTCTGTTGCTCCTAAATTTTTGCATCTTATAGAATTTATGTCCAAGTAAAGTAGATATCCATTTCTGAAGTCTTACTTCACTGGATGCCAATATTTCAACTTGCATTCGTATGTCCATTACATGGAAATAAGATAGACCCGACTTTATGTATTTTCCTTTTGTTGCACTAAGTGGCTGATCTCAGGTTTGAACCTGCATTCTTATATTTGTCACTTGTCAGTATGAGTTCTTAGTACCATTGCCAATCTTAAGAATCAGCATATCATATTTCATTCTTCTTATACCCTCCGTTCTTCTTATACTTTCACTCATATGAACTTAATGATCTCAATCACTCAATGAAGTTGTGATTCTTGTACAAAATTCATTAGGGCATGGAACATATTGCTTATTGGTTTGCCTGTATATAGAATTTTACTGGTTCTTAGTACCATTGCCAATCTTAAGTATCAGCTGATCATATTTCATTCTTCTTATACTTTTTACTCGCATGAACTTGATGATCTCAATTACTCAACAAAGTTAGATTCTTATACAAAATGCACTAGGGCATCGAACATATTGCTTATTGGCTTGCCTGTATATAGAATTCCACTTGCATCTGTATGGTATCTTAAGATTTCCCCTCAAAACTCATTTTTCCTGAGTGTTTTGGTTGTATCTTAAGATTGCCTGTTTGTGGAAACCATATGCTTTCTGAAAGTGTTAGTGTTTTTCTACACTAATAATGTGCTCCATTGGCTACTTACTTTAGGTTGAATAGAATTATGCTAACGCAACAAAAACATTTAGCAGGCTTGAATTATTACAGCAATTGTGCAGGTACTTCAGAGCTCTAAGTAAAAGGTTTATGCTCTACATGTAAGTTTGGTTACAGAAAATGTTAATGATTGCTCAAAAAAATCGATCAACATTTATACATATAACTATTGATTTCCCCTGCCACCTCAAGTAATTTTTTCCTTCTTCCTTTTGTGCAGGATTGGCTTTTGGCTATGAAGGTGCTGTCACTACAACAGAATGCAGCTGTTGGGACGCCACCCTTTTCCAACGCCCAGATATTAGTTGGAAAAACCCCTCTTTTAGTGACTCCAATTTGTAGGCGTCGGAAATAAGGGGGGTCAATTCCGTCGCCCACTGGTGGGGGTCGGAAATACATCTTTCCCTCCCTTTTTTTCACCTCTCCGCCTTTCTTTTTTGGGCAGAAACGATAGCGTTTAGGTTGAATTGATTTTTTATGATGCTAAGGGGCGTTGCAAAAATCTAAACGACAGCATTTGGGTTAAATTGGTTATATTATTATTTTTATTATTTAATTTTTTTCCAGACAGCGTTTGGGTTAAATTGGGTTAAACGACAGCGTTTGTCCACTGTCTTGTTGGGGTCGCCAAAGACATTTCCCCAAATTAAACATACTCCAGTAGAGCTCACGTTTTGTTCATCAACGGTCAAGCATTTCATCGTTTGCCAAAGCATTTCAATCGTCGATCAAGCATTTCATCAACGATCATTTGCATTCTGTTCATCAAGCACCTCGTCCTCGATCATTTGCTTTATTTTCATCCAGCACTTCATCATTTGCAATCTATCAGCTGAATTTAGTTTCAAAACGGTGAGTTTCGTCAAGCAGTTCACCGCTCTCTGTTCAATTATAATTGATTTACTTTGAATCTGATCAATTTATAATGATTAATGTGTGTGTTGGTGAATTTATTAGAAGAGTTTGTGAATTTTTTTGCTTCAATTTTGGCCTTCAAGGCTTTTGGATGTAAAATTAATGTTTTGCTCAAATCAGAGTTTGTAAAATCAGAGTTTGTCTTTTGGATGGTTTCTTCGCTGCATCATATTATTGATTTCTACCTGTTCATTGTATTATTGCTGCATCGTTAAGCTACTCACTGGGGTGATTTCTACCTGTTCATCGGGTAAATAAAAATAAAGTAATATATTATTCCCATTCTTATTATTTTCTAACAAATAACTTGTAAATCTAAAGGTATTATTGATTTTAGTAGGTGATTTGAATTCTGGCTTAAATTCAAATCCAATACCAGTAAAGTATGTTGTCATACCAAAATTTGAGGATCTGTTCTTTCTTTTTCCCCAAACAATTGTTGCCTTTCCTACGAACCTGATTTCTTTTTTTCTTTTGTTCTCGTATGAAGTTTTTTACTTTATTCATTGCTGCCAAGTGATATTCATGTTGTCTAAGGGCTTTCTCGTTTACTTGCATTTGCTAAACTGTTTCTTTTGAACTAAAACAACTCATTGTAGAGGGAGAATATGGATTAGTTGGATTTAACTTTGTTGTAGTCAGAAGTTTTTCTATTCAATTCAGCATTCAATTGTTGGGGAAAAAATTAAAATCCAATAGCAGCAAAGTATATTGTCATACCAAAATTTTAGAAAATGATTTTGCATTTGTCGATCTAATTGCATGATATGTTCATCTGTTGGGAAGGCAAAAAAATTCCAGAAAATGATTTTGCATTTGTCGGTCTAATTGCATGATATTTTCATCTAGTCCTTGCATCATGGTAAGCGTATTTAAAACAGTCTTGCTATATTTGGGAGCACCAAGTGGGAATTTAGAATTGGAAGAAATTTATTTCAAACTTCAATTTGGAATTGGAGAAAATTAAGTTCAAACTTAAAACTAAAATGTCCTCCAATTCCAAATTCAAGTCTCCGATTCAGTGCTACTAAATACAATATCAATATAAATATGATGAATTCAAGAAGCTCACAAGTACTATGCAAGAATCAAGTTGATATATCTTTTTTCTTTCCAATTCCTGGGATGCCACTTTTTCTGATGTCTCAAAATTTTGCTTAAGATTAAGGTAAGTTAAGACAATTTGAAGGTAAGTTAAGGAAATTTGTTTGTTGTTTTATGGCTTGATTAATTAATATATTGTTCTATGTGTATTTAAATGGATAAGAGTTGGATGCAAATTCCAACTAGGGTTCATCCACTGTATTTGCAAGGAATAGAAGATTTCATTCAGTTTGCGAGTGGTCATGTGGATGGTTTAAATAGAGCACATTGTCCCTGGCGTAGTTATAAAAATAAGCTAGTAAGGCAACTAAAAGAAGTGGAGGATCATTTTTACAAGTATGGAATGTACAAACAATACACGACTTGGATATATCATGGAAATAGTGTTCAGAACTCAAATAATGATCCAGTCGAGCTTGGTGTTAATGATATAGAAGACCAAAGTGGAAATGCTGACGAGGTGCATGAATACTTGGAAGACATACGGATTGGAGAATACATGAATATTGAACAAGAAGATTTTCAACATAATAGCAGTCTACTTAATATCCCTGAGGGTGAGGGGGAAGGGGGTGCAGATAGGTTTGCGAGATTGTTGTAAGATGCACAATGTGAGGCGTATCCAGGTTGTCAAAAATTCATAAAGTTGTCTTGTATTCTTAGGTTACTCCATCTAAAAGTTATTAATCGATGGACTAACAAGTCACTCACTGTGTTACTTGAGTTTCTTAGAGAGTTGTTGCCAGAAGATGAGATATTGCCAAAATCCCATTACGAGCTTAAAAGAATATTGCGTGATTTGGGACTTGGTTATGAGACGATTCATGCCTGTAAATATGATTGTGTACTCTTTTGGAAGGAATATGAGCATAATGATGAGTGTCTTAAATGTGGTGCACCTCGGTATAAATTCCATGAAGGCAAAAGGAAAAAAGATCCTCGGAAGGTTCTTCGACATTTTCCCTTGAAACCAAGGTTTCAGAGATTGCATATGTCAAGAAAGACTGCAAAAGATATGAGGTGGCATAAGGAAAAGCGTGTCAAGGAGACGAATGTTTTGAAACATCCGGCAGATTCTAGAGCTTGGGAGGAATTTGATAATCAACATGGTTGGTTTGCAAAAGACCCTCGAAACATTCGATTAGGGCAAGGAGCTAATGGATTTAATCCATTTGATAACATGAACAATGCATATAGCATGTGGCCTGTCTTTATTGTAGCATACAATGTGACACCTTGGAAATTGATGAGGGATCCATATGTGTTCATGCTATTGCTTATTCCCGGTCCAAAATCACCTGGAAAGGACATTAACATGTATTTAAGACCGTTGATTGACGAGTTAAAAGAATTGTGGGTGGATGGCATCTCAACTTATGATGCATGTACCAGAAAAAAATTTAAATTGCATACGGCATGTCTATGGACTTTAAGGCTACGTTTGGTGTGCAGGAATGGAATGAAATGCAACTTGGAATGGAATGGAATGGAATGAGAATACTCGTTCCATTGTTTGGTGTGACACGGTGAATCGTTATGGAATTGAATGATTATTACCATTCTATTGTTTGGTTGACCATCATTAAATCTGGAATGGAATGATTTTTTTCAAAAATACCCTTTTCATTGGTTTACATAATTTTTTAATAAAATCAATCTAATTAATATTCTGACGATGAATTATGGAATGATATAAGATGCCATTGAAAAAAATAAAGAAAAACCTTAAAATAAAATAAAATATTATTTTTGACTCCAGATGATTGTTAATTTTTATTTTATGTTATCATTTCTCCATATATAAAAGTTCGAAGAGAGAAAGATGGAGAAATCACACAAACGTTTCATCACAAAGACACTAAAAAAAAAAGAAAAAAAAAAAGAAAAAAGTGATATACTTAGAACATAAAGAGATTAATACCTGCAATTTCATTGAAGGTCCTGCAATTTTTTGTCAATGGCAGCCCTGGGTATATTCAGAAGAGAGGACAGGTGAAAGACCTTTACTAAGTCTAATAAAGAAGCTCGATAAATGTGAAAGATTTTTTTGTCTATGCGAAATTTTTTTACCTTATTGGAATGTGATGAAGGGCTTATTGGGAATATTACAAAAATATTTAATCTTACTATAGAATGGAATGGCCATTCCATAGGTTTAGTAATGGAATGAATTTTCATTCCCTGTAATGAATTTTCATTCAAATGGAATGGAATGTCCATTCCATTCCTGCACACCAAACAATTGAATTGTTGGAATGGGCATTCCATTCCATTCCTGCACACCAAACGCAGCATAAATGAGCTTTGGCGAATTTGTCCGGTTGGTGTACGAAGGGGTATATAGCATGTCCAAGGTGCATCGACGACACATAATCAGTGTGGTTGAAAAATTGTAAAAAGATTAGTTACCATGGTCATCGACGCTGGTTGGATTTGGATCATGATTGGCGGAATCGTTCGAAGCAATTTGGTGGTTATAAGGAGCACAGGTTTCCACCTAAGGAGTTGTCTGGGGATGAGATTCTAGAAAAATTAGAACAATTAGATCATATAAGGGATGTCAATTTCGGGAAGGTACCAAATATTAAAAAGAGGAAACGTACTACAATTGAGCTTAATTGGACAAAAACGAGCGATTTTTTTTAATTACCCTATTAGAGATTGCTCAAGTTGTGACACAACCTTGATATCATGCACATCGAGAAAAATTTCTGTGACAATGTGTTGGGGACATTGATGAATATTGAAGGGAAAACAAAAGATAGTTTGAAAGCTTGTCTAGATTTTACAAGAGATGGGAATAAGAAAAGAATTGCATCTTATCTTTACTCTTGCAAAATATGTGATGCCACCTGAACGTTACACACTGTCAACAGAAGAAAAAAAAAAGTTTTGTGAATGGTTGAAGACGATTAAATTTCCAGATGGATATGCATCTAACATATTTCAGTGTTTTAATGTTGCTGAATACAAAATATACGGGATGAAAAGTCATGACTCGCATGTTCTTCTGCAGCGACTCTTACCAATCGGCATTCGTGGTTGCGTAGATCATGATATTTGTAATGCATTGGCTTAACTTGGCCTTTTCTTTAAAGAGTTGTGTTGTAGGACTTTAAAGGTTGAAGTGTTAGAAGCTCTGGAGAGGGATATTGCTCTTATACTTTGCAAGTTAGAGATGATCTTTCCCCCCTAGCATTTTTTGATATCATGGTTCATCTTGCTGTGCATTTGCCCCGGGAGGCGCTCATAGCTAGTCTTGTACAATATCGATGGATGTACCCTATTGAAAGGTTTTTGTGCACTCTTAAGTCATACATGCGCAACAAAGCACGCCCGGAGGGTTCAATTGCCGAAGCTTACGTGGATAATGAATGCATAACTTTTCGTTCTTTGTATCTCAGTGGAGTTGAGACACGGTTCAACCGTGAGGAATGAAATTATGAGGGAGATCAAACTGTGCAAGGAGCTTCCTTGTATGTATTTAGACTAGTCCTTCGTCCATTAGGTTCCTCAAGTTATGACACATTGGATTTGATGGACATTGATAAAGCTCGTTTGTATGTTTTGAACAACTGCGATGAAATCCAGCCATTATTGAAGTTAGTTAATTTTATTTGAATTTTCGTTTTCAATAATTTTACATCTTCATATATTGTTTATAATCACTTGCATGTAACATTTACAATATATATGGACGTAGAGAATATATGGAACTTTTACCACGACCAGCACAATCTATGGTAGAACGAAGGCATGCACTGAAATTTCCAATTTGGTTTGAACAACGTGTAAGTGTTTATTGCTTTTCTCTATTGTTTCTAATTATATAATTTATTGTATTTGGTAGTAATTATTTGTTAATATATATTGTGTTTATAGATCAAGCAAATGAGACATCTAAAGGACTTGTCAATAAATGATGATACTTTTTCATTGGCATGTGGACCTGAACGACGAGTCAAACGATACACTGGTTGTATTGTAAATGGATCAAGATTTCACACAAAGGATAGGGAGCAAAATCGAAAAACTCAAAATAGTGGTGTATCTGTTAAATGTGAAGGCGTTGAATAGAATGGTGTTTTAATAGATGTAATTGAGTTGAAATACATTCAGGGTAGAAAGGTTTTCATTTTCAAGTGTGATTGGAGGGATGTTACTACAAAGCTGGGTATACACAAAGATCCCCACTTCACTAGTGTTAATGTATCATGTAGATCGTACGAGGATCAGCCATTTGTTCTACCTCAACAAGTCCAACAAGTCTTTTATGTGAAGGACACCAAATTATGGGGTTCGTGGGAGGTGGTTCAGAAAATAACTTGTAGAAGATATTTGATGTTTCAGTGGTTGAAGATGGAAAGGTAGAGGAAGATGAAAGTAACGCTGAGAATGATGCATATCAAGAGTCCGAGACTTGCATTGTTGATGGGGTTGTACAAGATTGTCCAAATATAGATCAATTGTCGTTGAATAGGGATGACATCCCCAGTGATCAGATTGATGTAGAAGTTGTTCACAAGTGTAGGCAAGACACCCATGTGGTTGAAGATGATATTGACAATGAAGATGTAGAATTATTTGATTCCACCACTGATGTGGAAGATACTTTACTACTGATGATGATATTGACGAGAGTGATTGGGAAGAGGGATAGTTTTTCAATATCCACGACTGTTTTTTTTCTGTCTACAATTTTGTCCCAAATGCTTCTCTCTTTCTATAATCTGTCTAAAAAAAAAAAAAATTAGTTAGTCTGTGATTGAATTGCATTCTACAATTTTGTCCCAAATGTTTGGAAGTGGAAATTTCTTTAATGATTTTCTAAAGCCTTTATTCTTGCCCTGTCCACATTGTCCCTTTCTTTATTTTGTTTTTTTTGCTGTTTTACATTTAATTGTGTTGAAGTATTAGCTTTGCTGATGAAAATCAGGTGATAGAATGGTTTGAATTAGATGAAGAGTTGTGGAGCATGGATGAGTTCAGTTCTTTTTTGCATTTAACTGATCAGTATGTGAGGTATGTGTTTGTTAAACTGCAGCATCATTAGAGTACTGTACTGTATTTTCAGCTTTTCGCATGAGAACTTAGTTTACCAAATGTAAATTTCGCGTTCAGAAATGTTTTTAGTTTGTATGATGTACCTAACTTTTGTTAATTATGCAATCTTGGACATGATTTAAAGGCTGCATTTGTTTTTTGCTTTTATAGTGTAACCGTGTGCATTTAGCAACAGCTAAGATGGGTTCGGTTCGGTTCACTTTTGACAAGTATACTCTATATATGTGCCAGATTAATACTTGCTTTTGTAGGAAATCAGTATGTTATGATCTCAACTATCACAATCCAAGTAAATGGCTAGGATTAAATGTGCTGCTAGAAAATATTAATACTGAGGGAGTTCAAAGAGATATGCGGCACTGGCATCCTTAAAATAATTAACAAGATGAATCCCATTGTATCAGAAAGTATAATTCTGGTAAAATTTGTGCTCACAACTAATAGTGGAGCAATTACAATATGCGGCACTGTTTAGTTGCAGTTTATGTATGTTGAGGAGAAATGAATCTATATCATCTTACATGAACCAATGGTGACAATTGTATAATATACTTTACATAAATGATTTGCACGATGTGAAGCTTAAAATGATTGAAAATGTTATTGCAATTATGGCTTCAATCAGTGGTTCATCAAGTATCATTATTTTTTGAAATTAAATATTATTTTACCTGTTCCATCAATTTTCTTTCTAAAAACTGCTTTGCACTTGTTGGTGTTGGCATAGCTAGATTGTTTCAAGAATTTTCAACAAGAAGATATTAGATTTGCTTCCTTTTTATTGACTGTTGTAATGCTAATAACGTGCAGCTTCGACCAGGGTGAAACGACATGGAATTGCAAAAAATGAAAAGAAGTTGCGACTTAAAGATTTTTATGGAGGACCTATTCCTGTTGAAATCAAACCAGAATACATGAAGGTCACCGGGGATAATGCAGGGGTATTTACAGCTGAACTCAGCATTATAGTTCGTGGGAGTGGAAAACTCTTAATTTATGAATCGTGGCCTGATGTTCCAGAAATTGATAAACAAATTATGTATAATGAAATAAAGGTGAAGTGTAAGTGATATAGTTATTTACTTGTGACTTCTTTACTTTCTAAATTGAAGTTGGTTTTCTAAAGTTAGATGTATTATAGGAAGATTTTCAAGTTGATTTCAACGATCCACGCCACAAAGAAGTTGTGGATTTGCAACTTCATACCCGACTCAAGGATTACCAACACGAGGTAAAAAGTTATTGGAATTTGTTTGACCCTGATGAAGCACCTCGAAATCCATATAAAAGTGTTCGGTCTGAAGTTTGGTCAGTATTGTGCAATTGTTTCATGTCTGAAAAGCATAAGGTAATCTCACCTTCCACTTCAGATAAATGATTTTGAAGATTTTGCTGTGATGTTGAGCAATCTGTTAGTTTCAGTAATAGGCTGATTATACTTTCTTTATCAACATGATTAACCATAAAGTTTCCACGATTTGTGTAGGAAATTAGTGAGCAAAATCAACGGAACCGGGCTGCACTACAAGTTCACCATTGTGGCGGAAGCAAGTCCTTCGTGCGGTATATTGAGGAGAAGGTAATAGTTATTGAACCAAATATTCTTTTTAAACATTTGTTTTTATATGTTTCTACAATTGACATATAATAAATCCTTGAACTTTACAGAAAATGTCTCAGAATGGAACTCAACTTCGTTTGGTTGATGTTTATGACGAAACGCATCACAATCCGGAAAAGGGTTGGACATGTGAGAAAGAATTGCATGTAAGAAATGTGTTTTAATTGCAATCTGAAATTTCTTAGTTATTATGCTTTTGCAGGGGGAGCTTAGTCATTTACACAATTTTGATTTTAGAATCAAATCTGATTCATATATTCCATCATCCAAATTTGGTCCTAATTGATTTAGATATGGTGTACCTTAGTTTTTTTTTTTGATAAGTAATAATAAATTAAAAATATAGTGTAACTTAGTTAAAAGAAATAGAGATATGGAATGAGCTCCACTTAGGCCAAGTATAGGACACTCCATTAGTGGCATCAAAAAACTATTTACTGCTTTCTGTGGTAGGTTGCAATCTTTAGTACTGTGATATATAGTATGGTATATGGATATTTTTAGAGGTTTTTCAATGTGTTTTTCAATAATAAATTGTCGTGATTTGTATTTATTTCAATGATATAGTATTACATAACAGGCCATAATTAGAAGGCACATTCACAACCCTTTCAGCACATGCATGACATGCACTAACCATTTATGCTTGCCTACAACATGTACCTTGTGACAAACATGCTATGCTCATGCCTCCACATGCATCTTTGTGTCCTTTGACTTGCTGTGTAGTGTTTGTGGCCGTAATATACTCACATGTATACTAATATTGTCAGATCTTTTTTAGTCGTCTGTAGATAATAAGTGAGCCATAAATGAAAGTATAAGCTAGAAAGCTAGGACACCGGCAAGTAACAAAGGTAGGATTATTCTAATGCTAATTTTGAGTTGTTGATGTCCAAAAACTTGCAATCCAAGTCCAACATGTAATCTTGAACACCACAGAATTGACAAGAATACAGGGGGAAGAGGGAAGAAATAGTACTAATAACTGAAAAAAAAAATGGTAAAAAAATTCAGATTATTGGTAGTTCATTAAACAAACAAGCTATGAATCTAAATCCCAAGAATGATCAATGCTTTATCTGTAAATTCCATGACATTAATGTTGCATTTGGTATGATCCCGAGTTTTGATGGGAGCATTGGCTTGGGGGAATAAAAAAGAAAGAAGTAAAGGGCATTTTTGATTCACAAATTTCTAATAATAAAACAGTAAATGATTTGGATATTTGAAAATATGCTTAACATTCCTTTGTCTCCGTTTACTGTTTGACATGTTATTTTATTCTGAAACTTTTTGTGCTTGTTCCACATTTATTGGAGACAAACTCTGAAGACGTGTTTAGCAGAGTTTTGAACTCCAGAATTGTCTCTCCATGTGGTAAGTTTTGAACTCCAGAATTGGAATATACTGAATATAATTGTTTCATAAAGTATGCCATTTTGGTCTTCAGAAATGCAAAACAAAAAAAATGAAGAAGTTATCAAGTGCACGAAATTATTTTAACACCAGCAAAGAATTTGTATTTGGAATTCAGAAAAATGGATGTTTTCATGTACTACACAGAGGAGGTCATTTCTAAATTCTACATGGACATGACACCTCCAGATGAAATCATGAAACCAAAAAAATCCTTACATTCTTAAGTAGTAGTAATAATTTCTTTTTGGTATTTGGGCAGGTTGTGGAAGCTTTTAGTCCACATATATATAAATATTTAAATCAAAACAGGCAGATTATTACCTGTTTTTTCCTCTATCCCTGCAGATTCTTTAACTGGTTTGAGGTAAGTCATGATGATGATGATATCTGATTCTTCACTTCACTCATAAAACTTCTATGCACATCAAATCTGGAATTTGACAAACCACACAATTGTGATGGTTGGTGAAACCATGGTGGTTTTTCTTTCTATCTGATGGGTTGATGGAGGGTCATTATAGTTTTGGGGTGTGAATTGTGATGGTTGTTGATATTGGTCAGTAGAAATAGCTTTACCAATTCTATATGTGGAGTGGGTAATTCAGATTTGAGATTTTAGGAGGAGGATGATTTTCAAATGTTTGGATTGAATTGAGAGCTGTTTTATTGGAATTGAGGTCTTCGAATTTTGGAGATTGAATATGAGATGTTCTGAACCACTTCAACAGTTAACTGGAATTGAGTGGCGATTGATTATAGTATGAATTTCTCTTCCTCTTTCCTCCTCTTTCACTTTTATGAATTGGTAAAGCTATTTCTATTATATCTGAAAAGAAAAATTGTATTATGAATTGATTTTTGGCGTATAAATGTGAACAACAGGAGGAACCTCTGTGCTATAGAATTGGGGAAATTGTGTAGCTTTTGGTGGATGTTTTATGTGGTTTGGTAAAATGATAGTTTGCACTGAAACTCTAGATTCAGTGAGGAATTCAAGGTCTAATAATTTGAAGTGTCCTTAAAAATGAAAGAAATTGGAAGCATCATGGCTCTTCTTGAGAACTTAAATGTAACAAATTTTCTGATGGAAGTAAGGGATGTGATCTGGAGAATTAGATTGCAGTGTGTATTTTAATTAAAATATTTTTAGGTCCCTGTAAGTAAATTCAGTCTTTTCTCTTTCTTCTTTTCAGTGGGGTTTGCAGTTCAATTGCTATGTCAGTGGTTGTGTTGTTTGTCTGAGTAGCAAATGGAGATGAATAACTGACCATGGATCATTTGACAAACAAAAGGAGGATAGTAAGTTTTTTTATGTATAAGATGATTGCAATTTAGTCAATCACCGTTGTCTTCTTCATTGTTTGATGGTGCTATTCTTCGAATGTTTCTGTTAATCTTTGGTTTGGGATGCGTAGGGTGATAACATTGTAAATGTTTCTGTATTTTTAGTGTTCCCTGAAAACTGTTAATTGAGTTGAAGAGTTGATTCCTGTTATCATTGTATTGATTACTTGCATAGCTACAAATCTAAACTTTCTTAGTTTAATTGCAATCTGAAATTTCCTAGCTATTATGCTTTTGCAGGGGGAACTGGTTGCAACAGTACAGGCTTTAGATCCTACAGATGGAGATAGACTTGAAAAGGAAAAGCAAGCCTTTGTCAAAGTTCTTGGGAAGAAGCCCAAATATATCCGTGGCTTGGGGTATGGAGTGAAACCCCCACCAGCCCGTCCTAATGCGGAGCTAGAGAATGAAAGAAGGCTTTAGGATTTCAGCTGAAAAGAAATATGATGATGCTACTAAAGTAATCAAGGATATGGAGACCAATATGGAGCAAAGATTAGAAGCTAAGATCAGCATGATCCTAAAAGGGCTGCTCTCTCAAAGCAATGTTCCACCACCAAGCTCTCCATAGGAAACAGTTGACTGATGTCTTTTGTACTTGTTTGTAATTTTGTTGAACTTGTGTTCCCTAAGCCTTGTTTTTTCAGGACTAGTGCTTGGCTTATGAGTTGTATAAATTTGCTTCAACTTTAACCATGCTTCAACTTTATTTGTAAACGTGATCTTTAATTTTGCTATTTAAAATATCTTTTGCATATATATTAAAAAATATATAATATATAAAATCTAAAAAATTTGTACTGTATTGTAGGTACTACAAATTTTTTAGGTTTTATATTTTTATAAAATAAATTTTATACCTTTTGTGACCCCAAAGAGGGGTCGTAATAAGTTGCTTTGAGTCACAATAGGCCACATATTTTCAATAGGAATATGGTGTTGGAACTTAGTAGGCTTTGCCCCCGGGGGCTTGGATGGGTTGGTAAGGATTGGAGTTGCCACACCCGATGCCATTGATCGATCCTTGCCGCCTTCCTTATCAGTCTCGCCTAACCTGGTGCTGTAGCTGTGGGGCTGGCTGCTGTATCTCCAGTTTGGTGTTATGGGGGTGGGTCCAAAGGGCCTGCCTAAGGGAGTTCTGGGTTATAAAAAATAAAAAACTTAGTAGGCTTTTGCAACCTCATTATGGGGGTCAGAAATAATAGGCTATTTTCGACGCCCTATGGTGTTGTAAATACAATTATATTAGCAATGCTAATCCGGCATCAGTAATAAGGTTATTTTCAATCTCCAAAAGGGTCGGAAATAAATATGCCTCTTTTTTGGATCAAGATGGGGTCGCTAATATGCTTTTCCGACACTATTTTGAGTTTTTACAATGCCTTTTGGCGTTAGAAATAGCCCCATTTGTTATAGTGTGCCTTCTTCCGTGGATTTTGTGTTCTCTCGTTCAAGTACAAACCGTACAATACTTTTGGTCTTGCTCTAGTTTTTTAAAAGCCCAAAATCTAATATAGTTTTGATGTTTTGGATCTTATTTAATAAACCTCATGTATTAGCAGCTCAAGAAGACCTGGAACGAATAAGATGAGCTCTTCGTTCATTGTTAGGATGTTTTTACCATTGAATATTTTGTTTGACCACTAGTTAATGTTCTGTAACACGCTACAAGAACAATCAGATCTTTTTTCTTTTTCTTATAAAAAAAAATGTGACAATTATGCTAAACTTAGGTGCTTAAGGAGTATAGTTATTTTTCTTCCTTTTAATTTGTCTTGCAATTGATGGAGCAGCAAGCTAACTCAAGATTGACTTAGAATTTTTCATGCAGTTGAGTTTTGTGGTGGCATAGTTTCACTCTGTACCTTCCTATTGCTGTACTTCATTGACCCTCAAGAGTCAAGTCGATGCCCTGTTTGACACAAATCCAGTCAAATGATGCTTTCACACAATGTCTGTTCACACCATGTCCGAGTTCAAAAATCATCAAGATCTACTATCATATGGGTTCTTTTTAATGTCAACAGCAGTATACACTGGGCATATCCATCTCTAGGCATAGGGATGACAATTTGCTCCGCGGGGATGGGTAACCACCCCGCCTCATATATAGTGATTTTGGAAAATTGTTTAGCTTATTTGGGTAGGGATAATTTTTATTAATGAAAATTCGTGCGGGTTCGGGAGGGGAATGGGGGAGGTCACCCCACCCAGCCCCGTTTAGGCAGATAAATTACTAAATTATTCTTATTTTATTAGTATATATAGTTAGCTAGAAAACTTTAAGCCATTCACTTACTTTCTCAATCGTTCTAGTAAGCGGCAAAGCTTTATGAACTAGAAACGTTCGTACCTTTGAATTTTATGTTAAATTATTGATTACCCATTTTTTATGATTTTTTTCAATAGTTATATAATTGTATTTAAGGAAAAAAAATTAAAAAGGAGGAGAAATTTTGAAATTAAACGGGATGAGGCGGGTGCATGGGTAAAAAAGTTAAACGGGGCGGGAATATGGTACAAAGGTTTAACATTTATACGTGTGCACGTATGAAAATACAAGATATGGACCACATGTGTGAGCTCACTAATAAAAACAGATTTTACTTACTACCACCAACAAATTCCATTCAAAGCGTGGGACCATATGTGTGCGCGTACGAAGATACAAGATAAACAACAAAGCGGGGTTTTTATTTTTTATTTTTGCTTTTCGCAAATTACAGTCTGAAACATTTTGGCTTCACAAAAAATGTTCTCATGTTTAATGACATTGGTATGCTTCACGCACGCGGAATTAGTCATACATAAAATTATCAACATATACCTCTTCACGTGATTGGAGCATAATGCGTGTTGGGTGTAATAGTAATTAATAACATATGCAATTGCAAACTAAAATCATGTGTTCGAATAGCATCATTGATATGTGGAGGGCAGACTGTTGTATTAAAAGAATTGAAATTCGAATAGCATAGTTTATTTCAATTTGTTATGTATATATTGTCATGTGTTACCTCAAGTAAATACAGAATTCAAGAATCTTTGTATTTAAAAATTTCAAATTATTAAATAAGATTCATATAGAATTTTAAGGAAATTGTCTAATGGCAAGTTCTTTTCTTGTAGGTTGGAAGTTTGAATATCCGTAGAGCCACTTCTAAAGATTTTTCGGTGCATTTGGGACGAAAAAATTATATGTGTCATGAATTATGGAATACTGTAAAAGACACAATGTAAAATTTGAAAAATGTGAATCCTTATTTGAGTATAAAGTCAATCACTTTGTGGTCTGAACTCCAATCTCTTGCCTTGTACTCTATTACTACTTCCTTCCCCTTTTAATGGTCCATTTTTGATTTTATAACTTTTTAAGAGGACATGCAATTAATGCATTGTCCCCTTTTAAAATTACCAAATTGTCTTTTTTAATTTAAATATATATAGTTACAAAGTTTGAAATTTTTTAAAAATATAAAGGACAATGATGGAAATATAAAGAAAGATGCTTTGACTTTTTAAAGAGGATAACTAATTTGGGACATATAAAAAAAAAAAAATAAACAACTAATAAAGAACAGAGGAAATATTAATTTATTATACATGAAATAAATGATTCCACTTAAACGAGGTGTAGTCCACACTGGGCAGCCACCTTTTTTTCCTCCATTGACAGCCCATTCCCAATCAGGTCCTTTTCGATGGACGTCTAAATAATTTAGTGTTGATCACAGGATGCCCACTATTAATGACTATAACTCGTTACCTAAATGTGTTGACATTTAATGAAGTCTTTTTAACTTAAGGTCAGAAACAGAAATTTGATCCATCCAATTAATTTGTCTGTTAATTAGTCAATCAAGTTGGATGCATAAAAGTATTAAAAAAAAAGAAAAAGAGTTATTGTGAGAATATTTAAGACAAATTTGACGCAGATTTAAACGGATTTAAAGATTCCTTCTTCTTGATTCTTTTTATTTATTTATTAATTTAATTTATTTATATGTTTTTTTATTTTTGATTTTGTGGTTGGTGAGGAAAGATTGCTCTCTCTAGGAAAAAAACAAAAAAAGGCCTGACAATATTAATTATGTGGCACAAATTAGCTTTATCTATTATGCACCAATGCCCATGCAGATATATATATATATGATCGAGATCGATCATATGAGCCTCAGATGCCTTAATCACACTGATAGCTCCCATATCTTTCTCCAAACTTGTAGCTGTCTTCACACTGTGTGAACCAAAAATATTTGGATATGGATTATTAAGTAAATTTTAAAAATTGTATTAGTAAAACAAAAATGAGCACCATGCAAAAAATTAAAATCTTGAGCCCACTCAATTGTAACCATCAAAGCTAGCTGTATTTGAGTCTATTGTTTCCGATTTCCGGAAGTGACAAAATGAGAGTTGGTGGGGTCAACGTCCACCAGGGTTGCCCACAAATATAAAATTGACTGAAATAATATAAATAACAAGGGGTTGTTTCATGTTTGCGTGTTTGTGATAAATGTCATTTGTTTGGCATCTCTCCAAGTCATAAGCAACCCACACAATTTCTATTTTACATTTGAAAATCAATTTGTTTATTATTACTGTATTAAGATTTAAATGGTGACAATGTTAATATTAATGTTCTATTTGTTTCAATATAAAATATATTTTTTTATTCAGTATTTGGCAAAGATTTAAATTTAAGTTGAGATCGAGTTTACCAAACGTGTAAAATAAACTTACCTAAAATTGATGAGTAAATTATTTTTGTTATGTTTTAATATATTTTTTTTTCATAAATATTTTATAACAATTAAACACTAAAAAATAAAAATAAAAATATCTTTTGAAAAATATTTTACATCCAAACAATCAGGGTCTAGTTTAAAAGGTAATAGATTTAAGTCAAAAATTGTTGGTAAATGTCTTCTTAGTTGACATTTTTAATTCAACTTGTACAAGTGGTTGCTTTCAAACTCAATTCAAATTTTATTTTTTTATTTTTTATTTTTGTGTTTGACCGTTCAATTGCTGTTACTATATCAATTAAGATTTGTTTACTGAATTAAACGGTGATAACATTCAGTTGAAATATTAACATGATCAACTCAATTATTGTTGGTGAATGTCTTGTTAGTTGACATTTGATTATACAAGGGAGTTTCTTTAAACTTTGTGTGTGTCAATTGTTCTCTCTTTTCTGGTCAAATGCAACAATTATTGATCATGTCAATTATTGTTGGTGAACATTTTATTAATTGAAATTTGCATGTTCTAGTTTATTATTGCAGGGACGAAGCCAAGGGCATCCCCACCCCAATATTTTTTTATTATTTTTTTATTTTTTAATTTATAAGTAGTAATAATGTATAGATATTAATTTTAATTTTGTATAGAATATTAAATTTGACCCACTCGAATATTTTTTAGAATTCTATTAATTGAAATTATTCATGATTATTAATGGTAATTTTGTATAAGAAAATTAAGATCGACCTTTCAAAATTTTATGAAGTTCTCATTTATAGTTACTTATTCATGTAAATTAAAGATGGTTTGTGAAATAAATTATTTATGACTCTTTTGAATATTTTAGTCTTGCCTTTAAAAATTCAAACTTAATAATAAAAATGTTTATTATTTTGTAAGCATTGCCAAAACGTATTATAGGTATATAAATTATTTGTTATGATTTGAAGAGATAATAAAAAAAAAAATAAAAAAATGACAACTTTATTGATCGACTGTTAATTAATATTTTTCTATTTATTTTTCTCATATTGTTTATAGATTTGTTCTAAAAAAGTGTACAACTAAAATGCACGGGGAAAAAAATTATTGTAATTATTTTATTTATTTATTAAATTTAACTATATATTGCTAATTTACCCCAATTGAAAATTTCTTAGTTCATATGTAGGACGTGTATCAATCTATCTCATGCTGAGGAAGGTTAGCATTTCTCATCACAGAGAACAAACAAGGTCGATCGTAATCGTAAGAGAAGAAACGCTTCTTTGGATGGCAATATGGAAGGAATTTCTTGCTCAGTTTAATTATGTACCATAACTTTAGAGTTATTCAGAAATTAAAATGATTTCATTTGACGGTGAGTCCAAACGCTGCATTAAATTGTCAAAGGACATATTTTTGTAAGTCCTGTAATTCGCTGTTTTGTCAAACAATTCAGGCGATTTAAATTCCCCCTCCCCACTATAGCGGCTATAGGCTATAGCCCTACTATATATGTGTATAATATATATATACATACAGACACATCTACTCTATATATTAGTATATTTATCAGCATTTTCTCCAAGAAGACGACGACCTGGTCCTCGATTCCATCTTCACAGACGCCTTATTGGACCATACCAAACACACTCACCAATACACCTTTCTCAACACCAACAAAGCTTGTATAAATACAAAAATTCGAATCTCACTTTGTGTGGATTTAAACACCAATTGTAAAATTTGTTGTGTCCAGATCTGCAATTGATCATCGCTGTAATCAATTGAAGGTGAAATGGGAAGTTTGGGGGCGATCGTGAAGCATCCGGATGATTTCTATCCGTTGTTGAAGCTGAAAATGGCGGCGAGGCATGCCGAGAAGCAGATCCCTTCGGAGCCTCATTGGGCCTTCTGTTACACCATGCTTCAGAAGGTCTCTCGCAGTTTCGCTCTCGTTATTCAACAACTCGGCACCGACCTTCGCAACGCCGTAAGTGCAGTTCACAATTCGATTCACATTTTGATGATTCTGATGTCATCTTGTTGATTTTCACATGCTTATGCACAATTACACGCGCACACACATATATTCTTCCTTTCTTTTTTGATGAGTTGGCCAGTCTCTTTTTTCTGTTGTAGAAGGAAAATGCATATCATTGGGGCATAGCCTCCGATCGGTAGCCACAAGACTGACTTTTTGAATCCCTGATTTAGTCGTAGAGGGCTCCCCTCCCCCTAAATAGAATGATTTTAACCTCCATTACTGATTTCATTCCCCAGTACACTAATCAATAACAAAATAAAATATGATATGATGGTAGATCTCGATCTTTCTTTGAGAAAGTGGTATTTACCAACCTGTTGACCCCATATGGAGTTGCATTTTTTTGAACCCGCTTCAAGGCCGGATTGCTGCTCTGGACACTCCTGCGTCTCTTTATCTATTTTTTGATTCTCGTTATTCACTTAACTAACTAGCGAGAATAAGAATAGGGAGTCAGCCTCTTTGTTGCTTAGGAAAGGAAAAGACTCTTTGAGGAGAAATCCTCTTTTCGAATCCGGTAGAGCAGCTGCCCTAGTACCGTATTTTATTGAGTTTACAACTGGAGTCGCTTGGCTTGCTCTTCGCCTATTGACGCCAGAAAATTATTTGAGGGGGGCTCACTTAAAAAATTTCAACTACCGTATTTTCATTGAGTACATTTTTTGAGTAAGCTAGTAGCAAGCAAGCTGTCACTAAATTGGAATATTTGTCTATTCCTACCATTTAAGGTTTTAGCAATTTTTCGGACTTGTATTCTTTTAGATTAGCTCTTTCCTGGTTGCTTACTAGTTCCTTTTTAAAAAAGACTCCTGATTCCCATGTTATTGTTTTCTTACTTTGCAGGTATGCATTTTTTACTTGGTTCTTCGAGCATTGGACACTGTTGGTATATTCCTATTTGTGATCTATTGCTTCATTAACACCCCCCGTCCCCGCCCCCCTCTTGACAAGTATTGTTTGTTCTCTATCATGTGATCTTAACATCAACCTATGAATTTTAAATTCATCAGACTTTGCTCTCTGTCATGTGGATATTTGAATTTGAAATTCATCATACACTAGCTTACAGTTATAGCCTAATACTCAATTGTTAGAAATTGCTCAAGAATAGAGCTATTTCCGATAGCATTTGGTTTAACTGGGATTATAGTTTAGATAGAGCAGAATGATTACATGCTTCATGTAGTCGACTCCAAATAGTTCGAAAAGGCTTTTATTTGGCAATGTTTAATATCCGACTGAATCAGTTTGTTTTGACTTGTCTGTATAAATCATATGCATAATTTTCTGGTCCCTATTGATCACTTATTTCTATAATTGTTAATTGCTGCACTCCATTTAATTTCAACTTTTCAACCCTTATTTTCATTTCATTTCCTGCTATTTTATAGCTGAGTAAATTGGCATGTCTCTTCATGTTCTTGATTTTTTGACAGAGGATGATACGAGCATACCAACAGAAGTTAAAGTCCCTATTCTGATGGCTTTCCATCGTCACATATATGATCCCGACTGGCATTTTTCATGTGAGGGTTCTGTACTGTTTATTTCATGTTTCTTTTTTCTTTTTCCTCTCACACTGGAGATCACCTTTTATAACTTGTTTCTGATCCTCAATGAATTCTTTCTGATTATAAAACTATCAGTTCTCTAATATAAATATATTACTGCCACAGTTATTATTATTATTTATTATTGTGATTATTATGGGGTATTATTGGCTAAGCACTTGAATCGTAGAATCAACTTTTAAGTCTGAAAGAGTGCTTAAATGTAGAACTAGGTCTGGGAGTTTGATGTGTTAGCTATTATACTCTTCAGTAGTCCAGTTCATTGTTTTGACTCTGCAGATTGTGCTCACTTCTCCCATTCTTTACTCAAATCCTTTTATGTTTTAATTTCAGTTCTCGCACCTGTTCGCAATTCAGTGCAAAACTAACGCCTTAATTAGGCTATGTCACAAAAGAAAAAAAAAAAATCATAATTGCATATGTTGGACTTTTTCCACTTAAAGTTGATTTCAATTATAGATCTAAAATAACTTCAAAATTTTTCTTCATTTTCTACTAGTCTGATAACCTAATTCATATGAAGAAGAGTGTAAATATAACATGGCCTATTACCATCTTTTTTTTAATTTATGGTCAGTGATATTTCTTCTACATTCACCATGGGGTAATTTAAATTATAAGGAACTTCAATGTGCTAAAGTATTTTCTTAGCTGTAGATTGGTATCAAAATTGCGACTAAAAGTTACTAGTCTTTATCACTTGAGACTACTGTTGACTTTGAAACTCTCCTGTTACAGTATATGTCCAGTAGAAGTCAAGTGTCTATATCCAGATTCAGCACTTCATATAAGAGAAACAGAATTGTATAAGATAGTACCATCGTATCCCGACACTTTATACACATATTACCAAGAAAAAAAAATAAGCATGCAAATTGAAACAAGTATATTGATGGGTAGTCTAAATTCAAATGAACCGGGTGCCACGGCTTACAGCAGTTGTGCAAAAATTGTAAACAGTGAAGTATGGACTTGGAGATGGGGTATTGACACGACACGACACGACATGGATAAACAGATGTGTCAAACTTTGGAAAAGTAGGACAAGGGCACAAGTGACATGTGTGATGCACGTGCATTTATATATTTAGATATGCATATGTGTGAATTGTGAACATAAATTTGTATACTCTTCTCTTATTTCTGTGCCCATTTCTTTGGTAAATATCTTGTGTTTTTTAACGTATGGTCAGACTTTTTGAAATTTTCTTACATCTATACAAGTATACATCCATGGTTCATCAGTCACATGTTGATGCGCATCCAAGAAGTGTCAGTAATATATTTTGAAATTAATAATTTTATTTTGTTTTTAATTACAAATGCATCGTAGAAGTGTCAGTAATATATTTTGAAATTAATAATTTTATTTTGTTTTTAATTACAAATGCATCGTGGATGCATTTGGACCGTGTTCCAGAGTGTCCAAGAAGTAGGTACATGTATGACACGGACACGGACATGGATCCTCCTTGGAAGTGTTTCTTCTTAAAAAGTAAATAACAAAAGAAATGAAAGTATATAAACTGTTGTTTCCTTGCTGAAAATCCTTATCTCATTAGTTCTATTATCAGAATGTTCATTATGTACTTCTTCTCTGAGCTAGTAGTAAATAGAAACTCTAGAGTCTAGGCCATTTTTTCTCTACATCTTCCATCTGAATAATTATGTACATCTTCTCTTAGCTAGTAGTAAATAGATACTCTAGAGTCTAGACCATTCTTTCTCAAATAATTATGTACATCTTCTCTTAGCTAGTAGTAGTAAATAGATACTCTAGAGTCTAGACCATTTTTTCTCTACATCTTCCATCTGAATAATTATGGACTGGTTGCTAATCTAGTTATTGATGTTGCATTAAGGTGGTACGAAGGACTACAAAGTTCTCATGGACGAGTTCCATCATGTTTCTACTGCTTTTCTGGAGCTCGGAAGAAGGTTATTTCTTATTCAACAATAGATGTTTTTTTTCTTTTCTATACAGTTATAAATTAAAGGCTTCAAATAAAAGTATGAGGTTAGTCATGAAAAAAGTAATTGTCTTGGATATTCATGAAAAGAACATACTCCCTCTGCCCATAATAAGTGTCATCCTTGGGACTCTTAACTTTTTAAGGATACATGCATTTAATGCATTGACCCCCTTTAAAATTACAACACTAACCCTACTAAATTTCAGCATTTACTTTATTGAATTGAAAAGATTTTCAAAACCTAAGTATAATTTGGTGAAGTTGAAATTTGGAACATCATAAAAAGAAAAGTGGAAACTTATTTTAGAACATCTCAAAAAAGAAAGCATGACACTTATCATGGGACAAAGGTAGTAATTATTATTATTTTTTCATATATAGAGGTAGTAATTTTTATTAAAGGGATCTATTGATAAGATAACAGAGTCATTCATTGTCTTTTTACAGACAGATTTCTTGTATGAAATTAAACACACAAAATGAGTGACAAATAATAATCTTTTCCAATTTGAAGAAATTAGAGTACAATCTCTGGGAGGGTGGTTCAAGCCCCAGTGGGTGCATGCGTGTCAGTACATTTACCTATCCAAAAAAAAATTATCATAATAAAAAACAAAAATGGGGTAAATTACCCTCAGAGCCCTGAGGCTTATTCAAATTACTCTCAGATAGAATTTTTTGAAACATCACTCTAACACCCTCTGTCAGAGTTAAAACCGTTAACACCATTAGCTCTCATTATTAAAGCACAAAAATACCCCTCATTTTCAATAATTATAGTGCTTACCTCACAGCTAATGTAAGCGAAGAAAAATAAATATAAATTTTATGTTTCACATACTGCATTCATATACATAGGGTTTATATATAGAAATATATGTGTGTGTATATCAACCACAACACTCATCCTTATCCTGCCTGCACCACCATCAACAGCCACAACCACTGCCATTGCCGCCACAGTCACAACCACCACCATTACCCCTTCTCTTTCTCTCTCTAACACCCAAATAGACCCACTTCTTTGCAAATGGCCATCAGCATTTATTGAACCCACCTCTGCCCCAAGGTTACTGCATCTTCTCCACCACCATCGCCCAACCTCTCTCTCTCACCTGCTCCCAAGTCCATCGCCGGTTCACCACTGCCTTTCTACTCTCTCATCTCCCGCTTTAACTCCCCCGTCCAACTCCCTCTCTCTTTCTCTCTTTGTTCTCTGTTTTATTACTCAAAAGTAGAGGGCTGGGGTTTTCACCAGAGAGGGTTCGCAGTGTTGTTGACTTGTTGGTAGTAAATTTCTCATTCATATACATTTCAGTTCCTTGAATCAGAAGACAAGCGTTTCAGACAAATTACTAAGTTATCTTATATATAAAAATTAATACACACACGTACACACATAGACAAATATATAGATTTGGTTTTATCTTCAAAGCAAGTATAATAGGAATTGTTGTACCAGTGAGAGAGAACTGAGTAAGATAATGGTGGTGGAGGCGGTGGTTGATGATACAAGTATATATGTAATAGAGTAAAATAATGAAACAAATTATTAAATTTATTTGTTATAAATTATGGGGTCAAATTTATCACTACACAAGCAGTAAGTAGGGATAATAAGGTAAATTCGTTGAAGGGTATTTTTGGTATTTAAACAAATTGTTTAACGGAATTAATGGTGCACTAACAGAGGTGGGGTTGACTGTGATTTCATCAAACCTCAAGGGAGGTTGATTTCATTATTTTAAGACTTCCATCCAATGGTAATTATTTCAAACCTCAGGGGAGGTTAGAGAAATTTACTCACGAAAAAAAAAAAGACGAAACATTAACCAAAGGGCTTGAAATCTCCACCAACTTGACAGGGAAAGATTGTCAAGAATTCTTTGACTTAGGTGTCTAGGCTTTTGAGCGTAGAAGAAACCGATGAAGCTTTATCATGTACTGCTGCCTGGAGATTGAATGTCCGAGTGAAAGTTCTTTGGGGCTTTAGGTTTTAATTCCATCATTTTTCTCTTTTCATTTCAACTTGGATGGTACGTGGCAATGTCTTATTTGGCTTCGGGATTACACATAAAAATACCTCTAAGACACAACAATTCTGATAACATGTGGAAATTTGTTATTAGCTTAAGAAATTTCCCTCTTTCAGTAGGAGAGTTTGAAATGATTACTTTGCCATGCATGGATCTTTTTATTGTCTACTGTACAGTACAAATAAAGTACTTGTCCTGTCTGATACTTAAACGCCAGCAGAATGTTCCTTGTAAAGTGATGACAGATTCCATGCATATGTCAAGAGAACATGTAATTGTTAGAGAGAGAATCATTTTAATCGGTTAACGCATCAATTTATTTTCCGAGGTTTAGTTATTATTTTCAAGCTCTATATGGTTTGAATTTAGTTTAAATTAATAGGTTAATATGGCCATGCCCTTGTATTGTTATTTTTTGAGGTTGACAATAATAGAAGCTGCACATCAACTCTTGGTGAGTCACTGTGTGATGTTTCCATACTTTGAACTGATTGTAGAACCTAATACTGCCACGCCCAAGGACAAGTCAATCTATTATTGGTAATTCGACATGATTGTAGAGTAATCTGCTCCCTTGCTGACTTTCATCATAAATACAGCTCAGTTCATTCCTTAAATTGTTCACATGGTATTTCACACCTTTTTCCATAGTAGGTATTCTATACTCTTTTTTTCATAAATGCTTAGGCATGCTGATAACTTAAACAGTTGCGCTTTTGTGGTAATTTAAGCTTTTTAAGGTTTTTCTCCCAAGTAGTTTAAGCTTTCTAAGTAACGAATATTTTTAGATAGGAGTTGAGTTAATATAAAGGGTGAGGCACTCTATAGATTCTGTAATTGATCTGATGGATTTAGAAAAGCTACTCATGGGAGTTTATTTTTGACCCTAGTGATATACGCCCTTCTATGGATCTATATTTTTATCTAAAATTCTAAATTTGATAATTATTTGCTTGCTGGCTTTTCTCAGTTCCTCATGAAACATTTAGGATGCACTGGATTTTTTTATGAATTAAAGCTTTGCTGCATACATTTGCTCAAGTTACATGTATATTTGCAATTATAAGTTTTTTGGTATGTGTTTGTGCAAACTATTACATGTATATTTGCAATTATAAGTTTTTTGGTATGTGTCTGTGCAAACTATTACATGTATATTTGCAATTATAAGTTTTTTGGTATGTGTCTGTGCAAACTAACTTACAAAACTTAATATTTTGCAGTTATCAGGAGGCAATTGAGGATATTACCATGAGAATGGGTGCAGGAATGGCTAAATTTATATGCAAGGAGGTTTGTCACGAATTTCATGCAAGAGATACAAATCTGATATTTTTCTTCTTCTTGTTGTTGTTGTTATGCTCTATACATAATCATCAAATGCGTGATATTTACATTTAAGTTGGCTTTATTGGATGGTGAAAATTTCAAAATCTCATTGTGTCATGAGCTTTTCTCATTTTTTTGTACACGTCCCAAAATAAGAAAATGGGTTCATAAAAGATGTCATACTGATTCCCTTTTTGTGGGGTATTGTTTAACTGGGATTATACTGCTCATAATAAAGAAATTTTGAAATTATTATTTTTCAAAGGCCATTTGGCGAGCTCAAAACCTTTCCCTCGGCGTAACGTTGGCTCCGACTCTTTTACCCCGAATTAGGGCTCTTTTGCATGCCCAACTTCTCAAACGGATCTCTCAAAAAGAGAGCCCCATAAGGGGGTCCTGACTGGTCCAGGCCACGAAATCAACAGCCGGGGCTCTCTTCGCTAGAATTATGATTTTAGAGAACTGGGCCCGTTTGCGGAAGAGGTCATCTGCAAATATAGCTGGCGCTTTGATCCTGAGAAATTGGAGAAAAAGCATTCATCTCTTTCCTGGCTTTCACCGAGCTTTCGAAAGAGGATAGCCCCGTTCTCAGGCGAAACGCGATATTGAACGCAATCTTCACAATTTCGAAGCCCGATAATGAATAAGAGGCTTCTATCAATATCGTGTCGCCCAAGGACCTTGCCATATTTGTTAATATTGTAGAGTTTGCTTCATTAATTCTTTATAGTTATATTTGTTTGGTATATCATTTAAAATTTTCTCTTTCTAGATTTTGCTAGTGGTATTGATGTTATTATTATTTGACAAAGCAACTGTGTATTTTAATAGTGTTTTGTTATGTAGCCAATCATTATGTGTATTCCACAAGTAAATGATATAACATATTATCTAGGAATATCTACAACAGTTTAATGGACAATATTGGAAATGACAGAATTTTGTGATCATGCACTTGGGTGACCTCTGGGGTAAATTTTGTGATCATGCACTTGGGTGACCTCTGGGGTATTTGACTCCTTGTTCATGCAGTTGTCTCCATATGCATCAGCAATGGACGTAAATTGGGAATGATTATGAAAGTGAATTTTTTTTTTTTCCCTGGTTGTCAATTATTTAGGAGCTTGGAGAGTTGGAGGGCCTCTGGAGTTAAATTCAAATTGTAGGTTCTTTAAAAAAATTTGTGCCACTGACAGCCCATTCCTTGTATTGCAGGTAGAGACAACTGATGACTATGATGAATATTGTCACTATGTGGCAGGACTTGTTGGGTTAGGATTGTCGAAGCTTTTTCATGCGTCCGGAACTGAAGATTTGGCTTCAGATTATCTCTCCAATTCAATGGGTTTATTTCTTCAGGTAGTGCTCTTGACATGAATTGCAACTGGCTTGGTCCATCTTAAGTCTTCTTTCATGGTTGAGAGTCTGGTTTTTCTCATCATATCTTTTTTATGTAATGACAGAAAACAAATATTATTCGAGATTATCTGGAGGATATAAATGAGATACCGAAGTCACGTATGTTTTGGCCTCGCCAGATTTGGAGTAAATATGTTAACAAACTCGAGGTTCATCTCTTTCATGTGCTTAATCTTAAAATTTAATCTTATATACTCATCTTTCCCATTCATCGTGCTCTTTTCCTGATATACTACCAGTTATGGTATAACCGCAGCAAAGTTGCATTTATGACATTCATACTTGTGCTCATTCTTTTTTATTAACATCCTTTGGTAATGTGTGTTTCAGGACTTAAAATATGAGGAGAACTCGATCAAGGCAGTGCAATGTCTCAATGACATGGTCACAAATGCTTTGTTGCATGCGGAGGATGCCCTAACGTACATGTCTGCTTTGCGAGATCCTGCTATCTTCAAATTTTGTGCCATTCCACAGGTATATACTTTTGAAGTGGCTTGGGCTTTACTGATTTTTAGCCTGTCTATCATGCTGTACTTTTTATCTTTCAACCTTTGATAAGACCGACCTTCCATGAATTGTGCACACTGCCAACAAATTGGCCCCACATTTTTCTACCTGTTTGGTAATTTTTTATTTTTTGTGTGTATTGATCAATTAATTAAGAGGGTCAATACGTGAGTCAGTACATGCTCATGGAAAGTATTCTAATTATGGTCATCAATCAAGAAATGTACTGGTCGTGGAGATACATTTTAACAGCCAATCTAGCTGTAGCAATATTGATGATGTTGGTTGCAACACAAGTATATAAGAATTAGGTTTGGAGAGTGAATGAGTTCTACTTCAGTTTACATAATAATGTCATGTCATTGCATAGCATAATGCATAATATTGTTAATGCCATTGCATTGCATCAATTAATCTTACTCTTTTAGAGTATTGGGTGACCGTGCAAGATGACAAGCAACAACAAAAATCTACTAGATGTGATGCCATTTTATTGCAATCTATATAATTCTGTTATGCAATTGATCTTGCTCTTGTCAATTATTGGGTGACTGCACTAGATGACATCTAACAATGAAATCCTAGAGCAGTTTTTCACGCCATTGGTGTGTGTGTATATATTTTGTGGAATTAGCTATAACTTCTTGGGTGTTAAAGTTTAAGATAGCTGTCTCTCTCTGTCTCTCTCTCAAATTTTGGTAGTGTGTTAAATAGTATTCTGTTTTCATTTTTTTGTTTTGTTTCGTCTGTTTTTTTTTTTTTTGGTTTTTGTGGCACAAGAAACAGTAATGCATATTTCTTTCTGTGTAAATTCTGGCAAGTGTAATTTAGTTGCGGCTATAAATTGGAATTTTCATGCCAATTTTCTTTGCATTAGTCTGCGACAAAACCATTTTGTATCATATCTGAACTCTAATATGCAAATGGATTAGTATTTAGTCCATAAAACCCAAGTCTTTTGCCTGATCATGCATTTGAAATACATGACATGTCTTTGTGTGAACATGCACTGATTTGTTATGTTCTATTTTTACTAGATCATGGCAATTGGAACCTTAGCTCTATGCTACAACAACGTTGAAGTCTTCAGGGGTGTAGTAAAAATGAGACGTGGTAAGATAACAATCCATGGGCGCTGCATTCTTTGCTACATCATGTCAGAAATTTTTTAATCATTCTATTGTAACACATTTTAGCTTCTTGTTATAATGATTGTCTTACCTTTTTGTTTTATTTTATTTTGAATTTGATCATTGGAATTTTGGATGATAATACGGTTAAAATTTATTTCTGAAAAAGAATTGAGTAATATGACAATGCTGACTCAACCTCCAGTATCCTGCTAGACCAAATATTAGAATTAGCATCCTCAGTAACAATTATTTATAGTTGCTTCAACTTGCCTTATAACGTAGCAACATTCAACCTTTATTAATCATCATGCCCAAGCAACATGGTTCTAGATTGTTGTGATAATGATCTCTGCCATAGTCTCATGAATGGGCACTTCAGATGGGGAGGAACTTCTCTGCCACGCACAAAAAAAAAAAAAACAATTATTTATAGTTGCTTCTCTCCCACCCACCCACCCCCCCCCCCCCCCCCCCCCCCCCGGGCCGCGGCCACACACAAAAAAAAAACCCAAATAATATGAAAGATTTTGTTTTATATATATATATTCGGTAAGTAGATTTTGATATATTTGGTGCTACTGTTTTTTATAATTTTTATCATGGTTGTTTTTTTAAGAAACAGAGGATTGCTTGTGGTTTTATTCTTTTTTACTTCTGAACAAAGTTCTATTTATCTTTTCCATCTTTTTATTCATATCATGGCTTCCTTTACAGGTCTTACTGCTAAAGTTATTGACCGCACAAAAACAATGTCTGATGTCTATGGTGCTTTCTTCGACTTTTCTTGTATGCTGAAATCCAAGGTATTGCCATCCATTTACCAAAAACAGGCAAGAATTTTTGGCAAGGAGAAAATAACATATATATATATATATATATATGATGTCCTTGTTGGTTTAATATGGAAGAGGTCTGCATGATTAGATACTGAATGGATCCCTAAGACTTAATATCATGGAGGAGACTAACAAACTTGTCTCCAGGCCATTATAAAGTATTTTGCACTAGTAAATGCCCTTTTTTAATGCACTAGTAAATGCCCTTTTTTAATGGTTGCCAATTTGTGTGTGCTTGTGTGCAGTGGGGGCAGAAAGATAGGAACCCTATCTCAAACCACAAAGCCTTTATAGGATATTTTTTAAGCTAGATTAAGATCTAAAGCGTCTTTTCACGAACTACTGTTGATCAAAGGCATCCAGCAAATTGGACAAGCAAAACCATCTCAAAAGTAGAAACATACTTTTTTAAGAAAACTACCAAATCAAACTTGTTGGGCAAGACTTTTCTTTTGTAACACCCTGGGATTCAATGTCCAAAACTATCACATCTGAAGGAAGGAAAAAAGGGATAATCTGAACTTGTGCACGTAGTTTTGCAACTGATGGAGTTTGCTGTTTTCTCTGCTTGGTCGCATTTCATAACTTGGTTACTGCTTTTCTAGAATGTAGATTTCTCAAGTTAGCAACTTCTGAACATTTTTTTCTTTCTTTTCTCACCTTTCTCTGTAGTTAAATTTCCTTTAGTTTTGTGGAGATTTCTGACATTATACTCACTGAAAATCCGTTACATTGATTACTGTAGGTCGACAAGAATGATCCTAATGCTACCAAAACGTTGAGCAGGCTAGACACAATTCTAAAGACTTGCAGGGACTCTGGAACCTTAAACAAAAGGTTTGCTAAGTTCTTAGTTGTCCTCACCTCAACGAACTTGTTTTCTCAGTGTCTAACCAATTTTTGTGTTCCACCAGGAAATCTTACATCGTCAAGAGTGAGCCAAACTACAATTCAGCTATGGTGAGCTTTAATGCCGATTTTGCTTCCTGATATTCAACCAAAGGATGTCTACTGATTATACTCTTTATCTCAATGCAGGTTGTTGTATTATTCATTATACTGGGTATCCTATTCGCGTATCTATCCGCAAACCGATCAATGAATATTTGTAAGTTATCTTACAGGACAAATAATTGCTGCCACAGGAAGAGAGAAAAATGAAATAAAAAGAAAATAAAATGGAAGATTTCCTGGGAACTGATTTTTCTTCTTGCTCTTTTGCAGGATTGGCTTATGTGAGGGTGAAATCATGGGTAGCTGCACAAGCGCATGCCTAGCTTCCTGGATCATTTGTGGTGCTTATATACAAATACTACTACTGTAACGGCGATGTTTGGCATCACCTACGTAGTTGTCTAATACAGTTTCTGTAACTTCCATGTACAAACCACTTCTGATTGAAAGTTCACTACTCAATAACAAATTGAGCATGCTATTGTATTGTTTTTCTGACTTTCTGGAATATTTTTGTGGTTTTTGGTAAAGCAATATATATATATATTGTTGATATTCTGTTTCTCTATGTTGAATTTAGATTGCATGTACTTCCGAGGGTCATTCCGTAACAGGGTTTTTACCGATTTCCAGGTCGTAGATGTTTGTTTGTCATTGATTTCTGTGATGTTTTCTTGAATTATTTTCAATCCAATGGATTTAGTTATGGGGATGAGTAGCTTTTGGTAACAGTGTGCTTCTGTAATTAATAGACCATATAATTCCTTAATTTTTGTTCTGTAATTAAAGGAGTTTAATCAATCTCGTTGATGCCAGGGATTTATTATCAAGTTTACTGTAACAACTTATACATTTTGTACATCAAATTTGCCCATCAAACACACACGCACAAATTGTACTTTATGGGAGGAAGACTAGCGGTCTATTGGTATTTGCCGATCATTATTTTTATAAATCTGAAAACGTAGTTTTGTATAAGAAAATTCGAAAGAAAAGAAAATTTAAAAATTTCGAATTGATCCTGAAACTTATGTGCTAACGAGATTTAAAATTGATAATCATTACATAATTCAGGATTGGTTAGTGAATGTAACTATCATGCAGAATCGCACTATGGATTGGATATTATAATGTACTTTTCAGAGACTTTTTAATAGATATTAATAATGGTCATAGTGTTCATTAATTTGGTGGGTTTTGGGGCACTTGTGATTGCCTTCTAGGGTTATATAATTGTTTGGGTGACCACTATGTCTTTTCTAAGCTCACTTGCAACTCATCTATCTACTCATCAATACTGCATTCAAAGAGCACCCGTCCACGAATGCGCTCAGACTTTGTCCCTGTCCACCTAACAAACACCAATGGAATATCTCACAAAAGATTATACTTTTTATTTGTATTTAATTTTCATAGTAATGGAAAATCTTACGAAATATTATACTTTTAATTTGTGATGAAATTGCATAACAATAATGGAAAATCTCACAGCTGTGAGAATCAAAATTAGTGAAATATTTGCAGTGGACAAGTGGGAAAGTTATTTTGCTTTGGCCACTAAAACAGAAACTGATATATATATATATATTCCACTATTGATCAAAACCCACATATTCATAGAATTTTTCAAAGCCCTTTGAGTTGACAAGTTGAACAGTAAACTAATTTTGGGAACCATGAATTGGTGCACCAAAACAGACGTGGAAACACAGGGATGGTAAAGTATGGACTTAGTGGCCTTGCCGAAAGGCCAATTACTTTCTAGAATTCTAGGTGGTGGTGGTACATTACAAATACAACAAACACCTATGTTTGTTTATCTCTATACATTTATACTATGTATATATTTTTATCTATCTTGTATATCCATTGATTATTTAAGTTTTACTCACAAGTAAGATATACTTGATCTTTTCCTTTGACATGTTAAAAAAAGACATACTTGATCTAAAAGACATTCAACATATGATCATTATAATAGTTTCTTGATCTAATAATGTGATATTGTGTTTCGAATTTGGTGTCAGGTTGCAACTATAACCTGATGACCCGTTGGATGAGGAAAATTTTTTGACTGACTTTTTGCTTATGAATCGTGGACCCTAATTAATCTCTTGTAACCCAATATATAAGGGCACTTAGGGTTTGGAGGAAGTGAAGATAGAGACTCTGAAACAGAGCGAGGGGCTGAAAATTTGTAATCTTTGATTTGATACATAGTGAAAACTTTTGCCGGATCCCAACTATGAACGTAAGTTGTTGCCGAACCACGTATAAATCTTTATGTTCTTTGTGTGTCGTGTTTACTTTTCTGCTGTAGTTCTTGATTCAACTTGAATTCGTTGTATTTGTCATAACAAATAATTTTTATTTTTCACCTAATTTTCAGAAGAAAAAATCTTTTTCACCAAAGTCGCTTGTTCAAATCATTTCAAGAAATTTGTTTATCAAATTTAAAAATTTCAATGATCACAAACTAGTGCCTTTTCCGTCTTGGTTTGGTCGGCGTTTCCCCTCTAATTATCAAAGCCTTTTTGGGCACATTTGGACGACGAATTTCATCAAGTTTGTGACAGCGATGTTTATGCTTCATCGGATTTGGAGTTTACCGGCCTCTGTTATGTTTTTTCATAACCATGGTGCTTTTGCTATTGGTAGCAATTGGAATCACTCCTTCATGGTATTACATGATCTACAATGGCTTTCTTCTGGCCATGAGTTTACTCGTTAAGTCCCTTTGTTGGACATATACCACCTGTTACAGTATTGGTCGTCGAAAATGGAATATCGGCCTCACAGTATCCCTCGGTTGTGGCATTCCCGGTGATGGTGGCGTCACATGACGTTACGATGACATTGATCCTTGGGCATATAGAGCAAGTTGGGTGTGCAGAGGTGGGACCGGGGGAACTTTCTGGTTCTTGTGATAGGGCCCATCTCACATGGGTTTGTTTAGCTGGGCCTTAGATCAAAGCCCTGTTAATGATTATGTTCCTTACTTGGGTTACATGTTTGGCCACTTTGTTGTTGCTCCTATTTGCTTCAGCCCAATAGCTAGTCTTATGCATCATTTTAATATGAATCCGTTTAGAATCTTCATCCTTAGGCTGAACCAATATAGGATTTTTTGTAATGTGGAGCGTTTACTCAAGATGTTTGTATTTTTGGATAAAAAAAATGTGGTCTGATCCACCGTCTTGTCTTAACAAGGGCTTGCTCATGTATTATTTTTATGTTAAACAGTGCTATAACATACAAAGAGACAGTCAAACAACCACAAGGACACAAATTTCATGACCTATGTAATGAATGAAAAAATTGTTGCATGTCCATAATTTCATCACACATGGATTTATTTTAGTACAACTCAGTCCAACGGTCTCTCGTCCGTGCAATATCATAAAATAATAATATAATTAATTATTACATAAACAAGATGGAGTCGCTGATGAAATGTAAATTTGTTTTTATTTACATACGTGTAGTAAATTAATAATAAAATCATCATACTTTGTTACATAAGACACGTGAGGAGATTGAATAGTAAAATACACATACTATTGAGCACGTGACTGTTCTGATACGTCAATCCGACACCTCGGAACGAAATCACCTCCCTCACTAAAAATTGCCGTCCCATTTTCGAAAATTCAAGTCAACGGCCGTGGTCAACGACTAACTCTCTCTTTTATATATAAAATCATAGATATATGTATAATGTGTGAATGTATATATATATTTCTCTCTCTAACCTGACATGACACCACACCATTGTACAAAGACAAAGGATCTATTGACCAACAGTAGAGAGCACTGCTAGCTCTCTCTCTCTCACACACACACACACAATTTATTGTGATCACAACACAAACACCATCGCTATCGTCAACTACACTATATTTACACTTTCCCTCATCTTTAATTTTCAACTCTCTCTCTCTCTCATGGATCTTTCATGGGCGTATGGCATTGTCCTTCTTCTTCTTCTTCTTCAGGAATGTTGCTCTGTTCTCGCTATTGTTTCAAGCAAAGTGAGTTCTATTTTTTTCTTATTTTTTTATTTTTTATTTGTATCGGTAATAGAGTTCTAATCTCTCTTGCCAAAAAGGGTTTTATAAGTAAATTATGAATATTCACCTCGTGTAATTATTTGCTTAATTACAGGTTCACATAGTGTATATGGGAAATAGACACCATGGTGAGCCCCAGCTTGTTGAGGATTCTCACCATCAGATTCTTTCAGAAATTTTTGGAAGGTTTCATTCTTTTTAATTTTCTGTACATATATATACACACACATATGAACATATAAATTTATGTTACATGTACATATTTGGTTATTTTCAGTACTTAGGATCAATTATACAAAAAGATGTAATTAGTACAATTAAAATAGATTGGACATAGCGGAGACTATGCGAGTGAGATTGAGATATTATGTGATAAACGAATAGGAGAAAGTATATATAGAATAGCCATAAGAACCTTTTTTTTTTTTTTTTTTTTAGGGAAGTTAAAAATAATTGCGCACACACCCTACCTTCACTTCGAACCCCCAACCTTTCCTTTGAGGAGAAGGGATGATACCGCTGGGCCAATTGGTCATTTGGTAGCCATAAGACTTGATAAGATAGAAACATGAACAAGGCATATATGTGGGATGTTAGGAGTAATTAGGAAAAAAAATATCAATAATCATAGCATTATGGAGAAATTAGGTGTGGTGCCTATTAGCGAGGAAAATAAGAGAGAATAGACTTAGGTGGTATGGACATATTCAACACCGACGTAAAGTAAGGAGATGAAGATTGACTTATACAGAAGGCAAGAGACAGAGGGAGACCAAAACTAATATGGAATAAAGTGATGAGAAATGAATTTTAAAAAATTGAATACAGTAGGAGATACGGCTTACACATTAGAAAAGATTGAAGAAAGAGAATCCATGTGGTGACTGACTCATTTGCCACTTATAAGAGAGAAATTCAAGAATGATGACAACGGCATGAACATATTTGGGGTAAAAAAGAATAAAGATGAAAGTTTGAAGTTCAGTAATTTTATGATGCTTTTAGCTTTTGAAAGAAATTGGACAACTTGTCTCGGCTAGGCTAAATAATTGTATCTGATTTGTTCGAGTTTTTGGTGTACTAAACAATCCAAAACCTGAATTTTAAACTTTCTCAGCAACCAACATAAACAATTAATCTCCTTGATTATAGTGAGAGATATTAAAATAACAGCTTTTGGTTTCTGCTTATGCAGCAAAGAAGCTGCCATGGAATCAATTCTGTACAGCTACAAGCATGGGTTTTCAGGATTTGCTGCATTACTAACTCCTTCTCAAGCTAAACTGATTGCAGGTGTCATAATGTTAAACAACTCTAATCTCTGTTTAGTTAGTGTGTCCTGCTAATCTTGGGAATGATTGATTGCTATTGATACTCCCAGATTTCCCTGGAGTTGTTCGTGTAGTTCCTCACCGGATTCTCAATCTGCACACAACGAGAAGTTGGGACTTTCTTCAAATGTATCCTAATGCGGATAATGGAATCCTCTCAAAGGGTCAATCCGGTGCTGGGTGTATAATTGGCGTCATGGACACTGGTTGGTTGGTGTCGAAATGATATGCATATGCACGCTTATTGATTTCGGATGTTTGGCTCAAATTGTTGGTGTTTGATTTTGTTGTGCAGGAATATGGCCTGAATCCGAAAGCTTTAACGAAGTGAATATGCGACCAAAACCACCACGTCGGTGGAAAGGGATATGCCAGGAAGGAGAACAATTCAACAGTTCTTCTTGTAACAAGTTAGAACCCTAACTATAATCCTATTACTTCCATATCTCTTTTGAATGAACTGAATATGCATACTGCAAACCAAAAGAGTTCTTCATAATGCAGTCATTTCATGTCATATTCTCAAATTCATCGTCGAATCAAGAAAGCTAAAATCGTTTAAAATGTCTTATGAGAACATCTGATAAGTCAACACTAAATGCTAGGATGCATTGGACAGGAAAATTATTGGTGCACGTTGGTACGCCAAAGGATATGAAGCTGAATTTGGGAAGATAGATACAAGTGATGGGTTTGAATTCTTGTCTCCCCGGGATGCATCGGGTCATGGTACCCACACCTCATCTACCGCAGCTGGCGCTTTAATTAACAACGCGAACTTTATGGGACTAGCTCGAGGATTGGCAAGAGGTGGTGCTCCGTCAGCTTGGTTATCTGTGTACAAAGTCTGTTGGGCAACCGGTGGCTGCAGCTCAGCCGACCTCCTTGCTGCATTTGATCATGCAATTCTAGATCGTGTGGATGTGCTTTCGCTGTCTCTAGGTTCAACACCTCCACTTTCTACCTACGTCGACGATGTTTTGTCCATTGGTTCATTCCATGCTGTAGCTAGTGGCATTGTTGTAGTCTGCTCTGCTGGGAATTCTGGTCCTTACCCTGCAACAGTGTTCAATACTGCTCCTTGGGTGATTACCGTAGCAGCAAGCACAATCGACAGAGCTTTCCCTACTAAGATTACTTTGGGGAACAATCAAACAGTTGTGGTATGTTTATTTTCTTTCATCTGTGAATGCCGAATACAAGTTCATGTCAATTATGACACTCTCCATAAGTGGTTAAGAATTAGGCAAAGAACTCAAATTCAATGTGTTGGAGAGGAGACAGGAATGAATCTATCCGAGAACAGGGTTTTTGAGTCACTATCTGTTTAATAATGACATTGTGTATATGTTTTCTGCTCTTACACAGGGTCAAGCTTTCTACAAGGGGAAGAATGTTAACACGTTCTATCCAATTGTGTATGGAGAAGACATTGCATTAAGCGGTGCAGAGGAAGATAGTGCAAGGTAAAAATGCCTTTTCCAATGACTTTTGTTGACGCTCTATGATTCTTCTCTTTTGATGCATTTTTCGCTATGGTATGATTTTTTAACAGTTGTGACACGGGATCTCTCAATGCCACTTTAGCGCAAGGAAAGGTGGTTCTTTGTTTTCAATCTGTGACACAAAGGTCTGCCGCCACTGCTGCAGACACTGTAGTAGACGTTCAAGGTGTAGGAGTCATCTTTGCCCAGATTCCAACTAAGGATGTCGAGTTAATCTTGGATGTCCCTTGTGTCCAAGTGGACTTTACAATAGGAACTTATCTGCTGACATACTTGGCAACAAGCAGGTATCTCCATGAACTTACTGCAACTAAATCTATAGTTACCTGCCAATGTATGAGAATCGTTAGGATTATATAGGATCGGTTTATAATCGAATACACAGCGTCTCCTAATTCCTTGACCCCGAAAAGGGACATCTATAGCTACTTAAACAGTCTATCGGCTTGTTAACAGTTCCAAACTCAATGCATTGTCCTGTGTCTTAATAAAAATTTTACACTACAGCAATCCTGTTGTGAAGTTTAGCTACACGAAGACAACCCTAGGGCATCAAACTTCGCCAGAAGTAGCACTATTCTCTTCTCGAGGACCAAGTTCCCTCTCTCCCGCCGTCTTGAAGGTGCTAATCTTTCTAAGAAAACTAATCATCGTTCTTAATGACGACATTTTAACATAATTTGAATATGTTCTGCAGCCAGATGTTGCTGCGCCGGGAGTTAACATCTTGTCCTCCTGGTCCCCTGCATCTTCCTCCCAGGATCCCAATACCCCTCAAAATCAACACCTTCTGCGTAACTTCAAAATTGTATCAGGAACCTCCATGGCCTGCCCTCATATTTCCGGTATCGTGGCTCTTCTCAAAGTTATCCACCCCGCATGGAGCCCTGCTGCAATTAAGTCTGCCTTAATCACAACAGGTAAAGAAAAAAGAACTCAGATGGGCGTTTTAGCTTATTTGCAAAACTTGTTTACGCAACTAACTCGCTCTCTCTCTCTCTCTCTTGCAAACAGCCTCTGTCAAGGATGATTATGGTCAAAATGCTGTGGCAGAGGGAGCTCCACACAAGCAGGCTGACCCATTCGACTATGGAGGCGGTCATGTTGATCCTAACAAAGCAATGGATCCTGGTCTCATATTTGACATGAAACCCGCAGATTATGTTCAATTCCTTTGCTCCATGGGTTATAATGACACTTCCATCACCAACACGACTCAAGTTCAAAGCCCATGCCAAAAAAAAGCAAACTTCCTTTTAAACCTCAATCTCCCTTCTATCTCCATTCCCGAGCTGAAGAATAGAATGACTGTGTCAAGAACAGTTACAAACGTTGGTCCAACAGAAACCGTCTACTATGCTCGAGTTGAAGCTCCCCCTGGCATAAATGTGGTCGTGAAGCCGTCGATTTTGTTTTTCAATTTTACAAGAAAGAAGCTAAAGTTCAAGGTAACCTTTTGTACCCAGCAAAGAGTTCAAGGAAGATATGCATTTGGAAATCTGTTCTGGGGGGATGGTTTTCACGTAGTAAGGATGCCATTGATAGTTCGAGCTGTCATTCAAGATTTTTATGCAGACACGTGATTGCAGCTGTCATTTTTACAATTTTTTAAAAAATATTTCTCAAATAATTTTCCTTATATATCACAATCTCGCTTGGAAGACGGAATATGAAATCGGGGAGAGGAAGAAACTTTTGGAGTGTTTAGACAAAGCACAAACTTAGTAGGCTTAACGCACATGTAGAGGAAAGAGCAGATTCTTTTTATTTTAAACCAATTGAATATTTCACACTATTTCAAGCTTGCCTGAGATTCGTTGCCATGTTATCAATCAGGAAGGGTTTTTCCTGACTTTTTCTTTTTGTTTCTATAAATTATTAATTTTCTACCAAAGCTATAGTTTCTCCAATGCAGCAGTTTTGCTTCTTTCAATTATTATATATCTTCAATTAATCTACATGCATCAAGTTCGAAAATACATACATACATACATACATACATACATATATATATATATATATATATATATATATATACGCGCACACATATTTATATATATTTGTGTATATACTCATAATTTGCCACGACAAGTGCATGTTTTAAAATTGCAGGAGTGGCTTCAGTATTCATCCGTACAGGATATTCTCAAATTTATGATCATGGTATTTGAGAATGTTGGGATAGTTAAGACTGGATACATATCTAATCCGTGATATTATCTATGAAAGAAGCAGAAGTTTCATAAACAAGATTGGACAGGAAGATTTTCTTCACTAGCTTTTGTCTGCTAGGAGATATAAAGAGGATGGCTTGGACAAAACAGGTCAAGTCCCAACTAATTGACACTGTATTTGCAAATGAGAAACTGTGATATTGACTGATATTGCCAATAACACAATAGAAGGGCACAACAGAACAGATGCTTGAGAATACCTTGGTGTAAGAAGGAAAATGCTTTTAAGGCTGACTGCTTTAACCTAAATGCTTAGCCGAAGATTGTTGATTGGTTGGATATACAAAATATAAGGAAGTGGGACCCATACTACTTTATATCTCCGCCAATAAAATAGTGTTCTGGCAAGGATATTGAAAACCTCGGCCAGAGTAGCACTACTCGTAAGAAAGCCATTCTGCTAGGCTTCCTTGCGGACGGGTAAGCAGTTTTCGAGGATTTGCCACCCAAAAAAGTTTGCAGTGAATAATGGTTGAGAATTCAGATTGACTTTTGGTTTTGTTATTATTAATTACTGTATTATGGTTATGGAACTCATGATTGAGTGAAATATTTTTTTGACTAGTTACAGAAAAGAGGGTTGAAATAAAAGGACGTTTATCACACAAGTGGATGTAATGGCACCTGAAATTCCTTCCACAATTATAATGACACATTAACAACTACACCTCCACTACTACTACTACAACTACTTTCAAGTCTACGCAACATATTAATACTAGCAGCACCATTGATTGAAGGACTTCACCATGTGATAAATAGCTAGGGCACTTTGCACAATATTTTCAAATAAAGTTTGGTAACACATACAAGAAATATAGCTACAGCACTTGCACAATATTCCCAAAGAAAGCACATATCCACTAACCATCCATATTTTTAGCATCTTCAAAGTAGTGGTAGTTTTGGAAGTACACAATCTAAAAAAAGGTGCCTTCCGGCGAAGGAGTAATGACAACAGTTTCCAGCCAGATGGGATTTGCATCTTTTTGAACAATAACTGTTTGACAACCTATTAAAATTTTCAGTTTTTCAACCAATTGCAATTCGCCACTTCTGTCTAATGACTATCTAACAAACACACTAAAATTGGTGATTTTTTAGGGCAAACAACGCCCTTGTAAAGAATGTCAAATTATATTCCTTTTCAAGTGTTCCTACCTAATGTAACCCTATAATAGGATTCGGACTACAGCAAGACCAACTGCAGAGATGGACACGAGGGTACCTATGCAATATTTGATCACATCATACTTTGCCGCTTCCAAATGGGCCCTTAATGCATGAATTTCCTGTAGACAATATTACATAAATCAAAATCTATTGCCTCAGGTCAAAATACTATGGAAATTTATTTCTCAAATGCATCAAAAAGCTTACTCGGTCAAGTTTGTTAGTAAGGCTTGAGGTTTCTGCATTCTGATTGGCAAGCTCATCACGTATGCGCCTGTAATTTAGTTGTAATTATGAATAAAGAGGAGGTAGGAATAAAAGAAAACCAATTGAAACTTGTGGGAAGTACCATGGTGGGGGTACAATTAACTGGAACTGTATTTTCTTACCCTCTCTCGAGATTTAAATCCAAACGCTGGCCTGCAGTGACCTTGTCAATCTCATACCTGTTTTAGAAAATGCAATGACAATATTATTCATCAAAGATATAGATTCATGTAGAATGCCAAAACAACTGTTTTACAATTCAAAGACACACCTAAGTTCACTGCGCATTTTATCTATATCACTACGAAGCTTTTCAGTCTCACGTTGCAACAAAGAGAAATGATGCTCCTGCAGCAAAAGAATATTAAAGATATTTTTGGCATTGTTATTTACTTCTAGTAGCAAGTAATAAATTACTTATATCCGTACCGGCAACCCAGAATAATGGTTTTATATATAACCATTAGCACTATAATGTACATGCATGGAAAGCCAAGCATGCATCATGGAAACTACTTCAGCAAGACAGCACTTGGAGAGATAACAATGTTCTTGTTCCTATACTGGAACATCAGAACATGGCATCAAAGCTTGATTTCAGAATCAATTTCAACCAGTGATGGGATAAACCCAGAAATTTCAATAAACAATGCAAAACTATCACCAAAGAGCACCGGGGATTACAAAATATTAGAGGACAATTTAACAATGCCCTTCAAACCAAATTTAAATCGCAAAACTCGGAAATCAAATGATATAAAGGACTTCTGGGTCCAACTGGTTCATAAAAGTGGGTAAACAACTGGGGCCCTGCAGTAGAACTGAATTCTAAAGTTTATTCCAACAGTTGACACTACAACAAAATCTGCCACTAAATCAATGCAATTTATTCTAGTCAGTAGCCGGATAATAAAGGAGATGTTTGGTTGGGGGGTGGGGGGCTTGGCTGCATATGTCCTAAATTCTACACTGCCTTTTTAAACACTTTGTACAATTAATGGCAAATCTTGGGCCTGTTTTCAGTCTTTCCCTATTCTCTCCCAACATCTTGCATAGGATAAACATATGCTGGATAGTGTCCTTTAAAAATGGCTACACTACAAACATATCCATCCTCCATCTCTCTGCATCTTCCATCGTTCGTCTCTACCACACACTTCCTCCCTCCACTGTAAACAGTGAATGGAAATTATGGAATGCTTCTGCTATAGCTACATTTTGTTCAACCAAAAAAAAAGATTATACATATAAGTTACGGATGGACTAAGCTTTTGCCTCTGGAGAACTGTGTACTTCATAACAAAAGCACGGGCCATTAAACAATGCCCTTGGGTTTCAATTTGCATCAAGTTCCTCCAGAATTTCAATCAGCACTGACATTTAGTTGTCAGTATTGGAAGACTCAAAGATTAGTTTCTTTTCTCCTCCCCCATTACCACATCTGGCATCAATTAGAAATTACTCTCTCAATTTATACTAAGGTCTGGGGTTTTCATGCTTCTTTTAAAATTTTCTAAAATCAGTAAACTCACTCAAACACACAAATAAAAAGTACTACCTGATTTCCAATTCAATATTCCCTTTTCCTCATTTTTTTTGAAGTATTGAGGGCTTAAAGATTAATAGACACACTCTTGAAACATGTTAACTTTAGTAATCCTCCATCTAATAAAGGTAAAAGGACGAGTCATCAACTTAAAAGGACCCTCCCTGCAGTAAAGCCCCCAAGCGTTAATGAATGTTAATAGATAAATAAACTTCATAATCCCATAATAAATATGGAAAATCCATACATAGTTTATTCCAGTTTGGTCTGCTTTATGCATTTCAATGTCTATGCCACAGTTTCAGCCGATCAATGACATTTCTTATAATTTTATATCTAATGGAATGATAAAAAGCTACTATTACATAATGGTGGTCCTAGCATCCATGAATTTGGTCACAAATAAGGACAAATTTTGGCTTTTATTTGCACGAAGTAGATGCCTCAGCTCAAATTCGCATTCTCACACTAGTCAAATGAACTTTCCCGATGCATCAAAGGATGGCCCCTAAAAAAAAGAAAAAATCTTCTATAAATAATCAGACTTTCCTGTTTAATCTAATCTCAGCGGCACTTTTTGTTCATTAAATAGGAAATTTACACTTCAAAACCTTTAGAATTAATAGTAACCGCATAGAATGGTGATTGACTGGATTAATTCGGTCATAGTAATCACTAATACCAGAGCCTATTTGTTTATAAACTTATTCTAATTTTTATTATATGACAGTGATTGACCATTTCATAACCCAGTAATAAAAAAGAGACCAAGTGAATGAACATCTATGTGCCAAATGCTAGAACGCTCTTCACAATTTATTTTCTAGGTTCTGGACAAACACCCAAAGAATCAGGAGAAAACCCCATAGGTAAGGATGTCAATGGGACAATCAGGGTGGATCACCTCTATCCCAAACCCGCTCCAAAAAGGAAAATCAATTAAGAAACCCGTTTTGCCCCGCCCTGCATCAGGATGGATGGGGTGAGGTTGATGGGATCGCACCGCTATGTGTACATTTTTATTTAAAAAAATAAAATAAAACTCCAATCTTGATTAAATTTATGATAAATTATAAAAAGATTCAAGATTATGGGAATATCAATGATATACCCCGTGATAATCAATATTAATCATATTACAAATACTTAACAAGCATAATCACAAATTTCCTTCATTTTGTGCTTAAAATTTTAAATTATCACCAAAAAAAAAAAAAAAAATGGAAAGAAAAAGGCTGTATAATAATAACATGTATATTTATATATTTTTATTATTAATTGGGGCTGGTTCAGGTTTTGACTATATCCCCAAACAGCCCCTAACCCAATTAGATGCACAAAAACCAATTCCACTATGGCCAGGACAGGTCTCCACCCGGGCAGGTTAATTTGACATCCTTGCCCCTAGGTTTACATTTTTAAGATTTCTCAAATCTTTAGCAAAAGATCCTGCATATCTAAACAAACAAAGCCTTTTCCTCATTCCAGTTCTACTATAACTGAATCAGTATTCACGATCTGTGTATAAATTAGACCATATCAGAAAAGAATCTGACCTTTTAGAAATGAACTGTTAGTCTAATAAAACCAAAGCAGACAGATAATTCATTTACACACCTTCCACTTGCAGTAAGCTAATTGTGATTATAAATTTTCAGGGACAAAAAGGACAACAACCAATAAGCTGTGAAGAGGAAGAAAATAATAAAAATAGGACCATACAAAATTCCTTTGAAGATAGTACAAGAAACAAGCTCAAACCTCTACACTACATCTACCAGATCATAAGCAAGATGTGTGGGTCAACAACAGAATCTGAAACGTGGGACAAACAAACCATCAAAACTCAAAAGGACATCACACACATGGATTCATCATCATCATCATCCTTGCCTTTATCCATAAGAAAAGGGTCTGCCACATCATGTAAACATATTGAAAAAATAAATGAACAGGAGGAAAAAATTTCTCCAAGGCTTCAATAATATCGGAAGGATATCGCAAAAAGCATACTTCAAGTACGGAAGTTCTACACCTGAAGTCGAGGTAATTTAAAATTTTAACCGACTGGAAATCCTCCTCCACATAACCTGTGCTAGTTACCAGAATGCAGGCCACAGTACATAAAATCAGCCAAAGTATGCCTTGCATGAGATAGAATGCCCACACAAGTGGGGCATTAAAAAATCCAAGCAGCAAACAAGCAACTCGGCCCCTACTCGTGTATCTCAGCTTGTTCATGAAGAAATAGGCAAGCCAAAGTGGAGCCTTATTATAAGCTTGACCAAAAGACAAAGCCAACTAAAGCAAAGTTGTGTTCAGCTCAGAAAGCTTGAATGACAATCATGCAAATTTTCCAATAATATCAAGGGTCAATAAATTCTTAATTCTCTGAATCCCTCAAATTGGTAAAAAGTATAAGTTCTTCACTGGCAGGTTATACTTTGTGCTAAAATACCACAACTATATTGTAGTTTGATCCTAGTGCGGTCCAATATAACTTTCAAGGTATGAATGGTGCGCTTGGAGGTGAGGCTATCACTGCTTGAAAGGACAATTGCCCTTCAATGCTCTGACTGAAGGGAAAGATCTAAAAGTTAAGAAACTAGAGTCTTTTTAAGTTGACCACCAATTGCCAACCAGACACCTCATAGTAAACAAATCTCATTTTCACTCTTCACATTGAGCTGAGCCAATCCTATCATCACGCATGAGCTACTTTATTATATTGCGAGTTGAGCCTGGACATAGGATGCCAAGTTCAAAACGAATTCAGGCCAAACTCAAGCTAGAACTCCATTTTAACTGCTTGGCAAACAATCATACAGTCTCAGCTTGTTTTCACCCCACACAAAAGCAACGGTGCCAAAGTCAAACAGAATACATAAGAGGCACAATTGTAAAGGAACAAGACACTCTCGACTTTTAAAGATTATTAGAAAACATCATTAAAAGGGCAAACCCAGTGCATGAGGCTTCCACCATTGCAGAGTCTGGGGAGGATTACATATATGAAAAGAGAGTTGTTGACTGGTTCAATGGTAAAACAGCTAAGCATTAGTGCCACTGGCCCAAGTTCGAGCCTCAGATCAGTCACTTTACAAAATATCAAATGTTAGATCTGTCTCAAGTCTTTCCTCCCCAAGATCCTGCTCCAAACAGGGTAATGTCCCTTTATAACATATATGAATAAAAATTAAACAAATTTTTTTTAAAAAAAAAAAAAAAACAAAACAAAAACAGAAAAACAAACAAAATTCCTCACCTGAAGTCTTTCTTAATGTAACACAAAGCTACATAATCAACTTGAGAAACAATGCCATAATGGTCGAAATGGACTCCGGAGAGTATGATGAACACCGCATGCGGAATTTGATGCATATGATGATGGATTTCTTTGTGTCTGTCTCAAAAGACACAGGTTGTACTTGATGCGAACTTTGAGATGAAAAACCAGGAAAGATAATCCGCGAGAAGAATTCAAGACTTCAAGTTCAGTGTCAGCTAGCTCTTAAGGTGTGCAGAAAAGTCAATGATTGACGATAGCTTGGTGTGCTGTTTAGGAATTGGTGATTATGTGATGTCATGGATTGATTTGAGAGTGGTGGAGGTTTGTAATAAGCTCCAAATGGACATCAGTGACACATGGTGGACATATGATAGGTTAATGATACACTAATGCTCAGGTTAACAATTGCCAACTACTTCTTCTCTCTCTCTCTCTCCCTCTCGCAAGTGTTGGCAACTAGGAAGTTCAAATACGACACGATACGCGTACGGCGATACGGCAAATCTCAAAAGAAAATGATACAAGTATGGCAGGATATGACAATAAAAAAATAATAAATTATATATATATATATATATATATATATATATGTATTTTTAAATCAATTTTTTAAGGATACAAGTACTGCGGGATATTGCGATGCACTGGACCGTGGTTCAGTGCTCAGCGCGGACAACAGCTCATGGCAACACTATCATAAAGAAACATGAGGGAAGCATATCTGATCAAGGTGGAGGTGGTCCAAGTTGTTGTTCTGTCAGGTTATGGTTGGGACGCTACGCCACTCTAGTGTGTAAATAGCATGTGGTGGAAGTAGGAACATGGAAATCTTATTTGCAAAAGTAATGATGGTGCGAAAAAAGATGATAACTGCCCATTGTGATGTATAGCATCAGTCTCCAAGCTATCTTTGTGTCCCCTATAGAATTTTTTATTTTTTTTATAAGGTAAGTTACACTTTGCCCATGCCGGGGCTCGAAGCCCTCCCCTCCTCTTTGAGGATGCGAGGCTATACCATTGGGCCAAAGGCCCTTTGGTGTGTCCCCTACAGAAATTGAATTTGGAATTTCGGACGGCCTCTAAAGCAGTCATAACTTTCTCAAAGAGATTTGTATTAATAGTCAGTTTAGGCAAAAGGCACAAGACAAAACATTGCAAAGACCTTGAGAAAACAAGAGCAAAGAGAAGACATTGACAAATAATTTTCCTTTTAAATTTCAATTGGTTAGACCAAAAAATTAAATAAAAAAAGTATCTGCATCACATTGCAACTGATTGCATAATCAAGAAATAAAATGCATAAACGGATTCATACCTGAGAACTTTGTACTTCAGACTTAAACTTTGATAGATTGGATTCTTGAAGCATCTCTGTCTACAAAGATACAAAAATAAATTATAAAAACACTATCATAGCTCATATCCATAGTAATGCAACCCATTTCTAACTATTAGTATCATGCCATGAATGAACTCTTACTTTCTGCATTTCTGCTTTTGAAACAAACGAGTGAGCCACATTTTCCAAGCTGTCATTCAAAACTTCAGTAATAGCAGCTGTTATTGCCTCAGCCTGTTTCGAAGGCACACCTTCTGCCTCTAAACTTCTCACCTGCCCAATTGTCATAATAACAACCCTCAAGTATATCTTTAAGGGAAACACAAAGACTGAATCCTCAACATTACATTGTTTTAATACTGTAACCACTACTTTACACACTAACATGTGTGTGTGTGTGTACACATATATAGACACACATAGCTCCTACAAGAATTTAGGGCTATTCCTCCTAATTGTCAAGAAAATGTACCAGTAACAACAATATACACACAACTCCTACAAGAAATTAGGGCTATTCCTCCAAATTGTCAAGAAAATGTACTAGAAAACAACAATAGACACACACACAACTCCTAATTAGAAATTAAGACTATTACCCCCAATTTCCAAGAAAATGTACCAAAAACAACAATACACACACACACAACTCCTAAAAAGAAATTAAAACTATTACTCCTAATTGTCAAGAAAATGTACCAAAAACAACAATTTAAAATTATTGATTTCGAAAATTATTATCCAGAAAATGCACAATAAGAACAAAACTACACGTTTGCCAATGTAATCGAGATAATTACCAGAGCTAATGTATCGACAAGAAATGCGCGCTTTCCATTAGAATTCACAAGTTGAGAGATCTGCCTACAATCGATTCTGCTTATGCGTGAATTTGAAGACAAAGAACCGCCAAGATTCCTTGAAGAGCCATCCAAGTGAAGCCTCTCCGCAACAGCAGACACCTTTGAGCCATCAAACCCTCGCAGTTTTGCCAAGCAAAAGCCATTGTTAATACCTAATCGAATCGCACGCTTATACACGGCCATGAACTTGTTCGATGTAACGAATCTCAAAATTTCTACACTATCTTCAGATATTCCCAAGCAAGATGATGTTACAATTTACAAAAACAGAAGAGACAAGAGTTGGTTCATTGTGTCAGTCTTTGATAATATTCTACTAATTGATTATTGAATGTTAGATGATAAATGGAACGTGTTAGATTATCGATGATAAGAGTTTCTCTCTCTAGAACCATAGAGATAGATAGAGAGAGAGAGAGAGAGAGAGGAGAGAGGCGGCGAAAAGCACGCGGTTGCTTGATGGTTAAGAAGAGAAGAGAAAAGAGAGAGAGAGGAGAAGAGAGGAGAGGGTTAGTTGATTTTGCAAACAAACGAAAAATATGGCGCAAGAAATAGAAATAGAAAGAGAAAGAGCCCTTTGCTTGTTCCGTTTTCGCCCTCTCTGTCGTTCCGCCTTTCTTACAAGCTTAAATTATACGACATCTTTTCCTTTTGCTTTTTCTTTATTTATTTATTTATTTTTTTTTCTTTGCCACGGAACAATACCTAAAAAAATTCTTCTAAAGTGACACAATTTTTAAATTTAATGATTATATATCATATGTGTGAATTGTGAACCAACCTAATGCATTATACTCACAATCTTTGAACTTATCCGAATAAAGCTTATTGGAGGTATTATTTATCAATAGACCCGTAGATTTTCTATCTTGCACATATTAGTTAATTATAAAAAATTTCTCTAGAGTGGTCCGAGAATATTCAAACTCTCGATTTTCAAGAGGGGAGAATCTTTGTATTGGACTATCTCCTAAGGATTAGAGATGAGAGTCTTTGTCATTTGACTTTCTTCTTGGGATTAATTGCATTTTATTTTTTAATTTTTTACGCACACTAGTGCAATTTTTTGCTCATTCGGATTCGAACCCCTCCCTTCCTTTTTTTTTTTTGTTCATAATTGGTACTCATACACATATGTCTCTGAAACTTGAAACCCTATCCTCCCTTTAAGAAGTAAGAGGTTAATACCGCTAGGCTAATGGATTCGAACCCTCTTTTTAAGTATGGGAAAAGTTAAACAACTGAACTACATACCCTTTGAAATTACACATTATTTGAAGCATGCAAATAATGAATAGTAAATGGTAAATTTACAAAGATTAGGATAATTTCCATAAAGAAAACCAAAGAGCAAAAAAAAGACACGAGAGAAGAAAATAAAGGAAGAAGAATATATAGCAATAGGTGACATCATAGCAGGCTGGTTGGATGCAATGAAAATGCAACAAAGAGATTATGAAACAATCTTCATGCATTGGATACTTTGTTGTTAACCCCCTCGTGTTGAAATGGGGTATAGGCCAAGGAGGTACACTGCTGCAATTGCACCATCTCTTCTCTTGCAATGGACAACTTTTTACAGAAAAAGAAGGAAAACCCTTTCTTTGAACCATCTAGACCAGTCACTTTCTTTGCTCCATGCTCTTTATATCTTTCCTTACATTGAATTATTTAAATTTTTTTTAACTCATTCCATCAACAAACTAATCCAAAGGCTTAAGACATCAATAAGACCATAACCAACTGTTCTTAAACTGCAGAATTTTTGTCAGACATAAAAGGCATCAATCTCTATACAGGAACTGACTCAATGACTGAGAGAACAATGTGCAATATTGCAAATCCATTCATCAACCATATTGGAGAAATGAACAAAATGTGATATAAATTAAACCATCAAAGGCATGCATATATATGTTATCACCTGAGAAGGAAAACCCTTCCTCTAGTTGCAACAACACAATAATTAGTTATATACAAGGAGATGAGAATAAAAAACAACAGCATAACTAGGACTCAACAAGAGGACAATGCTAGTTCCCCCATCCAAGCTTTCTTTTTTTAATATAAATTGTAAATGGGGAACAGCTCTGCTACTTGGGTCTCCTTCGGTAAGGATACAGAATGTTGTCCAGGCTGTTTTTTATGCGATTGCCCACTTTAGACGCATTCTTAGCCACGCCAAATGCAACCACGCCTGCATTCCTTCCAAACCTGCGTAATTTAAAGTTTCGGGCTTTGGATCATCAAGGATAGACATCCCCAAGAAGAATTTTAGAACTAATTTGGAAAGAAAGGCATGTAATTTAAAGTTTTATTGAACTGTTGACTTACCTGCTCACAAACTCATCCCAAGGAGAATGTGCCGGTGCGTAGGTTCGAGGTTGTGGGACAGTCTCACCATCTTTATACAGAGACCATGAGTCAGTATCATGACACATACAGAGAGCAAATGTCAAGAATTCCTGATTGCATGCTATAATCATTCTAATGCACTAAACCTTGGATGAATATGGACTCAAGAAATCACTTTGCAATACTCTCCTGCACCACTATCATTGTTTCAAGCATTTTAAAAGCGCCTATCTAATAATCTTCGTGTAATGTAACATAAGGTCATTCGTTATAATAAAAATGGCAGTTTCAATTTCTTTATTATCAAGTCGAAAAATCAAATCTGTAAATCATTTTCCAACAATATGTGGCTTCATTATAATAACAAAACTCATCTACTGAAAATATATATCTAACCATCTAGAAAAACTTCACAAAGGAAAAGGGGAAAAAAAAAAAAAAAGAAAAAGATAAAAGAAATAGGCAGGATGAGACATTAAAAACGCAATAAATGACTATTAAATACCTTCCCTCTTGTGAACACGGGAAGGAACTTCAGCATTTGCGGGTCTTGTCCCCATCAAAAACTGTAACAGATAGCTATTCGTGTCAGATTTTGACAAATAAGGCATACAGCACTAAGCAATTCATCAAAAAGTAAATTACTAGTGAAGCAAGCACACAGCAAGAAAAACATTTTAAGGAAAGCCAGATCAAAACTAAGCTAGGAGTCTGCTACTTGAACGATGGCTATGGTGAGGTCAACGTGTGTTATCTCTTTGATTGATGTCTAATAGTCACAACCTCTAAAAATTCACATATGTGATTCCTTTTTTGGTGGTTGACAATGGATAGTAATTGGATCCCTAACTCCGCCCCTCTTTTAGATTCCATGCCAACACTTTACCATTGTGCTACGCCGGCTTTGGCAAGTCAAACACCGTACTTTGAACTCCCATAAACTTTCTTACAATACCAAGATTTAATATTGAAATTGAACAAGGGACAGTAATTGTTGAGTTGCACTAGATCCACTGTTAGAGATGTAATCAAATAACTGAACAAGATAAATTCAACTAGTTTTCATAGGCAAAAGTTATTATGAACTAGGTTTTAAATATTGGGAAGAATGGAAAACAAGGGAAAAAATAAGTTAACGATATACCTCAATACCAACACAGAATGGTAATTCAGCTTGTTTCTCTTGTGGATCAGTTGAAGTATCTTTTTTCTCCAGGTGCACTGAGTAACCGACGCATGAATACTTGAACTCCATAAGACCACGATTCTCTTTAGAAGCTTTCAACTCAGAGTCTCTCACTACATAACTTGGTACTGAAATATAACTTAAAAGTGAGTACATATCTTCTGATAGATTTAACTAGCACAAAGGTAAAGGAAACAAGAAAGACACTAGGAAGTAGCAACATGGTTCATTTACAAATGAGCCACCAACAAATTAATAAACTTCAATCAGCTTTTAACAGAAGAATTCAAATTATACAATTCGAAGGACCAAGCACTGCAGATATCATAACTGTTTTTAAGACTAGCAATTAAACTTCCATTAACTAGGCCAATTCAAGTTGCAAGAAATGTCATAACTGTTTTATCAACAACTGAATAGTCTAAACCAATACTGGTCTGCTATGCAGAGCAAGCCGCAACTGTTCCATAAATATACAATGACACCGATGAAAGTCAGTCTAGTATATCGTTCAAAGTCGTTTTATCAGTCACTAACTCAAGGTCCTCGGGGATGACTCAAACACAGACACAGATCAGTATCAGGCTGTAGTTTGCTACATATAAAACTTGACAAATATTAAAAAATATGAAAACGCAGAAAACATAAGAACAAAATAGACCCATCAATTAAATAAAATGCAATATATATGACATAATATTATCTAGATGATCAACACAAACATTACTAAATTATCCTACTACCATAATACATAATAGTTGAATAATGAATATCCAATAAAATCCAAAATACATATCAATTCTCAGTGCAGAATAAACTGAAGAAATAATATCAATTATCATCCCTATTGTACCTGAATAAATACATTGTCTTCCTCACACTGTCCTCATCATTCCCATAACCTTAACCCCACTCTCAGCTTCACTTCCCTCGTAATAATTCTAATCATTTTCAGTTGAGTATCATCATTGTTTTCTTTCTTTGTCATGCTCTTCATGCTCATGACATATTAAGTAGTTAAACACATATTATATTTATGAATGTAATAATCGATTTATATAATTTATTGATTTCCCAAAATAAAAGCAAAATCAAGAGAAGTAAAAGGGCATTACTGAAAGTATGTCCTGCCTATGCTGAGTATTGTGACGAAAAAATTGAAGATAGACATTATTTGCAAAAAATGACTCAGACTTTTACTATTGCACCATGCTCCCCATAAATGTGAGAAATTGATTGCTAATTTTCCCTAATTAAAGCATATTAGAAATCTACAGACATTTATGAAATTTAACTATTTTGTTCACTTATAAAAAATAAAAACTACAAGGACACTGTAACACAAACATAAAACATCTAGATCAATAATAAATTTAGTGTAGGTAGCAATATCAACTAATTTAAAATCACTGTAGGCCACTAAACTAGAACACATAAAGGTTATGAATCTCTCCCCTCCCAACACCAAGTTAACAGGGTAAATGTTTTACCAAGATAGAGTAACATGTCATGTGTACCATTTGCATCAGTTGACTCCACTAAGATGTAGCACAAGTGATCTTATGAGATACACCAAATTTATTGTTTAGACACCCAAACACCTTTTTTTCTTTCTTCCTCTATTCTTTCTTTCTTCTCTATTCAACACAAGTAAGAAAAAACGAAGGGTTCCATTGTCATTCCCTCATCAACAATTTTGATTGAGAGCTTGATCAACCTTTTCTTGGGTTGGGTTTCTAATATTCTCTTCCATCATGCCTATATGCATGTTTCGGTTTCAATACTTTCCAAAATTGTGCTTTAATGATGTTAGAAGCTGAATCATGTTAAATCTAGGTGAAACCATGTTAGATCTAAGTTAGACAAAGATGAACTCTCGTACATCTAGATTGAATTTTTGTTGGAGGCACGCGATACTCTCGCAAGTGGTTGCTGGCTTCTCAAAAGCCGCAACATATTCCTCCATCCCGACTCAAATGATTTGCCCCCTTCAAGTGATCTTGCTCTTGAATAGTAGCCTATCACATTCTATGTTGATTTCCTAAGTTCCATCTCTTCTGGTGTCTGTATTGTTTGGAGCAACATTTACGCTAGTTACATGAGTATGGAGCCTTCTGCCTTCCCAAATTGTATTTTCTGTTCTACATGGCCTTTAGTTATGTCATCAGTGGTATTAGACTCTGAGATCGCTGTAACTCCTATAGTAACCCTCACTTCCTCCTCTTTTTTCTTCTTAGTTGGTGGATTTGAGGTTATGTTGATCTTTGTATAGCCCTAGGGTATGCCCCTTGGATTTTGTAATCCTTCTTGGATGTTTATAATACTGACTTACTTACCTATATATATTTTAGTAAATAGCAAGCTAGTGCAGTAGTATGTGTTGATCATTTAGGCAACACTATATACTTTAAATGTTTCACACATTCATTTTTTTTAGTCTCATTATTTCTATTTTTTTGTTACTTCTTAAAACTTTTTGGTCTTATAAATCTTTATAGATTGTGCAATACCATCTTTAAAGATAGTGCATCTTTTTATGTAAGGGTGTTATTTAAAAAAATCGTGATACTATATGGGGTTATCTGCATACATCTGACCCTCCCCAGACTCGGTAATGCCAAGAGCTTCGTGCGTTGGGCTATCCTTGTTTTTTTCTCTTTTTTTTTTTTCAGGGGTTACTACACTTAACTCTTTTTTTTTTTTCCTAGGTGGAACTCACACACACAGCCTCCACTGAGATTCAAACCCTGACCTCCCTTTTTTAAATAGCAAGTAAAGGTTCCAACTTAGATAAGAACATTTCTTCAATGCTTATTATAAGAATTTAAGATATAATCATCTGGGTGTTTCATTTCTTTTCTTATCATAGTTTTTTTTTTTTAAAAAAAAAAATCAGAAGGTATTAAAAAATACATTTATAGGTACAACCTAAGAATAATCAATGAAACCAGCACCACAATAAATGGCTAAAACACTAGTCCATAATAGAAAATTCTTATATCAAATAAATCACGTCGCATGCTTTAAATTATGTCTGTGTATCAATCAGGCTTAGGTCCACGATTCTTTGATACTGAGATCTCAACTCTAGATTGAAAGATGGCACAAAGACAAGCATTAAAAATAAAAATAAAAAAAAGGTTACAAATATATATATGCGTGTGCATATATAGAGTTACTGCTTTGAAAGATGACATAAAGACAGGCATTAGAACATAAAAAAAATTTTGAAACATATGTGTCCGTGTGTGTGTCTATATATATATATATATATATATATATATATAGAGAGAGAGAGAGAGAGGAAACCTTGTCGAAGGGTTCGAGTGAGGCCAACGCATGTGGGATTTTGAGATTTGGATTGGCGGATAGATGAGTAGTATAGACATCCTTTGCATGACTTGCCCTTCGACCGTGTTCCGGTGCTGGTCTGATTCAAGTTTCGATTTCTATTTTGATTTTGATTTTGATTTGGGATTCCATCTTCTTCTTTATTCACCTTCATCTCTCTCTCTCTCTCTCTCTCTCTCTCTCTCTCACCCTCTCTCTTCGTCTCTCTCTCTCTAAAAATATAATATGCATGTGTTATTTAATTGGCGGTTCATATATATGTAGTATATTGAAGGGGAGACACGATAGAATCTGGGGACCCATTTTTCAATCCTTTTCATAAAGGTTATATATTTATTTATTTTACACATTTTTTTTTTTTTATTAGCAATAAATTCACTCGTTTAGAAAAATTATATGATTAAAAAATATATGTTATCAAAATTACAAATTAAATCACGAAACCCGACCTCTGACATTACAATTTGTTGCAGGAAATTTCTTAACCAATGGACCAGTCCCGTGTTAATTCTTTTTCAAATTTTAGTGTTTGACGGTAATTTTTAAAAAGAAAACATACAGTGACAATGTAAAAATATATCTAATCAAAGCATTCCAGAATTCAACAAAAATGTTATCACAAGAAATGCTCTCATACTTTCGGTCTTCCATGAAGATCACGTGCTACAATTTTTAGTTGAGTTGGACTTGAAGACAGATACTACTACAATAAACCCAAATGGGTCCACAAGATGAAACTAAAATTTGTAATTCAAGAATGATCCAATCTCCTCCATCAGGAACCACTTCCATTCATAATTTTATATATCGACTGCTGCTTGGGTTTTAGCCCAGCCCATCCAAAACACGTCGGAGGAGTGCAAGGAGACGGCATTCAACTATAGTAGCAACATTGCCCACATACAAAAATAAAGGTGTGCTGCCTTCAAACTGCACAAACTTTACAACTATAAACCAACATAGCCTCTTGAGAAAAAGAAAAATAATAATAATAATAATAATAATAACTATAATAATACTAACAGAACTGCCTAATAGGACAATTACTGTACAAAACCATTTTATGTTAACTGCTACATTTGACGGGTTTAAGTGTGCAGATAATCGCAAGAAGCACCCTTCTTACAATGCCCATTGTCGTAGAATATGCACTTTCTTTGACCTTTGGGGAGAGGCCTGGGAGAAACTCCTGGACCCCCTCTGCCAAATGAAGACTGCCTGTTCCAAGTCCTGCCACCGCCAAAACCAGGAACTCCACCACCCTGAGAGCCCCTATCCCTTTGACCTGAGTATCTATCTCCATTGCGTTCCCACGTACCCTGATTCCCAGCTGCTGCACCCCAACTTGGATTTGCATTTCCAGATTGCTCCTGCACATTAACTCCTGAATTCCCAGTTGACGCAACCCAACCAGGATTTCCGTTCCCAGGCAGTAGCCCTTGAACAATAGCTCCTGGATTCCCAGTTGATGTGACCCAATTTAGATTTGCATTTCCAGGTGCTGTCCCTTGAGCAATAGCTCCATTCTTCATGTTAATGTTTCCTGGTGCTGGTTCTCCCCAGCCCATGTTTGCATTTCCGGGCACTGGCCCCCAACCAGTACTTGGATTATCAGGCCTAGGACCTGGGGCAAAAGTGTTACTTTCGGTAAAGCCAGTGCCCCACGATACACTGGGTGGAGCAGGAGGCTGGATGCTAGTTTGACTGCCCAGAATTGGAGGTCTCCAAGGATCAGTTGGAGGTAAAGCTGATAAGCCTGTAGTCTGAAAGTTTCCACCAGGATTCTGAACAATAGATGGAACACCACCCCATTGACTATAACCTACTGGCTGCCCGGGTGCAGGAATTGAGGAATTTTGTTCTAACATCTGAGCTGGAGTACTACCCCAGGCTTGAGATTCACTCCCTGAACCCGATCCCCATCCATGAGCATGTGATCCATCTGTTCCAGTGGATTGAAAAGTTAGTTGAGCATTTTTAGAGCTTACAAGGATACCCTGATTGGCATTCGTTGCTGGACTAAAACCAGTATGAGATCTCAAGTACTCGTTTTCAGAACCCCTTCCCCACAGCCCGCCAGAATCCAAAACTGAAGTAGGAGCCAAAACACCAATGGGTTCCACCGCTGGATGTTCTTTGCTTCCATTTGTGTTTATTGTAGAAGAATGTGTCAATAGACCATTATCAGGATTGCTTTCTTTTGGAGTTGGTGATGGAAGGTTTAAGGAATCATTTCTGCTACGAGGACTCCACTGGTCTGTAGAAAATTTAGAGACCTCAACCGAAGGAATGGTCCAGCCACTAGAAGAACTAGGCTCCATTTTCTGTAAGGATGTTCCAGAAGACTTCCCAGCATATGTTGATGAGAGGTTTGGACTAAGCACTGTTTGAGCCTTCATAAAACCATTGTCTACTGGAAGCAACTCTTTCTGAAACCTTCCAGCCAACGTATCAGTCAAAAGGATAGAATTATCTGGATTTTCAGTAGCTCTCCAAATTCTAAGATCGGCAGGGAAGTATCCAGTGTTACTCCATTTACGTAGCTGCACCACAGAAAATGGTCCCTGAACTCTTCCGGATGGATCCTGGTAGCACCACAATTTATCTGCTTCACTGATTTTTGGAACAGTTTCTGCCAAACTAGCAGAAAGAGATCCCGGTGAAGTATCTGACATGGCATCATATCTTACTACTGAATGGCTATTCCATCCAACAGTTTCAGAATTATTAGCTGAATTCAACTTCTCCAAATTGTTTGATTGCTGTGTGTCTCTGTCTCTAACTTGCTTCCATGAATTTTCATCAATTATATTGCCAACAAGAGTGGTCCCTTCACCTCTGTCCAAGTAATTTTTATTAGATATGGTTCTGTTTAATTCCCAATTCTGGTTAGAATTTTTCCTTGTACCACTCCAGGAATCCTGCGAAGAAAAACTTCCACTTCGTGGAGAAATTGGCTCCCTTCGTTTACTGTTAAAGCTAGAACCTCTTGGTCTTGCAAAAACTCCTGCATGAGTAAGGAGCAATGCTAAATCTTAGTAAACAAATTTAAACTTAATGAAGATTATGTTGAAAATAACTAGAGCAAGAATTGAACCTTGTCTGTTATCCTCCGACACTTCTTTTTCTTCTTCAGACTCATGACTTGGATCCATATTTGGATCTGCATGTATCTCTGGAATTTCCTCTAGTCTACGTCGACGCTCTTTAGGTGTCTTCAGAAGCTGCAGTTTCTCCACACATTCTCTAAGCGTGAAAGTAGGTCAAGGATAACCTTGCAACAATTTCTGGAAACACTGCCATTTCCATTTTACGCAGTGATGTGCATACATATATGTTTTTTGCTAAGCATGACATTACAATGTCTATACATATAAATACATTTTTTATAAGAAATAAACAACGATAACTAAGAATATTATTTTAAAAAGTACTATAACCACTAAACTCCAACCCAACAAAGCCTAAACACAAGTATTTGGGGTCAGATACATATTGATATCAATTCCTTTACCCTCTCCGTCAATTGGTCTCAGAAAATTTTATGGAGGAACTTACATTACAGCCTTCTTTTGAAATACATGTTAGAACTCATTTGATAGAACATCATCAAAATTGACCAGATACACAAAGTCCTTGCCCATTTCAAAGCCATAGCCTACACATACTTAACTTTAAACCAAGATTTTCAAGGATAGCCATTGAATTTAAATTCATTAAACCAAGAGAAGGAAAACCTTACAAAAAAAATGAAAAGGATAAAAAAAAGTGAGAGAGGATAAAATGAGAGTTTTTGCATATAATATTGTTGCAGCAAGAAAATGGGCATAATAAGACACAAATGCACACCCCTAACCAACCATTTACACATGCAATTCACCGGTGCAACTTATTCATCAGGTTATCACAACACCCATAACCAACCAATTACGCACGTAATTATTGTTGTTCGATTATTCATTCAAAAGCAAGAAACTAATTGAATCTCATGAAGGCACAGATGAACAGTGTATAAATAATCCAGAACATGTGCTGAAAAATAGGCAAATTGCACATAAAATGTTAAGAGGACTTCATGAACTTGAACAACAAAGGATATTCCTTCCTACGCCCTTTCTCACTTGCTCGATCACGAAGATGACTAATCCGGACTATTTCTGTTTCCATCCACTGCAATATAACAAAAAACATTATGCATGAAGGCTAATTTGAAAAAATTACAAAACACCCTAACCAACCATGAAAACCGTGAAGGCGCCTAATTTGACAAAAATCCCAGACACATGGATGTGACAATTACAGTTTTTGCAATGAGGAGATATCTTTATATTACACTAAAGAACTAGTATATTTGAATTTTAAAATTCTAATAAATTCATCGCATAATGATTCGAAATTATCTTCTATGACTTCTAATGAAGAGATGTAGTAATTCTTATACCAATAACCAATTTAATTATTGATATTATGTCTTCAATTTTGACTTATCAAAAAAAAATATATTATATCTTCAATTTTGCCAATTACTAATTTTTATAACATTCAATTTATATAATTTCATTTCATTAGTTAATTATTGAATCTGCTCGTCTTATATTTTAATACCCAGAAAGTGGGAATGCAATTACCCCTTTTGGATAACCATTAGCATCCCAAAATAGGAATCAGACATAATGGGAATTAGATTCCCATTCCATTCTTGCCAACCAGGGAAAAAAACATATTTATATGATAATACACGAACAATGATTGAAAGATTGCGCACACAAAACTTACGTCATTGACTCTCGCTGCTTGGACTTCCATAGCCTTTTCCAGAATGTCACCCTACAAGTAACCACATGTCTTCTTAAAATTATGAGTGTGTCATTTACTTGATCCAAAAAAACAAGTGAGGTATTAAAATGTCAGTTACCACAGTCAGCCTATTGATAAGTCCACATTTTATACTCTGGCGTAAACGCTTGCATTCATCCTAACACATCACAATGAAATATATGTCAGACATTTTAGATGAAAATAAAACATATAAAGGAGCAAAGTGTACACCGCAATTATCTTCCATGTCAAAATAAATCATACAGGTTACTATCTGAGCACTCCTCATAAAGAGGATGACTCCAAAAATAAGCCAATGCACATCATAAGACATACCCTTTTCACCCTGTTTGATGCATGCCTTATAACAAAAGAAATGAACTTTTCAATGCCTTATTTTAAGAGGTTGTTACATGCTCAGAAATCTTCAAACTTTTGTAGTTTTGTTTATGAGCCAAACAGAGTAATTAATTTTACTTGCACCAAAAAATAGACAAAAAGATAAGATTTGTTTTTTTTTCCTTTTTCAGATAGCAATATGAAATTTTGAAATATAAAAAATTATTTTCTATACAATAAGTTACATTCATTCACCTCAGTGAACTCCTGATTCGAAATTGTATCAATTGATATGACCTCCGTTTTGTTTAGATTCAATATTTCTAGCGCAGTATCAGTTGTCCTTTTGCCAAGTTTATATGGCTCGGTTGCTTTGCTTGTACCTGTATACAAAATTATTTTAAAAAAATAAAAAAGAGAGAAAAAAAAGTGAAAAAAATATTAGATATAAATCTTGAATGAAAAAAAGAAAGTATGGAAGAGGTAAAGTTAACTATCAAAGATGTCTAAAAGAGAGAGTTATATACCTACAACTTGGACTAGCCTATATATGTCATGCTGTTGATTACTGCCAGAAATCCTGATTCTTACAAAAGTACCAGCAACCTTGTCATGGAAATTCTCAATATCTTCAAGTAGATCCTCCATCAACTTCCGTCGTAAGTAAATTAAGTTAATATTGTGGGTATCAATTGCAGCATAATCATCAACATTGGACTGAGGTCCTCTATCCTTCTTACGGGTTTTACGTCTCCTATCCTTACCTCCCTTTATTGGGATGTCAGTGTTTCCATCAGCCTCCAATTGGTTCACTTCAGTATTGACAACAGTCCCTTGGATATCCTCTCTCTGAGAATGCTCTTTTATAAGAAAGTGAGATTCAAGAAGTTTTAACATTTCAAAATGCCCCACACGAGCTTTTCGGAACAGATTTTCAAGCCTGGAGTCGCAAATAATTTGACTTTTCCTACGAGGATCACGAAGTTCGTTTCTTTTTATATAATCAAGCAGAAGAGCCTGTACATCAAACTGCGATAATATAGATTTGTCACCATTTTTCATGTGCATTACAAACTCCAGAAGCTCTTTTGTTGCCCACTCAATGTTGCCAGAGGTAGAAGCCCCTTCAGCAGGAAAAGCTATTGCAGCACTTGGCACATCAGCTTCTTTGGCAAGGGACTTTGACCGTTTCTTGGCCTGTCTTCTTTTAGATTTAGTTGCTTCTACGTCCTCAGAACTGTCTGAACCAGAATTTCTATCATTGTTAGCATCATACAGTTCCTCAGGTGATTCTTGTTTACTTAACAAAACATCAGAGCCTTTCCATGGATTTTTAGCCTGGGCAAGTTCATTTGAGGAAAGAGATAGTTTTGCTTTTAACTCTACCCAGTAATCCTTGAAGAGATATTCCCAGCTACTCTTGTCATCAAAATATACTTGTACCTGTACAAGTACAAAAGGATCATAAAAGAAGCAAACTAGAATGATGCCACGGGAACTCCGGAAATAGACAACCAAAGATTAAGGACCTTTTTTAACAAACACAAACTGGAAACAGCTTGGTTTTCATGTTAAAAATAAAATAAAAAATAAAAAACAGTCAATCAGCAATTGTAGACATAAAATCAAGGGTACACACTCACCTCCCCTGAGGTTTTGTCAAATTACACATGGGTGGAGCATTTGGCCATTATTACACAGACCTCCCTTGTGACCATTAACAATGGGACACACATTAAGTAATACAACAGATTGTCTTTTATACCCTTATATGATTTAATAATACTTTAATAATAAAAAAAATCATGTCAAGCAAAAGACTATACTACCCACTTTTTAAATACTATATTAACTATTTATTCTCCCTCCTCTCTCTTCGTCCTCTCTCTCAATATGTTTCTCTCTCCTCTGCAACTCCTCCCACCACCGTCTTCTTCTCCAACCGTTGCCATCTCCACCAATCACCACCACCACAATACCACCTCCACCCATCTCTTCCTTATAACACTGTCAACACGATTTGTGGGGTACTCTTATTCATTCCAGTCAACTCTCTAATGCATCTCTATTTCTACAAACGTATGTATATCTATGTATAATTGTATATGTGGTTCAACTTATTCTTTCGGTTTCTGTATTTCAGTCATGTGGCTCTGCTTGCTGGTGGGGATGTGTTGGCTGTACTTTTGTTCGTTGCAATATGAAGGTTCAGTCATGGTGGTGGTCCCTCACGCACCATAGAGCATTATGTCAGATGACAGACGGAGGGTGGTGGTTCCCTTCGGATGCTACATATCCACTAATCTAGAAATCCTTCAAACATGATGGTCGGCCATGGGTTTGAATCTGTGTCTCTTTTTTTCCAACAATGCACTAATCTGGGTCCATTCAATTTCAGTGTCTTCAAATAGTACATATATATATATATATAAAAATTAGATGTATATGTATGGATCTAAATCTTCTAGGTATCTACCTTTTACCTTAGTAGAGATCTACAAGATCTCTCATCACTGTAAATGTTATATAGAGAGTGATATATAGTTCTATACATATATAATTGAAGGTTGCTCTATAAATTCTTTCCATACCCATACACAATCAACAAAACAAAAGTTCTGTAATTTCTAAGATTGTCCACACCAATTTGTTATTGGCAATATACATGTGTGTGTGTGTGTGTGTGTGTGTGTGTGTGTGTGTTAATTGATAGACAAACAGAAATGGACTGATTTGGACTCCAAATTTGGTCGTACAGTGAGTTTAAGAGAGAGAGACATAGATACAGAGAAGTACTAAACTTTAGGGCATTTTGGTATTGGTCAATGTCCTTCACAAATAAGAGCATCTCGGTCAATGTATCAATGTCGCTTTTGTCAGTTTTGGTCAAAGTTCAAGACCTCAGGGGAATACGAGTAATAAGTGCCAAACGCTCCATCCGTGTGTAATTTGACAAAACCTCAAGGGAGGTCAGTGTAAATTTACCCTACAATCAATATCAGGTACATGGGACCAACCTGTTCAAGAACTGATAAGGGAAACATTTAAATTATGAGTCAGCCAAGGTCAAATGCAGGATGATAGAGAGAAGAATGGCAATTATAGCCAAGGTCAAATTCTTTCCTACTTTTTTCATCTAAAACCCCCAATAATCCCCGTCAATTATTGAAAAAAGTAAAAACCATGCTACTTCTAGATTATTAAGTGCATGAAACTCCAAATTCCTTTTTACATTACACACACAAAAAAGGTAGCAAATCCTTTGGAGTTCCTAAATAATCTTATTTATAAGTTTGCAATTACAAAATTTAAAATTGTAAAAAACTGGTTTTTATCATGAAGATTCTTGGAAATCTTATATTCTCCCCATAAAGAATTTTACTTACCACGGAATTTGGTATTAATAAATTTTGTTTTAAAAGAATACAGCAAAAATAATGGATTTGTCTGAATACAAAAATTAATTAAAAATACTTCTTGTTTGAATTACAACTTATTTGATTAGTCAGTGTGGCTGCAGTTGGATGGGACAAATTTTACAATTTTTATTGACCAAAAATAAATAATTAAGTTGTTTATCGTTTGATCATAAGACACATATGCATTGCTGACTGAAATCTGTTTAGATAACAAAATGGTACAGTTAACCCCAATTTTTTTCACAAAAGTTTCTTAAAATCAGTATGAAATCTTATTGAGTCTATAGCTTTAAAGCCCAGCATTTTTATACAAATACTTTGTACTACTAAATTTTCAAGGATTTGCTGAGGCACAAACCTCCATTACTAGTTCCATTTAGAATGGCAAGCTGTTCATGAGAGCAATCACTTTGTTTATATAATGCCAAAGGTTAGATTTGTATCCATTCCACACCTCCTAGCACCTTCAATTAATGGGATAACGTCAGATAATGACCCTTAAAACCCTAAATTTAAAAATCTTCATCACCTTAGAGAGACATAGATAGAGAGAGAGAGAGAGAGAGAGAGAGAGAACATTGATATTAGTAAACCAAACGAAAAACATGTGTTACCCTTACACAGATGGCCAAAAATGGGAATGGTGCATTAGGTTGCTAATTGCCAGCTTAAAACTTTTGTTAAGTATATGAAAATGATTACTAACGTGTTCTCCTTAAATGATGCGTTACATCAACTCTTTTAGATACTTCCTAAACAGAGACAAAGGGTAGCACAGAAAAGTAGACAAAAGTTACCACGTTATTCTGACCAAACACATGTAAAGAAGCTAGTTCAAGAAAATGAACTTACGTACGCGACGCGACTTGAATATAAGAAGGTTGACAAGTAGAGGGTGGAAACAATAAACACTATAATTAGAGTAAGGCTTAATACAACATACATGAAATTAAGCAAGAATAAGAAAGTTAAGGAAATTGAAAATGCGGGACATAAACTTTATTACAACACAAAAGATATACATACAAATGAAGTAAAAATAATAGCTAACAGGAAGACAAATATAACAAGTTCCAACTGCACTAGGAAAGAAGATAGGATAATATTGGTAGAACTTATATCAATAAAATATAACTAGCTCTTATATACCATAAGCTGGACAAAATGAACACATTAAAGCACAATTTTGGTTACATGATAATTGATTTATTCAAAATATATCCATAGAAGGGAGAGAATTAAATAGAAGAAAGTCTAGTCATGTAAGAAAATACTGTAAGACTATGAAACGTGCATCATGGACAAAGATTTGGATGTAAAAAATAAAATACATACATACATATATATATATATATATATATATATATATATATATAATTAAAATTAAAAAATAATAATAATCTCTAGAAGGCCATCCTAGATTTTACATTGGGATAAAATCTTACCATAGCAAATATCAATTCTAAATGAAGATGAGTATTTAAAAACCTTTAAAAATAAATTAAATAAAATTAGATTGACTAGCATGCAAAGACCGTAAGGTTATCTCAAAGACAATTTAACATCGCAAAATAGTATACGGTTTAATCATATATTTTGAAGAAATTCAAGAAAAATAAGAGATTAAAAACCCAAAAACCAGGTAGTTAAATTTAAAAAGGACGAAAGTAGAATTATATAAGAATAAGATGCTAATATAAGCAAAACGAAATTTAAAGGGTACATTACCTTGACCTCCCTGAGGTTTGGCTTTTGTACTCACACATTAAAGTATTAAACTTTGGCCAAAATTGTAATAAACCTCCCTTGAGGTTTGGCAAAAATACAGTTAGTCCCCTTGTTGTTAAATGCCCATTAGTGCTGTCACAAATTTTTATGTTAAATGCCAAAATTATAATTGGAATGAAATTGCACAACTGCTCCTCTAATCCCTTTTAATTATAGATTTGCCACATATTTTACTATATATTAACTACACCTTTAAATATAATTTGATATTTTATATATATAATATATAATTACTAAATTTACCCAAGCATTAAAATTAGTAAATTATATAAATAAATAAAACTTTTTAAACTGCATTTTTATATTTTTAAAAATTAGCTGACATCAAATATCCCTACACTCTCCTCTTCACACACAATCCTACCCCCCCCCCCCCCCCTCTCCCGCGGGTCCACTATCTAAAATTAATAGTTGCCTTATTTAGGTATGAAGCTTTACAGCAATATCTCCAATGAAATTTTGGGTGACTGCAACTATAATTGAATGGAAGAGAAGAAAGTCAATTGATTGAGAATCCCAGAAGTTGTGGTGTGACATACAAATTAAAACCGTGCAGTCCATAACTCCATATATCTATGTTAACCTTATATATATATATATTTATATGAGTAACTAATTGAGTTTTATATATGTGAGTTATGTGGATCTTGTTCCAGCGGCCCCATCAATGTTGTGGACATCATATGTTTGGTTACATGTATATATCATGGCCTGAACATTCAGACGCTAACAAGGGGGTCGTACCTGGTGTAACCTAACAGAATTTGGTTATTGCAGTTAGTGAAATTTTATCAATCCTGCACACCATAAGATGTGTTGACTCAGCTAAATCCCCAGGGACTCGGCTGATTCTCCAGGGACTCCAGCGAGATTTATCCGATTCCTTGGGGAATCGGCTCATGTGGTTTTGATTCCCACCGATATATTGGTGATACTCAGACTCGGACGCGTCCGCTAAGACTCGGCTGAGACCGAGAACTATGGTATATATATATAACCAAAGAATGATCTGGTGAACACGTACACACACATGTATATATATATGTATGTATGTATACTTTGGCTATATAAATTTAGAATGATCTAATGAATGGTCTTATATGCTTGATTATATATATATATATACACACACACATACATATATAGTATATCTTTGTATACAACAATAAGTTCACTAGCCGAAGGGTGATTGCGAGAGAGAGTGGTTGTTGTGGAGGAGATTGGAGGGACGGTCACATCACATGGAGATAAAGAGAAGATCTTAAGGTCATATTGGTCATTTAAGCACAAAGATTGATTAGGTTAAGCACAAAAAACAAAAACAAAAACCAACCAAAGGAGATGAGGTTCGGTTCTTAGTTCACCACCCATACCAAACAAACACGTCAGAGTAGCCATACCCAAAAACCACAAAAAAAAATAAATAAATAAAGATTCCTATATATGCTTTAGAGTTCCTATAGAGCATCTGAAATAGAAGTACACAAGGAGAACGAAATATAGAACCCAAAAGCCAACAGAAAACATATTAGTTTTAATTTTAAACCAATGGAAATTAGCCGAGATGGTATGATCTCTCCTTCCCAAAGGGGGAGGTTGAGAGTTCAAGCCCTGTTAGGGGCAATATAGTGTGTGTGTACTTGTTTGCTTGAACTTTTGAATAGTAAAAAAAAAATAAAGCAACAACCACCCCACCGTAACAACAATGTCATGACTGCAATTTGATAGTCCAAGAAAATTCAACAATAAATGAATTGAAGTACCCAAGAACACCACCTTATCCAAGCTCATGGTTGCATCATCATACAACAACATTAAAATAAAAGTGACCCAGTTAAAGCCTTCTAGCTATGTTTCAATTCAACTATTATAGGGTTTGAGAAAAGAATTATAAGTGTTAATGTATCAACAACTTAGCTTGCAAAATATAATAGCGAATAATGTCATACATTTGACTATGGAAACTGAATCCTTCCCTCCCATCCTTGCCAACAAGAATGATCACGCCACCCAAAAATAAAATAAAATAAAAGCAGAGAAAAGAAGAAAATGAGATCGAAACATGTTCATCTTTTTTTCTTTCTCTTTTTTCTTTTTTGTCCCTTTGGTTAGGTAAGAGCAATGCACATACCTCCTTGTTTCCCGGCTCATTATTTTCGATTAACATCACGGTTTTCAAGCAACTCTCACAAAAGCCTTTCTTTCCTCTAACGCAATAGATAACAGCATCTTTGATGCACCCTTTGCACAAGGAAAATGTACAAGTATAACACATATAGTAGGCATTCTTCTCACAGTTGCTACAAAGATGCCAACCTGAAATGCAGGAAAATAGTAACACTTAAAACGAACAATCCAAGACAAAATTCCTTTAAAATTAGGAATAACTCTTGCAAAATAGAACAGATATACTGCACAAATGAAGTAACAAAAAGATATGTTTACAATATTGTCCCATATGAGGTCACCACAACACACAAGTTTCACAACAATAAGGGGCTTACAATGAGAAATAAATTCATAAAAATTTCTCTAACTCAGAAGTTTCTGGTTAGGCTTGAAGATCTAGAACTCTACCAACAGTTAAATTTGGATACTGAATGTTAGATGCTAAGGAAGTAACCCATCTAATGCCTCCAATTAGCCAAGAAGAGGGAAGTTGTAAAGCAAAGAGATGTTGCAAACGGATCGAATTGAACTCAGTAGAAACAGTATTAAACAACAGACTCTAATTGTCCCCATTCACTATTATAAGTACTGGGTGTGAATCCAGTTTTGCAGCACATGCTATTATATTCTTCCTCACTATCTCAATCCATATACTAAAATCAACCCAATAAAGTGTTTTTCCCAACTATTTGGGGTATTTCGGTCCATATAACTACCCATATAAAATCAAATTCTTCAATCCTTCCTTTTTTCCCTTTTTTATCGATAAGTTTGTTGCTTTTTTTTTTTGGGGGGGGGGGGGGGGGATTTAGAAAAGTTTTTTCAGATATTAGAAACCTGGAATATTATTTCTAAAATATTATAACTATGTCATCAGACATATCTAGAAATTGATGATATAGAGATGTTGGTGCTAGATTGTTTAGTCCATTTTTAGGCAAACATTATGAAAAGCCTGCACCACTTAGAAAATAATCTCCACAAGAAGTGGCCAGAGCAACCACTACAGAAAATAACAACAATTATAGATAGCGTCACAACTTAAGTAGTAACAAGGAAAGTAGAAAAGTAGTAACAAGGAAAGAGTTATTTGGTAGGTTCGATGGTCCCAATAAAATCAATAACTCACCTAGAATTATAAGAACTTCATTTCACATCATACAAAATTTCCACTTTCATTTTTATTTTCGGTTCAGCTCAGCACAAGTTAAAAGCAAACCTAGGCTCCAAAAAAGCCCTGGGCTCATCAAGGCTCAGCAAGAAAACCTCATCCTACTACAAGTTAGGCACCTTCAATCATGCTCATCCTTTCAGCAAGGTTCCAGGCTCAAAAAAAAAAAAAGAAGGGTGCCTCTTGTTTTTTTAATCATTCATTCACATCGTTCTCATTGTATTTTTAAATGAACATGAATTTACTAATCTACATCAAAATCGTTGTTTAAACGTAATGTGTGCTTGACGGAATTCATGCACTTATGTGACTACTTCATTAAATGCATCCCGTGCTTTATTTTTTATTTTGACTATAATATAATACATGTTCAAAATTATATAATTACATGAAATTTGTTCTTTATTGTTGCACAATTATAATGGTATTTGATTTAGTTAATGCATATGCATATCATAAGTTTATGTGACCACTTATGTTTAATATTCATTTCTAGAGACCTCGGCACCTTAGTTCGCATTGGGCCATTTATAACTATATCTCAGCTCATCCTTTAGAAATTTCATAAAATTAAAGCTAGTAAAACAATAACTAGTAAAAACATGAATTATACACATATAATACCCATACGTGCATATAACTAAATACTTCCATTTGCCCTGCAGAATTTAAATGTAACAAATACTACGCGTACTTTTGAGTTGAATCATATTATATGCATATTAAATGTTTTACGTATCATACAGTGTGAGAAAACTTCACTACATAAATATTGTAAAAAGATTTTGACCATCTTTAATCATTTTATTATAACAAATAGTGAATTTTAAAAATAGTGTGCCACAATAACATATCTTTCCTAATTATTTCATTATTCAAGACTCCAGTCAACAAGAAATTTAATTTTTTTTTTTTTTTTTTTTTTTTTTGATAGTACAAATTTAATATTTTATATCTTGTAAGCCAAAACTAGTATAGTCTAATATTACATATCTAGGATTTTTTTTATTAAACTTTGAAACGAATTAATTCGACTATATAATTATACCAACTTAGCTAAAGCTTTATAGCAATACTTAGAGATATAGAATACGACATTTATACTTTTGGTTAGTCCAAAATAGGATATCTGAACAAAAAATATCCAACTCTTATATCTTTTAATATACTTATTATAAGCATGAATTTCATTAGTCTTATAATTTGTTGAATATTGAGATATGATAGAAAATATATTATACACAACAAATAATACATAAATGCTACCATATTTTGTATCCTGATATTTTATTGGCATCCATATTATTCATGTGTCTAGGAAGCACAATCACTCCTCTGGGGGTGTTGTGGTCGTGTCAGGCAAGGACACGCGTGAGACATGAATTTGACATGACTAGAAGTGTCATGAATTTGAATATTTATTTTCCTGATTGGACATAGTTAGAGCACCGCCAGGACTTGTCTAGAAATAGAGTATTTATGAATGCATTGCATATCATTCTAGGGGTACAAGTGTACAGCTACTCCTTTTACAACATTGATCAAATAAAGGGCCAAACAAGGTAAAAAATTTCAAAGTCTCATCTACAAATGGAGTATTTATGGGTCGTCACCATCATCATCATCATCATCATTCTTGCCTTAATCCCATATGAATGGGGTCGGCCACATGAATTTTCCCCCTCCAATCTTTTCAATTACATGTCATTTCACCTACTATCTTTAACTTTTTTAATCATTTTTAATAACCACATTCCATGTTATTTTTGGTCGCCCTCTCCGTCGCTTGCCTTCTATTAAAACTAGTCTTCCTCATTTGACAGGCACGTCTCTTGGAAATTTGGAAGTCACTTAAAGGTCAATAATCAAGCATTTCAAGGATGACAATACTCCTAATGAAGCACAAGCAACTATTTTAAACTGCTTCCCAATCTTAAATTTGTGCACTGGGCAGGTTCTCCAAATAAAGTCCCTATTCCTCAAAACCACTTCACTCCTACAGGTTTTGTTCTCATGTACTTCAAACCTTTTACGGAAATAAATAAAAAAATAGAGAAATGTAGCAATTTCAATACATATCAAGAATGCATAATTAAAACCACAAGGATTTTAGTGCTTGTGAAGCCTTGAATACTTGTTAGTTGCCAAGAACTACTCACTTCCAATCCATTTGTGAAAAAAGATACCCAGTGCATCAATCTTTGAGAATGCAAAACAACCAACCCAATTATTATTGTTAACAACCATATACTCCAAAAGCTTAAGTAGTTAGAGAAGGTGTAACTTAAATATTTAAATCCTTCAACACGCCCCTCACGTGTGGCCATCTTTTGGTCTAACACGTGTTTCAATTGTTAACAACCAACTACTCCAAAAGCTTAAGCTGATAGAGTGAGTGTAACTTAATTATTTAAATCCATCAACAACTATTTAAAAGAAAGAGCAGCAAATACAGAAACACGATCAGCATATACACATTGGTTGGCAAAAAACCAAACATAGAGATAGCAAAACGGCATGTTCATGTGTGTTGAAGAATGGAAGAGATTAATGAAAAAAATAACGATAAAATAACTTATATCTGTATGTATATTTTGTATAAAGCACAATGTGATATGGGAGAGAAAATTTTACCACAATTCCAATGTCCCTTGGTTCGAAAGAATGCTTCATCCCGATTAACACATGAAGGATGATACGCCTTATTACATCCCCTAAAACCCCCAATAACAAACTCAATTAGAAACAAACCCAATACATAAATGAAACATAAAACAATTTACAAACCCTAGAAAACTAAGTTCCAGGATTTTCTAACTCACCGGCGATCACATAGAACGAGCTCTCCACCATCGAAGCAAATAAAGCAAACGTCCTCCTCACTGGTCCTCCGCACTGGAGCTTTAACCGGAACCCCAGAATTCCTCCCTCTCTTCCGTTTCCCTCCACCTCCACCTCCACCGCTTCCTTTATCCTCCTCCGGCATCTCTGTCACGTCCATTTCTGTCTCCATTTCAGTTTCCACCATTGGAGTCTCATCCTCCTCCACCATCTCGTCCTCGCCTTTGATTATAGTCAATGACTCAGCACCTACAAGCTCTGCATCATCCAACTGCGAAACAAACTTCCCTTCACTGCCTTCTTCCACCTCCAACTCCGTCTCAATTTTGGTTCCAGAATCCTCCTCCGCCGCCGCCGCTGCTTCATCATCCTCGTCGTCCTTGGAGGTAACCGGTGACTCTGCAACAACAAGTTGTGCATCTTTTGCAGCCGTTTTCTCTGCCTCAGTCTCCATTTCAGTCTCTGCCATCGAATTTTCTTCCTCCGCCACCGCTTCACCATTTTTGACGACCGGTGACGCAGAAACAGCCTTGTCTCCGTCGTATTTTACCTCCTCCGTCTCCAATTCATTGTCCGCCACCTCCGGAATCCCCTTCTCCGCCATCGGCTCCTCGTTCTCGTTGGCTGTTCCAAGAATCACTGACTCTGCAGCAACGAACTGGGAGTCGCTCAACTTGGGAAGAGACTGGGGAGTAAACTCGCATTCTTTGGTGTTCGTCAACTCTTCAGTTTCTAGTGGCTTATCATCAATTCTTGAATCTTCGACTTCCTGAAGTGAAGATTGATATAACTTTGAAGTCTCTTCGTCGTTTTCCATGAAAATGATTCAAGCCCTAACCCTAGGTTTTGTGCCTATACACGAAATTTATAGGGGTGTCTGTAATTTTTATGAGACTAACGATTCTTCTGGAAGTGAAGATTTATACAAGTTTGAAGTCTCTTCGTCGTTTTCCATGAAAAATATTCAAACCCTAACCCTAGGTTTCGTGTGCATACATGTAAATTGTGGGGGTGTGATTTTTATGAGATTAACGATTGCTGCAAGTGACTCGTAATCGTTGAATGATACGAGTGTGTTTGTTGTGTGTACGGACTATGCTGGTTGCAGAGACGAGCAAGAGAGAGAAATATATAAATAAATTAAGAGAGTCGTTTCTCGGTGTATGGTTTCTTGAATCAAGGCCCTATTTAGTTTGGGGTACGAAACTGTCCAAGTCTTTAGCTGCAATATCGAATATGCCCCTGGGCCAGCCGACTTAGTGGGCTTAGTGGGTGGAGTGGTGGACTGTCAAGGAATATAATCTTTTATCTTCTGTTTTTTTCTCCTCCTAATTTTACAAGAAATATTGTTGGTTTGATTGCTAATACTGCCTAGCCTTGACCATATTATGAAAAGGTACGATCAAGACCAAATATGCAGAGGATCGGTGTATTTCACCTTTTCAAATAACCATAATGCAACTGACTGGTGAAAATAATATGATATTTAACTGAAAGAGCAGACCATCATTTTAGTTACAGTGACAAGATGTTGTCGACACCCCTTTCAGGTATTTAATTAAGCATTTTAGAGATGACTTAAAAATAATTTCATACCCTTCTCATGTATTTAGTTAGGACACAAGAGGGCAATAAGAAAATTTTGTGAGGGACAGACTTTTAATTTGTGAGGATAAACTTATATAATGGGTCGACTTTTATAATTTCAATTGAGTTTTTTCATAAATTTTAAAAAATGCAAAAAAAAAAAAAAAAAAAAAAAAAAAAAAAAAAAAAATCAGTGAGGCCGAATTGTAATTTTAGTGGGGGAATTTTCATAAATTCTTTTTAAAAAAAAACTATAGTGGGGGCAAATTGTAAATTTAGTGGGGAAATCTTCATAAATTCTAAAAAAATTAAGAGTCCGTTTGGCATGCGCTTTGTTTTAGGTGTTTTGTTTTTGGCTAAAACAGAAACTTTTGCGTTTTTGGAAAAAAAATCAGAAACATGTTTGGGAACTATATTTTGCTGTGGAAATGTCAAAAACAGAAACATGCACAGTTATGGTTTTGGGTTATGAACAGTTATCAAAATATATAAATAATAATAATAATAACGTCTTTTTGGTGTTTTAGTTTTGGGCCACTGTTTACAAAATGTTTTAGCACTTTGTAAAATAAAACAAGGCCGCACCAAACATATTTTTGTTGCCAAAATCGACACTATAGCAACTCAAAAACAAAAACAACAAAAACAAAACGCATACCAAACGGGGCCTAAGGTATAAAGTGAAAATATAAAAAAATTCAGTGGGGGCCCCATTGGTCCCACGTTGGGTCCGTGCCGGTAATTGTTCCTACCAATTTATAAAAACTGACGCCCTATGTGATACCCCCAGATTTACGAATGCGGGTTGGCCAGGCCCATGCCCGAATACCTGGGGATATCAAAAACAAATCGGCAATAAACGAACACAGAGTACAAAAGAATAAAGAAGAATAAATAAAATGCTGACAAGAAACTAAAATGATAATCTAATAATAAACCTCATAATATATTTTCATTAATTAATAAATTCTTCTGATACAACTGATTCTCCAAAATACAACTCGGGAATCCATACTGTGTGGACCCCTAGAAAATCCAAACTAAACAAATAACAGTAATAATTGTTTAAATTAGGAAACTGAATCATAAAGGAACTCCTATGCAGCATCGGAAGAATGAAGTAGACTGATCCCCGCTCAGCATGAACAACCTCTACTCCTGACGAACACCTGAAAAATAATGGCGGGTCAGGCCTGACCCCACAAACAAGTTCTACTCTACTACAGTCCAAGCAGAGATCTGATACACGTATACATCCTAGTCAATCCAACAGTAACTAGTAGTCTATATATATATATATATACACACACACACTAAAAGAACCTCATTAGACTATAGGGTTGTCTCAACCTGAATAGTAGGCAACATGCAAAACGCACATATAGTGGGCATGAGTACCTAGACCTACCAGGGTATACAACTACACTATATCTAGCTACACATCCCTGGCGATTTACGCACCCTAACCACTGATCCTGAGACTCAAGCTCATATCATGGCACCATACTTATATATATATATATAATCTAATAACCATCATATTCAGTATAAATTAATCCTCCATGAGTCATTCAACTTGTTCAGTTGACCTAACTTGAATATAAGTAGGACTTAACATTTTAGTTAATTCATTCCCTTATATAATAAATTAATCCTCCATAAGTCATTAAACTTGTTCAGCTGACCTGACTTGAATATAAGTAGGACTTAACATTTTAGTTAATCCATTCCTTTATATAAAATAGGTAGGACTTAACTGATAAGTTAATCAATCCCTAGAATGCCACCGTTCCATACCGGTGCATTAAATCACACAATCCAACAATTGATGTAACGATTAAGGAAATACATCTACAATCCAGAAATAACTATGATAATATGATATCAAGTTATCACAAAATAGGAATGACTTATTATTTATTTAAGCTTCTTAAATCATATGTCTTACATAAACTGAATCTTATACATATGATGATATTTTATTATACCGTCAAATAAGCATTCTCCATATCCAATTCATCCTACACATTTAATCTCAATTGTTAAAACATATTAAAAGATTAAATTCATTCGTTTGTTTAAAACATTCAAATAGCAAGCATCATTATGATTAAGTCTATTTAAATTTATTTAAACCCAAACCTAGTTCTTATTTAATGTTCAGGAATCCTAGGCATGTTTCTATGTTCCATCATTCCACAGATATGAAAAATACATAATTTAAACATGTAAAAATTCACACCGAAAATCAAATCAAAATCACGCATTTATCAATTCATAACACAAGAACAGATATGAACCAAATTCATAAAACCTATGTTCTAATCCAATTAAACATGCATAATTATTTAATTTTATATGTTTAATAAATCCTGAAATTTCTTAGGCATGTATAGAAACACGAATCAAAGGGAAAGAGATAGAAGAAGAACTTGCCTTAAACTTTCGAATCGAAAGTTACACTTCTTCTTCCTTGATTTTCTATCTATATGGTTTTTCTCCTCCTTCGTTCCTTAATTTTCCTCCTTTCCTCTCTAACTCTCTCTCACTAGAATATATCACGTGAATATTTCTAACCCCCTTTTACAACCCATAGCTATATATTTATAGGCTAAATAAAATAACCCTAACCCTTTTCCCAATCCAAGTCAACTTTAAAAAAATATATATTAAAATATTAAAAAGGTAAGTAAAATATGTTGCGTATATAATTTATATATATCTTTATTAAATAAATAAATTATACACATTCCATTATTTATTAATGGATCATCCAATAATACTTAAGTTACCATAATATTATAAAGTAACTTAAAACATAACACGTATCAAATCTATGTACATTTTTATTATTTAAATATAAAATATATACATCAGATTAAATATTACTACCCAAGTTACCATAAAAGTAATTAATAAATTATTTTCCCTTTTATATATGTATATATAATATATATCTATATATATACATACACAACTATCCATGGGTAATAATAAATACCTATCCAAGTAGTCCATGGGACCTAATTGGTTGGCCCATTGCTACTAACTATAACCATAAAATAAAAATAAAAGAAAATAATAAAATAAAAGAAAACATTCAATTTACAATTAATCAAAATACCATTTAAGCACATAATCTAATTAAATAATTAACACATAGACAAATACAAATAAATTAATCAAAACACCATTTAAGCACATAATCTAATTAAACAATTAACACATAGACACATAATCAAATACTCAAGTAACACTTAATTCAATTAAACCCATAAACAATTAGTCAAATAATCAATTAAATAATTAAAAATACAATTAAAATAAATAATAAATACCGAGACTATCCTTTTAAAATTAGGGGTATTACACCCTATGGACATAACGGTGCTGGCAGGGATCCTAGAGGTAAGTCATTGAAATATCGCTTTCAAACCGCACTCATAACTTGAATGGTGCGTGTGTTATAGGGCCAATAGATATGATCTAAGAGAAAAAAAAAAAAAAAAAAAAAAATTACAAAAGCTTACACAAATTTTACATTTTGATTAATTGGACATACCAATAACTGGTGCACCTTAGATCCACTTGACTCCATTGTTGAATCTCAATTTCTACTTGGAGGCTTTCACATTAAAAATCTAAGTGCAAAAAACCCCTTGTAATATAGGTTTTGTGCACAAATAGTCCTTCATTTTTTTAAATGTGCATTTCAATCCCTAAAATTCAAAAAAAGTGCAAATACGCCATTTGACCACTTTTTGACAAGAAGTAAATATAAAAACTCCATTTTGAACTTTTTATTCCTATTTTACCCCTAACGAAATGTGCATAAAAGCCCCCTATCCCATTTTCTATTCCCCCTCCCTCTCTCCCCTTTACATAAAACCCTAACAAATGTATAACCAAAATCACCACAGCCACCGAAGACGCCAAAAATAACCCTCTTAAGTTTGTCTTCTTCCTCTTCACCCTCCCCCTATCTCTCTCTCAAATTCTCACCTTTCTCTCTCTAAAACCAAACCCAGCAGAGCTGCAATGGACTCCACCACCAAAACCACCCAAACTCATCACCAATTATCTCTCTAAAACCAAACCAGTCACAATCAATAACAGAAGCAATAATGGACTCCAAAAAGATGGGTATAAGCAATAAAATTACGAACCCTAGAGTACATATGTAACCATTAAAAATTGGGTTTTAAATCAATTGTGAGTATAATATATATAGTTAGGGTACCTGATTTAGTATAAAGCTCTTGCCTTGGCGAGCGCGTCCGCAGACAAAAACGACGCCCACAGGTTGTTTAACGAGTTGAAGCGTCGCGACGGCTTCAGGATCCATCCAGAACTTGCCCTTCTCGTCACAGTACACCTGGTGAATCGGCCCCGCCGGTCCAAGGGCTGCGCCGAAAGCCAGCGAAGAAGGCGCCGACTTCGGTGCAGGTTGGGGAGAATCACCAGAGCCTCTACTAAAAAACTTCCTCATGGACTTTCTTGATCAGGTTGTTTAACAAGTTGAAGCGTCGCGACGGCTTCAGGATCCATCCAGAACTTGCCCTTTTCGCCACAGTACACCAGGCGAATCGGCCTCGCCGGTCCAAGGGCTGCGCCGAAAGCCAGCGAAGAAGGTGCCGGCTTCGGTGCAGGTTGGGGAGAATCACCAGAGCCTCTACTAAAAAACTTCCTCATGGACTTTCTTGATCAGGTTGTTTAACGAGTTGAAGCGTCGCGACGGCTTCAGGATCCATCCAGAACTTGCCCTTCTCGTCACAGTACACCAGGCGAATCAGCCTCGCCGGTCCAAGGGCTACGCCGAAAGCCAGTGAAGAAGGCACCGGCTTCGGTGCAGGTTGGGGAGAATCACCAGAGCCTCTACTAAAAAACTTCCTTATGGACTTTCTTGATATGTGTTAAGGAAGTGTGTGTTGTGTTGTGTTGTGTTGTGTTGTAGAGAGAGAAATTGAAACAGGGGGGGGGGGGAAATATGCGAAAAGTTGGATCTTCGACTCTTCCACGCAGGCGGTGGAAGCCGAGAATGCGTAGGCTATGTAAGAGAGATGCAATTACAATTCTGTCCACGTTAGAAAGGGGAAGCAATGAAGAAGAAGAAAAAAAGAGAAAGAAAGAAGAGGGATTTAAGGTGTGAAATACATTAATTGAATAGAAAATTCAAGAAGTTTTCAGAATATTTTGGCTGGAAAAAATGAACTAACCAGCAAAAAACACTTGGCCGGAAACAATGAAACGACGGATTGGCGATTTGCAATGACGACGATCTTGGTGATATGTGGCAGCAACAATCATGGGCGCGCCGAACTAGAAAGGATTTCGCTGTTGCTTGGGGGCTCGCAGAACTGTGTAAGCTTCACCGGTGGGTCTGTGCAAGCATGGATTATTGCCACGAAAAGAGGTGGATATTGATTATAGTAAAATGACTCAATTGGCCCTTAAATTAAAAGTGTATTTTTTAGTATTTGTCAAAAAAATGTTAGCTTTGTGGGTGAGTTTGAAAATTGTCTAAAATTACAATTTTACATTACCTGTTTTTTTTTTAATATTATTTCATTTTATTGACGGGAGGGTATGATAATCTTTTTATGCGAACATGGAATATTTGTACCAAATTAATAGGATAAATGAGATTTATACCACAAGGAATCTATCTTTTTGCACTGTATCAATGGTAAAAGGGGTTTTTTTTGGCAGTTCACCCTTAAACCTCACTTAACAATGGAAGGTGATGCACCAGAGTTAAAGCGAGGATTTTACATGCAAGATTGGCCTGTTTGACAAATTTGAGGTGCCCTCGTGATCAATGCGATCAATACTTCTTTCAAAATAAATATACAGGATTTCATATATCCCAAAAGTTAAATACTTCGAAACAATGAGAATCCTGACCTATCAGGTGCGGGGAAAAATCGTCTCCAGACACCCTCTCACTGGAGGATGTCCATTGCTGATGTGGCATGGGTGACATGGCAGGTATGTGGATAAAGTATTTATCTGTATACATACAATCTTAAATAAGAAAACCAACATTACCATCTCTCTCTCGCATTTCCACACAAACCCATCTCCATGTCTAGATCCATACCAAACCCTCACCCATCTAGCCTCCACTTCCTTAAGCAGAGCCCGCCACCTCAAAAACCCCCCAATTGTTGCTCTCTCTACCACCCCTTACAGCTATGGAGGCTACTCCATTTCAAACCATCCCTTTTCTGATGGACACTGGCAGTGATTTCAATTGGTTGCCAAGGTTGCGAACCCAGTTCCAGAAATTGTACAGAGATCTGCCCGCCCTACTTGATTCTCTACGGTTCGGGCACCACCGGCGGTATCACGCTCGTCGAAACCCTAGATTTGCCGAGGAAGAAAGGTGTTCGATTTCGTCGTCGGCTGTTCTCTCTTCTCTTCCCGTCAACCCGCCGGAATTTCCGAGTTCAGCCGTGGCTCTGCATCGCTGCCGAGTCAACTCGGTCTCAAAAAGTTCTCTTATTGCCTTCTCTCGCATCATTTGTCGAACTATGAATGATCAAGTCTCAGATCTGATCAATAAGGAATGAAATTCGAGATTCTCTTGGAGATTTTAGAAAATGAGAGTGTTTAATTACTCAGAAGATAAACTTTAGTAATATGTGTTTATAGATAGAAAGAGAGAAAAAGCAGAAGCTCAAATCCGCCATTAACAAAGCTTAATTTGAGAAATTATACATATAAATATATACTCATATATATATATATATATAGACACTTACGATTTTTTTTATAGAAAGAGAGAGAGGTTTTGAGCATCTTCGAATCTGAAAAATAGCTAAGAAAAAGCTCAAATCCGCCATTAATGAAGCTTGGTTTGAGTAATTATACATACATACAGATATATATATATATATAGACAAAAGATTTTGAACATCTTCAAATCTGAAGAATTGTCAAAAAATACGAAAAGAAGTAATCGAAAAGGTTTTGATAGAGAGAGAAGAAAATAAAAAGGGAAAAATAGAAAGAACACTCTCTTTCTGAAAGAGAAAATGATCTGAAGCTAAAACAGATCTGAAAGTTCACAGAAACAAAGCAAAAGACAAGAACTTGCAAAACCGCTTTCAGAGATCGGAATCCGTGCTATTTCAACACCGGAGTGATGGTGATCGATGTAGAGAAATGGAAGGAAGGTAGGTACACTGATAAGCTCGAGAATTGGATGAGGATTCAGAAGAGATACAGAATATATGAACAGTGGTGTTGCCGGCCGTTGCGGTGGTGGTGGAGGAGGACCGGTGGTGAGGATGGTTTTGGTATACTGTATTTGTATATGGTAAGTATGTATATTGTCGGTAGTATTCGTACCTGATAAAAAAAAGTAAGGTTTAAAAGTTACTGCTGACTTGGCGCTTCGTCATCACTGACATGGCAAAGTAAATTGAAATGACTTCATCCTAACCATTGGATCTGCCATGGACACCCTCCACTGAGAGGTGCCATGGAGAGGATTACTGCCCATCAGGTACACATATATATATATATATATATATGGTCTTCCTTTTTAAGTGGGGTACAACTATATCAAATCTACATATGGAGGTTCCTCGCGAAATATTGTTCCCCAAGAATTACGAATAATCAATTTTGTCCTAGTACTAGCACATTCATACCATATCAAATTTCAAATATTGAATGATCTTAATTTATTTATTTTATCACGAATGATCTTAATTTAATTCAACAATAATATAACTTAAAAGAAGTTTCAAAGTAACAATTAAACACTCAAAAAAGTCTCAAACTTCAATTGTTCTAGCTAAAAACGTAAACTTTCATCCAAGGAACTGCATGGAAAGCTAACAATACCAATCACTCAATATATAATAAAAACCAACAGATCCATCCTTCAGTACCTCCTGGGAAAGCGATCCATAAACCTACCTGAGGGGCACTCAAATTGCAGGTGTCCTCTTCCCCCACAGTTGTGACAGATCAGCAAGGGGGCCATAAAATCCCGGCTCATATAGCCTGGCTGCATACAATCCCGGCTCATATGACCTGGCTGCTGGCAGTTTCGACATATAATCTCTCGATAACCACCACCACTGCGAATCCCAAAACCCCTCTCTTCTACAACATTCGTCTTCGGGCAATCTCTAATCACATGCCCCGAAATATTACACGAGTTGCAGACGGGATCATTTTGACAATCTCGTGCCAGGTGACCTGTCCTCCTACAGTTCTTGCATGCCTTGTCATTTGTACAGTCAGCTGCCATATGACCTTGCTTGAAGCAGTTATTGCACAACCTCAGGTCACCAGGTGACAGTGGAGGAGCCGTGCATTCTCTAGCACGGTGTCCTGCCTTACCACAAGTGTGGCAAATGCCCTCGTTTGGACAGTTTCCAGCCATGTGACCAGGTTCTCGACAGTTCCAACAAAGAGATTTCGTGGTGCATTCTGCCGCAATGTGCCTGGTTTATATTTTTTAAAGCATGGTAGAGACAAAAATTTAAGTAATAATATGAATAAATAAATAAATAAAATTTAAAAATAATAATAATAATGGTAACTTAACCTATTACAAAGACCTATCTTATTGTTTCAAGCTTCCCCAGTCTACTTATTGTCATCAAGATTGCTTGTCGGTAACATCACAATAAAAAAAAGTTCAAAAAATTTGCCCATTTCACTCTCATTGAAGTGGAACCGAATCCAGATGAACATGCACTCTATGTCGATTAGAGTGGTAAACTAATTATTATTTTTGGTTTTTGAAGATCTTGGGTCACTGTAACTGCCTAAGACCTCAATAGAAATTTAGTGGAATTTACCCATTGAATCATTAGAATTTTAAAGTAATATGTAAGGATGATTTAGTAAATGATATAAAGTAATATGTAAGGATGATTTAGTAAATGATATAAATAATTTGGTTGCAACAGGTTGCATTCTCACAGTAGAAATAGCATTACAATATCAGTTGGAGAAATTGGGGGAGAACAACTCTAAAAAACTGTCCAATAATGTTCTTCCCTTAAAAAAAATGAAACAATTCAAGAAAGGCCACATTTTCCTTCACTTCAAAATATTCCATAAGCAAATTCAAGCAATTGAATGACAGTGCACATTTGTTCCAAAACAGTGACAGTTAAGTGGCATTCTAGACATTAATGAAATGGCCTAAATGAGTAGGAGCAGTTGGATTATGCCCCTATATGGGCATCAGAAAACCGGAAAGATCTTGTGCAATCATAGAAAATAGGAAATTTTAATAACCACTTCCTAGAAAGGAAAAGCAGTGCAAACTTCACCAATGAAAGCTAAGGGAATCATTTGGTGGGTAAATTTGTTTAATTAAATGACTTGCACATGCCTAGAAATGAAGTATCGTGCCTAGAATTTGCAAAAACCAGAGGATGCAAGTATTCAATTTGCAAAAGTGCATGACAACGATCCATACCCGGGAAGCCCACAATTGTGACAGATTGCCACATTAGGGCATTCTCTAGCATAATGACCCGGCCGTTTGCAGTTCTTGCAAAGATTGCTCTGGCTGAAAGAAAACAGATCAAAATTATGTCTCGGCAGAAAAAATAACACAGTAAAATCTTTTCCATCCAAAACACAAGCTTTGGAAAACCAGTTGCTTGATTCCTCGAGATGCTTCAGGTGAAACACAGCATAACAGCAGCAAAACAATAAAAGAAATATTGGCAAAAAGAAAGGATGCCAAAATATCAGTAAAACAATCCTGTAACAACTACCCCAAACCCACCACAAATAAAAAAGATAAAAAGAAATACCACCAAGGGGAAGGGACGGAGAGGTGCTAAGTTCTTGCAAGAAAACAAAGAAACGAATACATAAAAACTGTCAATCAACAACATTGAGAATGTAAAGATATTCACTCATATTCCATTGAGCATGAAACATTTATATGGATATTCCCCAACTATCAAGCACACATAATACAGTAATACACGTGTTAGCACTATACTTTCTTCTCTCCTTTAAAAAAAAAAAAAATAAAATAAGATAAAAAGGGAAAAAAAAATTCTGTGGCCCAGATAAAGTTACAGACTACATAACATGTCAACCAGATCATGTACCAAATTCACACTTGCCTAATAAAAATTTCAAATAACCTTTCAATGCAACACTTTTAACAGTAATGCAAGTTTTACTCTGCTATCTACTTAAAATATAGGAAACAATTATAACAACGAACTAATACTATGCGAATAACAATAAGCAATTTAGGAGAGTTCAACTTCAAAGACTCCCAGACACATTCATACTGAGAGATATTAACTGTAGCTTAACAATCATTCAATCACTAACAGAACTCACAAATTAGAGATCCTTGCTTCACAACCAGCATGGCGTTGTACAAATGCTAAAAATGAAAAAGGAAACAACAAATAAATGATTAAAAACCAAACAACCTGAAACCCTGACGTGACTCCCTCTTGTAAGGTGCAACACGATGGGAATAACGTTCAGTACGGACTTTGCGATCCAGCGGGCTCCTGCTCCTGCTCCTGCTGTCTAAGCTCATATTCAAAACTATCCCTATCAACACCAACCACCACTGATCAGGAACACCACCACCTCCACCACCACAGCCGCTGCCTCCTCCCTGTCCACATTACAACCACACACCGAAGACTATATCCATGAGTCCAATTCAAATCCCTACTTTCCCCTTCATGACATAAAACACCAAACCCAACAATACAAAACATATATATTTCAAGAGAGTGCGGGTCTATGAAGACCCCAGTTCTTCAATTCCATCCTTGGTAAGAAATTCTATAAAATCTATTATTCAAAGTTAGTCCTAAAAACCTAATACTTTGAAAATATGGTATACCCAAACTCCTAACTTCACAGCATACCATCCAACGTATGGAAAGACTTTCAGTTACAACATTTTGAGATTTAGAAGTTCTGAGAAAGAATCCATAAAAAAACCGGCACCATCAGTTTCATTTAAAAAATAAAAAATAAAATAAATAAATGGAAGAAATTAAGTAACAAAATAGAAATTATAACCCAATCAACACATAATAAGAACTTTCTTATTATCATGACAAGATTAATTTTTTAACAATAGATCTCTTCAGACACACAGTTAATTGAAGATAGCGGTATAGCACAGCAGGAAAGATAGCAAAACTTGCAAATAAAATGGTTCCTCTGGTAAGTGATTGCATTCACAACCCCCACACAACGCAATCAACAAGACTTGATCCAAGCTACTTGGTTCACCTACATTATCCCTCATTGCCATCCACAAATCTAAAACAAAATACACATCCAACTGCAGCATAGACCATTGCAGAGCTATTCTTTTCTAGAAACCTGCGTGCTCTCTGAATAATTCAAAATTTTAATCACGACATGAGGAAATGAATAAAAAATTGATCCAATGATCTAAGCTACACCTACATGATCCCTCATTGACATCCACAAATCTAAAACAAAATACACATCCAAGTGCAGCATAGACCATTGCAGAGCTATTCTTTTCTAGAAAGTAGAAACCTGTGTGCTCTCTGAATAATTCAAAATTTTAATCAAGAAATAAGGAAATGAATAAAAAATTGATCCACTTGAATTTGGAATTAAAAACCAACTTAAATCAAAACCATAAGTAATTCTTGTTTACTCTTCAAATTATAGATTGATCATCCATATTCAAATTGAAGCCCAAAAAGACTTGTTAGGACCAGATCTAAACTTTGAAAGCATAAGTTGTCAAGAAATCTAATTCTCTTCCGAAACTGTCTCTTCCAAAACTGCCCATGGGGCATTCCATCTATTGAAAAGAACAAATGTAAGTTCAAACTTCTACAAAATTTCTATCCTCCACCGACCCCCAACGAGCATTGTTCACGCTCACAGTCTCGGTCACTCTTTCGGATGGCACTAAGACAACAAACTTGTGGCGTCGCATGTCAATGGTGCTCCTACCAGTTTTTTCTCTAGCTCGAGGGGTTTGAGACAAGGGGATCCGCTTTCTCCTTTCTTGTTCCTGTTTGTGATGGAGGCCCTAAGCAGATTGATGAGCAAGGCTACTAAGTTGGGGTCTTTGAGAGGCTCTCAGGTGGGCAGGGATGTTGCTCCCCAGTTGGAGGTCTCTCATTTGATGTTTGCCGATGATACTTTGGTTCTTTGTAATGCGAATGTATCCCAGCTTCGTTATCTGAGGTGTGTCCTGATCTGGTTCCAAGTTGTTTCTGCCCTTAAGGTGAATGTGGGTAAAAGCATTTTGGTGCCGGTGGGAGAGGTTCCTGAGATTGAGTTTTTTGCTGATATTCTTGGTTGTCGTACTGGCTCTTTTCCCATTTCTTACTTAGGGATGCCTTTGGGGGCCCCATCAAGATGTGTTGGGGTTTGGGATCCTGTGGTGGATAGATTTGAGAAGAGGTTGGCGGGTTGGAAGAAGCAGTATCTCTCCAAGGGAGGTCGGGTCACTCTGATTACGAGCACGCTTTCTTGCCTTCCTACTTATTTTATCTCTGTGTTTCAGATTCCCTCTTCAGCTGCAGAAAGGATTGAGAGATTGTAACGTAATTTTCTGTGGGGGGTAGAGGCGAAGAGTTTAAGTTTCATCTGGTTTGTTGGGATCAGGTGTGTAGGCCAATTCGTTTTGGTGGTTTGGGTCTTAGAAGACTGGTGCCTTTCAATAAGGCTCTTCTTGGTAAATAGTTGTGGAGATTTGGGGTGGAGAGGCATTGGCTTTGGAGGAGGGTCGTTGCTTGTCGTTTTGGGGAGTCTAGAGGAGGGTGGTGTTCTATGGAGGTGCGTGGCCCTCAGGGTGTGGGAGTTTGGAAAGTCATTCGGAAGGGATGGGATGAGTTTTCCAAACACGTTCGTTTTCGCATCAGGGATGGTAGGAGGATTAGTTTTTGGGAGGATATGTGGTGTGGGGATTCTCCTCTCGCCATCTCTTTTCCTCATCTTTTTAGGATTGCTACGGATAGGCACGCCATGGTGGAAAACTGTTATCATCTTCATAGTGGGACTCTTGTTTGGGATTTTCGATTCAGGCAGTTGTTTCAGGATTGGGAGATTGAGGAGGCCATTCGTTTTTTGGAGTTGTTGTATCGCCAGAGGATTGTGGATGGGGTTTCTGATTGTTGGTCCTGGGTTGCAACCTCTCATGGGCGCTTTGAGGTTAGATCATTTTTCAGATGCCTCACGGATGTTACTAAAGAGCTCGCTTCCCTTGGAAGGCTGTTTGGCACTCTAAGGCTCCTCTCAAGGTGGGTTTTTTTGCTTGGACTACTGTTTTGGGAAGGATCTTAACCCAGGATAATTTGAGAAGGCGAAATCAGGTGGTGGTCAATCGTTGCTATTTGTGTCTTCGGGATGAGGAAACTGTGGATCACCTTCTCCTCCATTGCACCATGGTTAGAGATTGCTAGAATTTGATGTTTGGCTTGTTTAGGATTCTTTGGGTTATGCCTGGATCCGTTAGAGGGTTGATTGAGGCTTAGAGAGGTTGCCATGTGGGGCCTCACATTCTGGATGCTTGGAGGGCTACGCCTCTTTGTGTGTGGTGGTGTATTTAGCTCGAGAGGAATAGAAGATATTTTGATGGGAAAGAGTTGTCGATTTCTACTCTTAAATTCTCTATTATTTCTACCCTTTTTTGTTGGGTTTCTGGGAGATGTCCTAGATCTTTAGAGGAAATTGTCGATTTTTTGGCCTCTTTGAAGGCTTAAAGGTCCTTGGTGGCCTTGTGTATATCTCCAGGGCTTCGCTCCCCTTTTGAGCGCTTTTATAAAATTTTCTTACTTATCAAAAAAAAACAATACACAAAATACACTACAGATGATGCTCACAAGAATATACAAAATCATTAAAAGTTTCTGAAATAATAAAAACAAATGATTCAAATAATAAACAAAAAACAGCATCGACCACATTCAATGTTGTCAAAACAATTGCTTCAGGCATATTATTCCACGATTCTACAACAATATGATATAGCAGTAGATCAATAGATATCAATTATATATATAATCAATACAAATTAATCATTATCATCATCGTTGTAATAATTGATTCATAATCTCCAGCACATCTTTTGTTTAGTTTAAAAACAAATACTCCGTTTAACCAAAATTTCCCAAACACTTGATCCATGAAACCTATGATGTGCTTAGAAGAAGATGGTATGTTTGGAGAAGAGTTATGTTCATTCTGATGCTCAAATTGGCAGACGGCCAAATATAAGCGAGACGACTCCAAGTTGTCTTGAAATATGACACACGTATCATTGATATAACAATGCTAAATTGCTATTCGCATATCTGTTGTCATGATATCCAATCGAGGCCCTTCAATGCAGTCTTGACTTAGCCAGGTTAAACTGGTACCGGTTGATCTTTGAACCTTGATAGTCTCTAGTAAGGAGCGTGTGTGCATGGCACATGCCACAAACCATAACCAAATTATTTTCCCTTATGGTATCAGAGACGTGTATACTGGTAGTAAACACGATAAACCAAGGGATGCATCTTCCTCATCATATCCGTATTCATGCATCCATCCACTACAACCATAAGCAATGTTGCTTCCAAAAAATCCCTAACAAGTAATTGTCATTTCAAGCAAATCCACCAATTGTTGGAACATACAGGAAGCTAAAACACAAATGACAGTTAATATAGATTTAACTCCATCTCCCAAGATTACCTACCACTCATCATGGTAAGGGAGAAACTATAAGCTAATAGCAAGTATCATATTTTGGGCATAAGCCATACAAATTTTGACATGTCCAGATATGACAATAAGTACCAAGCACTGAAATTCGGTAATTAATTCCGCCAATTTTATTAATCCACCATACATATGTTGACTTACTTTCTTATATACAGTTTTAAGTGCTTAACCTAAAAAGGCCAGTATCTTGATGGCTACTTCTGGGGTAACCTAGGCCAATCAATCAACTGTATTTTGAGAAATCATGAATGACAAAAAATCCAGACCCTTTCTAACCTTTTGGTCTTGATGTAAATAAAAAGCACGGTGTGGAACTAAGCACAAATGCGTACGCTTCCAATGTTGTTGGAAGAAACCAAAAGTAGCAATCCCTAGAGAAGTGGAAGGAAACAATGTCAACTCCATCAAGTTGATCCGGATTGTTATGGAAGTTCTTGAAGCCTTCCCAATCTTAATAACCAAACCCAGTAAAGCATTTAGATAGCAACCAAAAGTTTTGCTGCTACAGCCATTATTAGCCACCTTATAACTGGTTACACCCCCCTATTTCAGAGGACTCCAATGCATGTGCACACTTCACCCACATTGACTTATAAGGCTAAACTGAGCATATTTACTTGATTCAAGTACGTAAACATAAAATCCAATTCACTGGCAAAAAGAAACGTTTGATGTGGAAGGACTCTTGTAGTTAGATGTGCTAGTAGGCCTTCATTCCTTCAAAATTTTCTCATAAACCATTTCCTCCATGATGACTAGAGCAACTAGCATTCTGAAATACCCAACTACAAATGCTTGAAGTTTACTGCCTCTTAGATGCACCACAGACCCAAAACCTTCGCTAATTTATACACATTCTATAATATCATTAAAACTAGAATATGCAGAATCAGTTTAAAGACCAACCTTCTTAGGAATCAAATGGTTGGAAGCTGTTCAGATACGTACCAAAATAACCAAATGGATGTCAACAAATTCTGCCTTTTTGGACGGAATTTGAAACAGGTAAAAAATGGTATATGAAATTCATGGATTCCAAATCCCATTTCCAATTTCGTGATTCCAAACAACACATTAACGTTGTGTTTGGAACCATGGAATTTGATGGGATTTGGATTTGGAAACAAGATGCTTGAGAATTTGTACTGTTTGGAATCATGGAATTGAAAATTAGACTTGGAATCCATAAGATTTCAAATACCAATTTTTACTTATATCCAATCCCATCCAAAAAGGCAGGATTTGACGGGATTTGAAACACACATGACATTTATTTATAATATTCCTTATTTAACCCTATTAAATATCTCCACTGTCTCCCTATCTCTGATGTCTTCCTACTCTATCGTCTCTATAAATCTTATTTAACAAGCGTCTTCCTACTCTCTCGTCTCTGTATATCCCCTATATAACATCATTCCTCCAATCTAAATATATATATACGTATATGTATATTCCTTTGAGTCTGTGAATATTCTACTTTTAATTCATTTTTTTTTATCATCCTCCAACCATTAGAGTCCTAAAGCATAATATCCAGGTTAGTTAGTGAAATATCCAACCATGAGTCCAGAGCATATTCAGGTTGGTCAGTAAATGGTTTGTCTTGGTTAGGTACTCCTAAGCATATCCAGGTTGGTCAGTAAACTATGATTTTCTATATAATTATATTTTAAAACCAATATTCTATTTATTTTTAATAAAGGCAAAGATGGTATAATTTTATTTTCATTCCAAATTCCTTTTTACATCCAAACTAAAAAAAGGAATTCCTTTCCCTCCTAATCCAATTTGTTCCAAACATGCCTAAAGGAATGGGATTTGATGGAATTTCAAAGGAAAGTTTGAAAGCTAAACAAGTCCCGGAAATTTGAGAGGATTTTATGGAATTTGGGAAATAACTTCCTTATCTTAAAAGACAATTTTTTAACTTACCAATCTTGCTCCTTTACAAACCTCTTCTTCTTTAGGGCTAAAATGGTACAGAAATTTATTTCCTTTTCAATTCATTTCATTCAAATTTCATTTTATTCCAAACACACAAAGAAATTCCTTTTTAATTTCAATCCAATTCCTTTTCCATTTCCAATTCCAAATTCCAAAAAAATTGGTTCCAAACAAAGCACGTAATAACTTTCTTGCATTTATTGAATCATCTTGGTCCTTTGGAATTTTGGATTATAGTAGGAAAGAAACTCCTCTGCTTCATGGTACCAACAGTGCCTCCTACAACTATTTGATCCAGGTTTAGAAGATTCAATAGACATACTTTTGACTAGTTTTTTTATAAAAAATAAATAAATAAATTTCCAATTCTGTTACTACATTCTGGTCTTGATAACCCCAAAACTTTTCACTTATTTTATTCAGTTTTTCTAGTCTAGGTATGCAAGCAACCAGTCTTGCTTGTACATTATGCCTAGAACATGTAGTGTGGTGTCTTTGCATCCTGCACGAAATATGAAACTTAGTTGTCTAAAATAATTTATTTCCAGATATTTTTACGTGTACTATTCATTAAAACCCAGCCAATGTTATTTATGAAAATTTATATTTCCTAGTACGACTTTTAGAAGTACAATACAATAATGCATGCTTAAGAGCTGCGCATGCCACATGACCCCATAAAATAAGTACACACGAAAAGTCACAACACTACTGTGTCTATACAAATTTAGAGCCACAAAATATAAGTACGGAATAATCACCACGAACCAAAATATATACATGTATGGACCAAAAATGCGAGAAAAGCTAAACCCCACCATCAATAAACTTCGATATCAATTCCTCACGAAAAACTCAAAAAAATTAAAATAAAATAAATCATAAATGACCGAGAAGAGAAACCCTAATTACGAGTAAAATTAATCGCCAGAAGAATACTAATAAGTAATAACTTAACATATTCATAAACTTGCATGAACTTTTAAATGGATATGAAACAACCCTAATAAATCCGAAGCAAAGTGAGAGATTATTCCATAGATATAGTTAGAGGAAGAAACCTGCCGGACGGCGCAATAACGGTCGTCCTCGGGCTTGTGTTGATGCTTTTGAAAAGAAACTATAGTACGAACGGATCTGTCAGGGATAGGGTTAGAGAGAGATTATATAGAGAGACAGATAGAGGAAAACCGCTGAATCCTTTATCTGGAACCGCCCCGGTCCACCTGCTTTTTTCCTCAAAATAAATTAGGATAACAATACTGTATTAATTATAGCCTTATTTTATTAATTTCAGTAGTTTCGCCACAAAAGTCTTTTTATAGAAAAAATGTGATTTTTTATAATTTACTACTAATATTTTGTATACTTTTTCTACTAAATATATATAATTAGATATTATATAAATTTAAATTATAAATTTAAAAAATTTTGAGTAAGTTATATTGACCTTATTTGAAATTTGGACAAATTACACATTAACTTTTATTACTTAAACCTTCTTTGTAACCACACCCCTGTCGTTAATAAATATTAAAAAAAATTTATTAAGTTATCATATTCTTGTGTTAAAAGATCTCAATAATCTTATATGAAATGACAAAAAATACCATAAAATATTTTTAAAATGTAAAATAACAATTTTCATATCAATTTCATATTATTAAATTTTATAAAAATTAATTTTCTATTTTTGTAAAATCCTACATTCCCCTATTAAAAAAAAACCCTTCATTAGATAATATAGAACAGAATCAAGTAAAGTTATAAATCTAGCCATGATTAGGACGTAAATTTCCTCCTTTTTACTGATAAATATAATCAAAGTTAACTTACAAGTCTACAACTGATGAACAAAGTTTTCCTGTATATTCGGTTCATTCTATATCCTTATTATTGAATGCAATGAACAATTTTGTATTTATTTATTTATTTGTTTTTTTAACAAAATCATTTTTCTGATTTTATTGCCAAAACAGATAGATTATTTATCATCAGATGAAATTTAAGAATTTAAAAGTTATAGAAGAAGAAGAAAAAAATCCAAACTCAAAGCTTGCAACACAAAAAAAATAAAATTACCATCACCATTAATATTGAAGGAAGCTAAATACGGAGATTATGAAAATGCAGGAAACTGAAAACATTAAAGATTAGAGAGGGAGAAAAAATATATATATAGTTCCATATATATCTAAAAAGGTAGTTGTGGTATTTGAAAAAAATAATTATATAAAATTGGAGTGTAGAGTGCCAATATTACCTCCCAAAATTAATTATAAATGAACGACAATAACATTTCATACATAATTTTATTGTTGATGTCTCTCTAGGTTTTTCTAAATTTACCATTTACATAACAAACAAAAATAAATAAATAATTTGAATAATATAAAAAATAAAAAGAAGAAGAAAGAGAGGAATACATGCTTCACTTTCGCAATTCATGCACCTTAACTATATGTTTATTGACCACTACAATGAGAAAACATATTTGGTAAAAATTTTAAGGGTAAAATACAACACCAACTCTATATACAAGTTGACCTATTTTTGTAAATAACATCCCTTTCTTATAAATTGGATCCAAACAGACCCTTAAAAATTGTAAAAAGTGAAAATTGCCTTTTAATATTTTATTAATTTAAGTTATAAAATATCAAAATCCTTAAATGACATATTTACCCTTATACACTCATTACACATATATATATATATATATATATATATATATATGCATATGTATATATCTATATGTATATGTATTACTGTAGACCCCAAACCACCATACACCCAAACTCCAAACATCCACCTTCACACCTTCCAACCACCACCACCGCCTGACTTGGATCACCCACCACCACTACCACCTTCCTAATGCGCCCAAAACAAGCCACTACCACTTCTGCTTTCTTATTACGCCCAAAACGAACCCACCAATTGACCCACGCTACCACAACTCCCATATAAGAGGTGAATCGGATTACTATGCTCCACCACCACCGCCACGATGGCAACCGAAGTCAGAGGAATATAACTACTCCAAGAATGAACCGAGCACACAACGGCAATCATTTTCCTCGTCTATATTGTCTTCCCTACACCCACTGCACGCGCCACCGCGGAGCTCTTTACAATAACGCCGGAGAATGTGAAGTAGTGAGGGGTAGGGATCGATCCGTAGAGCTATTTGCAATTGGCGATTCTAATAACACAACCAGATGAATCAGAAGCGACCACCACCACCGTCGATCAGAAGTGGCCACCACCACCACAATCGAGCAGAAGCGACGTTGATGCCGAGGCAAAATCCAAGGGTTTAAAAATAGTCCCTCGCTTCCGAGACATAGAAATCAAAACGACGCTGTTAGCAGATCCGTTATGACCTCGCGCCAGTTAATACCTGTAGACACTAAAATTTTAGTGGGCTTTGGTTTTGACAAATGGACCCATTAAATATGGGCCTAATGTTTAATTAAGTTATTTAATTGGCCCAAACTTGGTCCACTTAAATTATTTAATTAGCCCAGCCCAGATGGTTAAATAAACAGATAATTATTCATAATAAAATATATTTGGAATAATTATTTTTAAGGATAATTATCATAATATAACCGGCCCGGTCCAGTTATAATTTTATCTTTCCTTATCAGGAGATGACACGTGTCATCATCCTATCAACCCTAGAAGTCTATAAATAAAGGCCTGGAGGAAGAAGGAAGGGACATAAATTCGGAGTCAAATAATCTAGAGACTCAGAAATTTAGAGTCGAAATCCAGAGACTCAGAAATCCAGAAGGTCCAATAATTGAGGAAATTAGAAATCCAGAGGCCCAGAAATCCCGAGAGCAAACTTGAAAGCGAAGAACACCAAACACATTAAAAGTCGTACCGTTCTTCACCAAATTCAACAAATCCTCTTTGAAGATGAAGAACAACAAGCACATCAAATCGTGCCCTTCTTCATCTAAATTCCATGGTGATCAACAACAAGCACAGCCAAAGACATGCTGTTCTTCATCCAAATTTCACGGTGATTCAAAATCAAGCTCGTACAACCCTTTGATCCAACCAACCAAAAAGGAGATCGAATCAAAGGACTTTATTCTTTGGAATATTATTACAGATGATTGTACTCCATCTTTATAAATTAATAAAATATTCTATTTGCTCCCAATTTTGTTTTTATTGCAGACTACAAAATTTATGTGTACAAATTTCTGGCACGCCCAGTGGGACATCATCTGCCTCTCATCTCTTTCCCCTACATCAAATCATCAACAAATTCATCGTTAGATTCTATGACTTCCAATAAGATTCAGATGAAGAGCAAGAATACTACCAAAGACATAGTGGTCATGACGGCTAACATCAATACCATCACAAAAGGTGGAAAAAAGTTGCAACTTCGTCAAGTGGTACAAACACCTTTGCAAGTTTAATGATGTGGAGCATGGTCAAATCATCCGTTCTTGCCAAAAGACATCACAATGCGATGAGAGTCAATTTTGCCAAATCTGCCAAAGTAACAACTCAAACTCATATCGCCTTCACCTCACTGGGGGCAAAGAGAAAGGTTCCTACAACCTCAAAGGTTGCTCTAGTCACAAGTTTAAGTTCAAGGCTGGTCCACCCAAGGCCAAAGATTTTTTCTGACTCCGTCACTATGCCAGTCATGATGACGAGTACTACCTTGTACGAAGAGCAATTAATGACTATGGCCCGTGCAATTGAAAGATTACAACACTCTCTCAAGGAGTAAGATCTGAAAATTGTCTCGCTGACAGAAAAGTTAAAATTACGTGATGACAATGTTGAGTTAAGCAAAGGCCGAATTCCTCATTCTAATTCCATGCCAGAGAACACTTCAATTGATAATCAAAATGAAGTGTACGCCAATCCAACAATTGATGCTGCCTCTGTCACCTTACTTTCTGTCCAACAACTTCAAGACATGATAGTGAATTGCATAAGAGAACAATACAATGGCGTCCCTCGAAGTGCTCACATGTACTTAAAGCCTTGCACAGAAAGAATTGACATCTTAAAAATGTCGATTGGGTATCAACCTTCAAAGCTTCAACAGTTTGATGGAAAAGGCAATCCCAAACAATATGTTGCACACTTTGTAGAGACTTGCGGCAATGTTGGTACAAACGGAGATCTCATTGTCAAGCAATTCGTTCGTTCCCTCAAAGGGAATGCATTTGATTGGTACACAGACCTCAAAGTTTGAGGTATTGACAGTTGGGAACAGATGGAACGAGAATTTCTCAACCGTTTCTACAACACTCGTCGTACTGTTAGTATGCTGAAGCTTACAAATACAAAACAAATAAAGAGTGAACCCGTGGTTAACTACATCAACCATTGGCGAGCTCTAAGTCTTGACTGCAAGGATTGTTTGTCTGAAATTTCTACAGTTGAAGTATGTATGCAAGGCATGCGCTGGGAGCTTCTTTATATCCTATAAGGGATTAAGCCGCACACATTTGAAGAGCTTGCTACTCGAGCCCACAACATAGAGCTTAGCATGGAAAATCATGGTGCTAGAGAAGATGTTCCTGATATATCTGACAACCTTCAAGAAGATGAGAGAAGTGAGTCCGAAGAAGAAGACATCCTAACTCGGATGACGAAACAGTTTCATCTTTCATTACAAATATCATCTTGAAAGACTTGCATCAAGAAACGCACCATGTTACAACAATGACTTCAACCGAAAGTGCAAAATCACAGGGGGCATTAAGTCAAGGAAACCAAGAAGAAAATCCTCTAAGTGACGACGAGATAGTCCGTGCCTTCCAGTATAAGCGTGGATTGTCGTCTGATTCTTGCAAAGTTGAAGAAAATTATTAAAGTTAAAGTGCTCCCAGATACGAGCCTAAACTGTCGATGACACTCCTTGACACGAGTTTAAACTGTCTACCTAAATCAAGAACTCCTTGATACGAGTTTAAACTGTCTCTCAAACAAAAAATGACACTCCTTGACACGAGTTTAAACTGTCTACCTGAAGGAAAACAAAAATCAATAACTCTTTGATACGAGTTTAAACTGTCTCCCAAACAAAAAATGGCACTCCTTGACACGAGTTTAAACTGTTTACTTGAAGAAAAAAAAAATTAGGCACTCCTTGACACGAGCTTAAATTGTCTACCTGGAAAAAAAATCAAAAACTCTTTGATACGAGTATAAACTGTTTGAAAAAATAAAAATTTTTGACACAAGTATAAACTTTTTCAGAAAAACTCATGTCTCTATTGAATTACGTGATGACTTAATCTCTCTTTTGAGGATAAGTAGGCAGCTTAGAATTTTATTTTAAGTTTAGTACGACGCTGAAAAAAAAAAAAAAAAAAAAAAAAAAAAAAAAACAGGAAAGAAAAAAAACGAAGAAAAAAAAATTGTGTGTAAAAAAAGAGAGAAAAAGAAAGAAAAAAAAAAAAAGGAGAAGAAAAAAAAAAAAAAAAAAAAGAGAGAGAGAGAGAAGAAAAAAAAAAAGAGAAAAAAAAAATACAAAAAGAGAGAAAAATTACGTGAAAAAAAAAAAGAGAGAAAAAGGAAAGGAAAAAAAAAAAAAAGGAGAGGAAAAAAACATCATACCGATTATTCAAGCAGAGATCATAATCTAACAAGTCAGAGACTTTAGAATTGATGACAAAATCTATAACATTGGTGGTATATATAGGCAACAAAACATCTCCTATTTGTACTGGGATTTGTATAATTCAGTTCAAATAGGAAAGTAAAATTCCAATCCAAAGTTGGATAGAAAAGCAAAAAAGGAAATCTTACAATCCAAAGTTGGATAGGAAAGGGAACAAAAAAAAAAAAAAAGGAAAGTTGGATATTTCAAGCCCCATTTGAAAAAGGAAACAAGTCCTGTCAAACTTGGGACTTGAAATAGGGGCAATTTGTAGACACTAAAATTTTAGTGGGCTTTGGTTTTGACAAATGGACCCATTAAATATGGGACTAATGTTTAGTGAAGTTATTTAATTGGCCTAAGCTTGATCCACTTAAATTATTTAATTAGCCCAACCCATATGGTTAAATAAACAGATAATTATTCCTAATAAAAATATATTTGGAATAATTATTTTTAAGGATAATTATCATAATATAACTGGCCTGGCCTAGTTATAATTTTATCCTTATCAGGAGATGACGTGTGCCATCATTCTATCAACCCAAGAAGCCTATAAATAGAGGCCTGGGGGAAGAAAGAAGGAACACAAATTAAGAGTCAAAAAATCTAGAGACTCAGACATTCAGAGTCCAGAAATCTAGAAGGTCTAGAAATTGAGGGAATAAAAAATCCAGAGGGCAAACTTGAAGGCAAAGAACACCAAGCACATCCAAAGTCGTGCCGTTCTTCACTAAATTCAACAAATCCTCTCTGAAGACGAAGAACAACAAATACATCAAATCGTGCCGTTCTTCATCCGAATTCCACGGTGATCAACAATAAGCACAACTAAAGATGTGCCGTTATTCATTCAAATTCCACGGTGATTCAAGATCAATCTCGTGCAACCCTTGGATCCAACCAACCAAAAAGGAGATCGAATTAGAGGACCTTATTCTTTGGAATATTATTACAGAGGATTGTATTCTATCTTTATAAATTAATAAAATATTCTATTTACTCCCAATTTTGTTTTCATTGTAGACTACAAAATTTGTGTGTACAATACCGTCACCATTCTTATCCGACGCCGACGTTGCCGTCGAAGAGCGCTCTGATTGCCCACGCTTTATCGCCCAAATCAACAATGCCTTTGGCGACAGCATGAGGGCCCACATCGTCAATCACAAAAAGGATCTCCTCGTCGTTCCGTCCGAGTCCCTCTGGTTTAAACTTAGAGCTCACTGGCTTTTATAGACGATGCAACACGAAGCTCACACTTTTGTTGTATGAAGTGTTGCCGGTGTGAGCTTAGGCTTGAAGCTTCCCTCTCTCAATCTATTTGGGCTTGATAAAAATCCTCTCCAGTTACTCTCTCACTGGATTGGTCTAGTGAGGGGTAAAATAGCTGACTTTGCAATTGAGTCATATTTACTAAGCTTTCAATATATATATATATATATATATATATATATATATATATATATATATATTGCATTATTTAATGAATTTAACTTTTACTTTATGAGTCTCAAAGACAAATAACGAAGTCATCTTTCCATCAAATGAAATGAAAACTCTCTCATCAAAATTAAGTATAAAATAAGCAAAACCAGACTAAACGTAAAATAAATCCACAAGGTAATGCTTTGCGATTAATGATCTTTCTTCTCAAACAAACAAAATCAGAACTATTTTGGAAAAAGAATAGACGATTTACCACATATAGGGAAGAACATAACAACGAAGATAATTTTTTTCGGCGAACCAGAGGTAAACGATTTCTTTCCCGATACAGAAGAGAATAAGTAAAAAAAATGTATTTTAATTTCAATAAAAAGGTAAAGTTAAATTGTATAATAATATATTATTATCCATATAAAGTATAACGTATAGAGTGATATTCGTATATTTGGTAAAATAAAATATAGATGAATAAATTTATTAACTTGCTGGCCTATTGCTGACTTGGCGATGAAAAATCTATGTTAAAAAGCGACATTAATCACCATCGTTAGATGCTTACTGAATGTCGTCCAATAAAAGAATAACTGGAGAGGATTTTTTTCCGTTTAAGCTTAAGCTTCTCTCTCAATCTGTACCTATACGTGTGTCTATATATATATATACATACAGAGAAAAAGAGAAAGATGGTTCTGTCATTCATTTCTTTTGACTCGTTAGGGTTTGAGAGGGAAAATAGAAGAAGATAACGAGGAAAGAGAAAATTTGGGTTTCTCATATGGGTTGTACCCGGAACCAATGGTATTTGAGTCAATAAAAGAGAGTTATATATGTCAATTTTATATAAAAGGTAATAAAGTCAATTCACAATTGTTATGGTGTCTTTATCTATTTTATAAAGAGTTAATTTCACCGACACTTCCTCAGGTTTGATCAAAAATTATCCTCAAACATCTTTCGAAAATAACTATCATTTAGGTTCATGTTCACTTTTCCGTCACAGTTTCCGTTAAAAATATATAAAAGACAATTTTGCCCTTAAAGACCCTTTGACTTGATCAAAAGTGCTCTCTAACCTAAAAATTAAATAAAAAGACTACAATACCTTTAAATACACTACAAATTTACAATTATAGATATAATTATATCCGCGGTCCCTATGTCTTTTAATTGAATTAACAGATCAAAGTGGATGAGTGCCTGGATAGGAGATAAAACCCAACAAAGCCCTTACTCTCAATGTTAAAATATCCGGTTACCCTATGCTTCCCGAATCACAACCTTTAGGTTTGATATATAGGATTTATTATCAAACAATTAAAACAAATCTTAATGTTAAGGTAATTCAAAAAGATATGAAAGGTCACACTTTATTGATTCAAAGTAGCACTTCTGATGCTAATATACAAATAAAGAAAACAATTGCCTGGAATGACATTTCGTTACCTAACGAATGGATTCTCCAGAATGAGAATCATACATACATATATATATATATCATACATATAAATATATAGTAATTTCATCAAGTCAAAAAGAAAACCTGAGCTCAAGTTCAACCCAGTTAGTGGAATTGGGTGGAATTCACTGTAACAGTTATGATAACAGATGGTGGCTTGTGTCCGGGATTGACGATATCAATGTTACATTCTTCAATATCGACCCATCACCCACGAGTTTATTAAAGACTCCCGAGTTCGAAACCGAGTTCTTTCGTTTGTGTTAAGTCATGACTCGAACTATCTCCGTTAGCATTGCGTTCGATAATCGTCGTACTCCCTGAGTTCCGCCCACTATGATTGCCGGGTTAACCAGTTCTTGATTGTGGGATCGAGTCTTCATTGAGTTATTTATTCCATGCATATTATAAGTAGTCTCGGACACTGTTGACAAATACACTGACTCGAGACTCCGATTCCTGACTCGGTCGAGTGGGTCATCGAGTACTAACATTTCTTTCACCTCCACCAAAATCACGTGCTTGAAATTTTTACGAGCTCGACCCAATAGCATGGGATAACAAGCCCATCTTCTCAAACTCAGTGGCACATGGTCTAGAAACCCAGCCAGCGAGTTCTCCAGGTCGAGCTTGTCGAACTCAAAACCCACCACCGAGCCATAACTCAACTGAGCCAATTTCGGCTCACTTTCTTCGCTGAAATTGCTTCGATTTCTTCGACCCCATGGATATCCTAGCATTAATCTGGTATTTTTACAATTCCAACGCAAGGCGCTCGATCTGATGCTTGAACCTCTTCCCTAGTTCGTTAATCAACTAAGTAGTTTAGGCTTTGATTTAGACCCTCTCGGCGAAATATATATATATATATATATATATATATATATGTCCGTGCATATATTATATATATATATATATATAATTTGTAAATTTATAATAATTTGAGGGATGTTTTAGTATTTTAATATAATTATTTATGTTAAATAGTTGTTTTGACAAAATTAAAGGGTGTTTAAGTCATTTTACGTAATGTCATAATTGTTTAACTAACTGTTGGGTTGGGGTATAAGTGAAAAATGGAACGACTGGTTGTTGTTTTTAAAAAAATATTTGAAGTTGATAATTGACCAAATCTATAAAAATCTTAGTAAAATTAATCTTTTATAAAATTTGAGTCGAACTGGTATGTGACTGATCTTGCGCAGCGTCATTGTACTTTACCCAAAATTAACCTGTTGAGAAAATTAACGTCTTTGCGGATACGCCGTGAAGGTATCACGTCTCTCTTCGACCAACCGCTATCCTCTAGTAGCTTCATTTTTCTCGTATTGGTTTAAAATTCCTACAGTAATTGCTTTTACCTCTGCTTATTAGATTTCAATTTGTTGAGAAAAATTAGGGTTTCCACTGCGAGCGCTCTGCAAAGGCGAAGCCAGGTGCGCTACTTCCTTCTGTTCGTCATATATATATATATACATGCACTGATACACACACACACACACATACATACATACACATATATATTTATTTACTGTTGTACTGTAAAAGGTTGCTTCAATTGTATAGTTTTATCTGATGATTCTGATAGAGCCCTAAAATAATGTTTTAGGAGCTTACGATGAAAAACTATATATGACAATATATTTCAAACATCTGTCGAGTTTTTCCAATATTTTGAATTAATATTAACATGGCTATTCTTATGTTCGAGTTAATTTTTGTGTGAGAAGAGTCGTGACCAAGTGTTAGATTTTGTGCGAGAATTCGTTAGGGTCGAAGATTTAACTCTAATTAGAAAGTGGGACTTGATCTGAAACTGAATTTGGTTAGCTAGGTGGGACTAGTTGCTGTATTGTAAAATTGAGGTGGATTATGAACGTGATTGATGATTAGAACAATGGTTGGAGACTGACCCATAAAAACGGTGGCTCTTGTAATTTTTCTGAACTTGAAATGGTTTGCTAAGCCACAATTTAACTGGTTGGCATATAGGAAGATTGCTGATTTTTTATATTTGATATTTGATATTATATATATATATCAATCACTATGGTCTTAGACCCTGGTGCCAAAATTGAGTTGAAAAGTGAAAATGGTTGATATGGTGAAGTAAATTTGAAGTTTTGAACAGCATCGTCTGGGTTTCTTTATAGTTTCTTGCTAGAACTCATAGTTCATTTTTGAATGCATGATAGAGCCTTACCTCCTCGCTGATAAACATGGTCCGATTTTGGTCTCTGTACTAAGCACAACATTAAGATATCCTGTAAGGTGACAGTCATTTACTCTTTCAGGAACTTAATTACAGCGAGGGGTATTATCTTCCCACAGCCATTCCTTGTTCAAATCCTTCCCCCATCCCCAAGATGGTCAAAACTCCAAAATTCTCTTCCGAGTCTAATGCTTGAGCAATGGTTGTTTACAAAGTCAACAAAGTTTTTCCCATGAATATTTGGAGCTAAGTAAGCCAGCCTTTTAATTATTTAAAATACCACAAGTAAAGTGGAAATTGTTGATGCAACTCAAAAAAAAATTTAATTTTTTTTTTTTTTTCTTTATGCACACTATCAAAATCCATTTTCTGACCAAAAACCACCAAAAGGTGGCGGACATACCTTTTGATCTGATGACTTACCATTGCTTTGCTTTGCCTCAAGGTTAAAGGGGTTTTTGATTTTATCCTTGTTTGGGTTTCTGTGCATATTAGATATATCATATGTCTAATGTAAAATGAGAATCTTGTGGGGTGTCCAAACCATCAGCATTGAACTATCAAGTATCTATAGAATCATACTGTACTTCTTTAGTTGAGCATTGACAATCCAGTTTCATTATGTTCCCTCTGTCAATCATAAAGAATCATCCTCTCTTTTCAAGTTCTGAGGTGTCTAGGTATCATCTTTAGTGCTAATAGGATACCTTCAGAGTAGAGACCTACTGGTTGGCAATTGGTATGGCAACCCTTCTGATGCGCTTTTAATGTTCCAAACTCATGTCATGAAAATGTGTTTCCCATTGGTGCAAGCAGAACAGAAGTCGTGGTGAAGGACACGACACCAGAACTGACTTTTTTCTTACTCTCTTGAACATAAGTTGTCTGACCTAGTTTTGCGATATTGTGTTTCACTGTAGCCATGTCAAGTGGTTTAACTTCATTGTATATAGGTCTATTGTTGGAAACATCATAAAAAGATAGCAGTGGCTGGTAATCCTATTCATCATTTACAATTCAAGCTTAGGGAGGTTAAGAAAGCTATTAAAGTTTGAAATAAGGAGAAAGGGCATGTTTCTGTTCCAACGAAGCTTGCTAGATTGGATCTTCAACATTTGTAGATGGAATTGTTAAAAGGCCAAGGTTACCCCACTCACTGTGACACAATGCCCTAAAAGAAATGAAGCCAGTGAGTTAATATAGAATGTGAAATTTTAGTAAACTTTTGTTTTTGATGTCTGTCTTTTCACCTTTTGTTGTTCTTATGGGGTAATGTTGGGTTTGCTAATTATTAAAAATAGCCTGGTAATGGATTTTCTAAACTTTATACTACTATGTTCTTTGTTCTTTTTATTTTTGTCAGTATTGGTCAGTCTTATTATGCACATTGTGCAACCAATGATGAGTATAGTAACTTAGCATATTGTCGCGCCCTGCAGTTGGGCCAGGTCCGTGACACTATGCTTTCAAATCTTTCAAATTCTTTTACATTTTGCATTTGCTTTATCAAAATTTTAATTTTGTTAGAACCTTTATGTTGGCAATTAAGAATGGGTGAAAGTTAGCTTATATGGTGAAAAATCAGAAAATTTCTGCTGATTTGATACTATGACAGACGGTGCAATTTTGCCTAGATCTCCTAGGCAGGACTTATATGTGCTATCGTATGTCATTGCCAGGGGTTAACTTTGTCCTATATTACACTTCTATGGCCATGGCTGAGGGAGATGACCCGATGGAAGGATCTGTTTCCTCTCCTGTTCTCGGTTCTGTGGAGTCCAAGCAGAGTGGAGATGTGCTGTCCCCAGAAGATGTAGCCTGGGCAGACTCCTGCCTTATCAAAGATCCTGAAATATCACACAGTAACTGGAATTCTCTTGCAGATGCTTTACTGGAAACTCTCAGTTCCCTACCTGATTCAGTTGCCTTTTCTGGAGTTGAAATAGATGCTTTTCCTGCACAAACCGACATGGAAATTCTTTCCATGAATGAAGAGGCAGAATCTTCACAGTATCTAGAAAGAAATGTCTCTGATATTGTTCCCATCAATGAAGAAGAAGAAAGCAACAAGGATCACATAATGCACGAGAAGACTGATGCATTGAGTGAGAGAACAGATTTGGTGAATAGTTTTCTGCCGACATACAATGAGGACCTGAATTTCTTTGAGAATACCGATTATGAGGTGGCTTTGGATTTCCAGGTATCTGAGATGGAGTCAGTTACTGATATTGTTCCTATCAATGAAGTAGAAAAAAGCAACAATGATCACATAATCCATGAGAAGATTGATGCATTAAGGGAAAGAACTAATTTGGTGAATGCTTTTCTGCCGAGATACAACGAGGACCTGAAAAAAACTGAAATTACCGATGATGGGGTGGATTTTGTTTTCCGGTTATCTGAGAAGGAGCCATCAACTGATGATATCTTTAGGGTCTGGGACCTGGACTTTCCAGATGAGGAAGATGAATTTATAAAAGAGCTGAACAAAGCCCTTGCAGGAATCCCCTTGCAACCAACACTTTCAACTTTTGATGATTCTGGGGCGAAAGAGGAGTCACTTGATGATCTCATTTCTGGCATTGCTGAACTGTCTTTGAAAAATTCTGGTTGAAAATTGTTTAGTCTTAGAACCATATATAGTGCATGTCTGGCTAGCTTGGCTGCTTAGTTATCTTACATGTGCCATTTCAAGTATCATCTGGCCTTCTATTTAGAAAAATTGAATCTTCTATGAATAGAAATTTAATCTAGGCTAACTTGGGCATGCCCAACTGTGGGTCGTATTGATCAAAATGGAAGATTTAATGTACATTTGTGATATAAAGGGCTATACAGTGCACGAGATCAATGCGAGATCGTTAGATATACGGTTGTGCTTGATGTGTTGACCAAATTCTCTCTTTCACGGTGCACCGTCCGAGTGTGGCACTAGCAATTGACTAACAGATCCAGGTGAATCCACAAATGGGCTCTAACATGACACAATCATGGAGAATCTAAACCACATGCTAGGGTTTTTTACACCAGTCATTCAAACACCATACCCACTTGCCATGGAATGATGACAGTGAAGTAGCTGACTTGGCAAGCTGTTCACCGTTGACATGAATATAACAATTACATCAAACCCTATGATTAAAACTCAGCCATTAATCAATAGGAAGTAGAAAACAAAGAAGAGAAATCACACTTCACAGCCTCAACTTACTTCAAATGATACATTTGTCTATCTGTTCCTCCAAACATAAGAAAAGAAAAGAAAAGAAAAAATATATATATATATATATATTAAATTCTTAATTTTTACAAGGTGGGCGTAATTCCATCCACTTCTGCCACATGCGAAGTAGACAAATTATCATCCACGTGGCGAGCCAGGATTGGTCGATGCATGACAGCCTCAAATGAGACATCCTTGGGTTCACTAGACAAATATAAATAGAGGGAGTGAGAGAACATGCATGTGTGGTAAAGAGACGCAGATAGCTTTGTGAGAGGAGATAAGATTGCATAGAAGCTTAGGCAATTTTGCTATCTGCGTATTATAGATTTAGAGGTCACAAAGACTCACAACACACAACCCTCTTGAGTTGAGCATTAACTACATACAATGGCCTCAGCATCTCTCCTTAACTCATCTCCAGTTCTTGACAAGTCCGAATGGGTGAAGGGCCAGACCCTCCGCCAAACCCCAGTTTCAGTTGTCCGCTGCCTCCCCACCGCCCCATCGGCTCTCACCGTCCGAGCTAGTTATGCTGATGAGCTTATCAAGACAGCGGTATGTTATATATACACTTCATATACACTCTTTATGTATATATAAAAAATAAAAGAGCTGTGTTAAAGCACTGAACTTAGCATTCCCGTAACAAAATTAGAAGTTAGTATACGTGAATTGTTACTTTTTTGCCTTTGGCTATCTTTGTGTATAACACGCTAAACATCAATAGAGTCTTGTTTGGTTACCCTTTAGATGTTTAAAGCTGAAATTTTCATGATTTATCTAGTAAGCTTAATTTTATAGTGTTAAATCAGTTATTACTTGATGAAAATTTCATAAAAGGGGTTGAATTTCAAGTTAATAGTTAGATTTGGAATGCATTAAAATGAATGGTGATTTTTAAGCTTTATAATTACAATTTAAAATCATTAGTATTTACAATCAACATTCTCATTAACTTGGGAGTTTATTACATAGATATATGGTTTGTGGTGCTTACTTAATTGTGTGGGTATACACAGAAAACAGTTGTTGTTTAAGAAATTAGAAAAAAACTCTGAAGTACATGTTATACTAAGTCTGTACTTGTGTGTATACACAGAAAATAGTTGCATCACCGGGGCGTGGTATTTTGGCCATGGATGAGTCTAACGCTACCTGTGGAAAGCGTCTGGCCTCAATTGGGCTGGAGAACACAGAGGCGAACCGCCAAGCTTACCGGACCCTCCTCGTGTCAGTTCCCGGCCTTGGCCAATACATCTCTGGTGCTATCCTCTTTGAGGAGACACTCTACCAATCCACCACTGAGGGCAAGAAGATGGTTGATGTCCTAAAAGAGCAAAACATTGTCCCTGGTATCAAAGTCGACAAGGTTAGCCACTGTCTAAACTAAACACACACACAATTAATGTACAATTTAAATATGTGACTGTATATGCATATGGATAATGAATTTTAGGGCTAATAATTGTCTACCAAGAAGGCTAGTCGAGAGTTTCTTATTCATTTTTGATCTTATCCCATGAATCTAATGGACAAGAAATTCTCGACTAGACTATTAGGTCTGAATAGCATTGTCCAATACAGATATATTTGTTTTTTTGTATTGTGGGGGAATAAGACTAACATGTACGCTGGACAATAAGCACAACAGGGTTTGGTGCCTTTGGCTGGTTCCAACGATGAGTCATGGTGCCAAGGTCTTGATGGCCTTGCTTCCCGCACTGCTGCCTACTACCAACAGGGAGCTCGTTTCGCCAAATGGTATATATACATACATACATATATTATCACATATTTGACATATATAATAACAACTCATATATGTCAATTCTTACAAGTAAATAACATATTTACACCATATGTGATCAATTTCCAGGCGTACTGTTGTGAGCATTCCCAATGGCCCCTCTGCCTTGGCTGTGAAAGAAGCCGCTTGGGGTCTTGCCCGCTATGCCGCCATCTCTCAGGTAAGAAAACAAGTATAAGAACTTTGTTAACTGGCACACGACTGTTAAGTTTTAAGCGCTGAATAAGATTATCAAACAGGGTTGAAGAAAAACACACAAAAAAGGTGTTATCATTAGGAACCTTGGAGTAATCTGTGATTGAGAAAAATTTGCTAATTGACTTTGCAGGACAATGGGTTGGTCCCAATTGTGGAGCCAGAGATCTTGCTTGATGGTGAGCATGGAATCGACAGGACTTTTGAGGTGGCTCAGAAGGTCTGGGCTGAGGTTTTCTTCTACCTCGCTGAGAACAACGTCATGTTTGAAGGGATCCTCCTCAAGCCCAGCATGGTCACACCTGGAGCTGAATGCAAGGAGAGGGCTACCCCTGAAAAGGTTGCTGACTACACTCTCAAGCTCCTCCAAAGGAGAATCCCCCCTGCAGTTCCCGGAATCATGGCAAGTTTCACTAACTCCCTAAACACACACACACACACACACAAAATATACCAATTATACTAAATTATATACTAATGTCTTCACAATGTTGGTTTTGAGCAGTTCTTGTCTGGTGGGCAATCTGAAGTTGAGGCAACCCTGAACTTGAACGCGATGAACCAATCTCCCCACCCGTGGCATGTGTCGTTCTCTTATGCTAGAGCTCTCCAGAACACCTGCCTGAAGACGTGGGGAGGGCGTCCGGAGAGCGTGAAGGATGCTCAGGAGGCTTTGCTCATCCGGGCCAAGGCCAACTCTCTTGCTCAGCTCGGCAAGTACACCGGTGAGGGAGAATCTGAAGAAGCCAAGAAAGGAATGTTCGTCAAGGGCTACGTGTACTAAGCTGTTTCTCCAAGTCTATAGGTGAAGAAGAAGACGATGAAGAAGAAGAAGAAGCCACAGGGATGAAATTCTCTCTCCCAGTGTGTTGGTTATAGCCATGGAGACTATTTTTGTTCATTACATGTGTACTTTTAGCCATTTAATAATCTACCTGCTGATGAGACTGTTAGTGTGATTAACGCATTGTATACTAAAACAGTTCGAAGTTGGAGTTTGAACTTCTTCAAATATTCATGTGGTTTTAACAGCACAATTTCATTCATGGTTAATCCTTCGTGAAATGGTAAAAAAAAAAAATTGTGCTGATAAGCATAAAAATACTGTTGAAGGTTATATCTTTATCCACAATGTCCCTCCCTGCATCATCGCTCAACAATTAGTCACATTGATAATGGCCTTTTTTTTTTTTTTTCTCATAAGCACTTGAAAACTTCATCGTCAACTTAATAAATGATCTGCAGAAAATCCTTTTGGGTTGTATAGTTGATCAATCGAATTTGAAAGCAGTGTTTTAACAAGTTGTGAGGGTATTCCTTTCTGTTGACTTACAGTAGTCTCACCTACGGCCATTAACTCAGATGGTATGATCTCTCCTCTCATAAGGGAGGCTGAGTGTTTGAACACCGCTCGAGACAATATATTGCGTGTGTATATACAAAAACGAATGTCCTGCCGGTCTAGTTATAGTGCTCATGATTTCTCTACAATCTCTTGGATTTGAATGGAAAAGTTTTCATTTTTCGTTCAGTCTTTTGGATTTGAGATGGAAATGTTCTCTTTTTTGGTTCAATAATTCGAGTGCCATGCTAACAAAAAAGTTGGTATTTAGTCATGACAATCGCGATAAATTCATTACTTGGTAGATACATTGCATCCTGTGTAAGACGCAAACAATTACTACATGAATGGCTGCTTTGCTTTCAAAAATAATACAAAAGCAATATCGGCGTCGCAGTAATAGTCCCCTCGAGGTCCACATCTCTATGCATCCTTGAAAAAGAATGACAGTTTAGGTATCGATACGAAGCACCTATGGTAAAAGTTTGGACCACAAAATGTAAGAAATTATATTAATCTTTGATAACAAGTAAAATCACTGAAAGATGATCTATTTATCATCTTATGCGATTCACAAACAAATATAAAAAAACCTGAAAAAAGTGGGCAGTCAACCATTACAAATTCAGAACTTCAAAAAATAATTATTGCCACAGGCAAAGGAAATGAGTAAATGTGCAAGAGACAAAGGAAGAATGAGAAAGCCATAGCCACTGCAACATTACTGGGAATGCGAGAAAATGTGAGTGAAAAAAAGACTAATTGAAACAAAATTCTAAGCCCCCATGCTAGTTTCGTGCCTCTTCGTCACCTGAAATCTCTCTCCAAATCACCCGAGTCTATTTCTTCGTCACTAATATATGCTTTAATTATTCACTAAACATTGAGTATTAATCTATGTACAACTACTCCTGCTTCATGTCATTCAGGACATGGATGCTTTGTACCCAAGATGAATAGTTGCTAATTTTTGGGTGGTAATATTCATAAGTAAAGTTAAATTATAGATTCATTTACTTTTCTTAACTTAAACTGGATATGTCACCTCATTACATAATTTCTCAGTTCAACTACACAAACATTGAAATTTTCCAAAAAACAAAGCAAAAAGAATCTGAAGTTATGCAACGGGTACCACTAACAATTACAATTCTAATTCGTTCCGAGAACAATACGAAGTTTAGTTGATAAAAATACAAATTCTCGTCATCTAACCCAATCGGAAGAGCAGAGACCCTTGTTCAGTCAACAAGCATGAAAGAAACTTTTCCACAAGATCTGCAGCCACAGAGTGAAGAGAAGAAATATTTTCAGATTATTTTTATACTAGCACTTGGTTAAAATGTCCGTCCCATAAAATCAACCATACAAAGTTTTCTAGGGAAAGGGAAACAATTGCCAGACAGCTTATGCAGGATAAACAAACTAATTGAACAGCATCATAGCTCTAATTTTTTTTCTTTTGGGTCTATTCTTAAACTAATTTACAAAGCATAAGTCAAAATCTGGATTTATATACATCAAAAACCTCTGTCACAACAGCAGCAAGGCATGGATATCAAAAAGAAGGCATCAGCAAACTAGAACATCAAAGGCAATCATAAGAACAAAACATTTTTTATTTGTGTATATCTCATTTATATACATGCTGAAAAAGTAATTTCATGGCTAGCCAACAACATTACGTGTATGTGCAGATTCTGTTTTATTTTGTTAGTAGGAAAGCAAGAAACAAAATGGATAATCACCAACTCTTTTTCCTTTTGTTCCATTTCTTCACACCTTTTGAGAGGGAGAGCAAAAAAGGGAGGGGGGAGCTGCCTGAAGGGATCTCATTGTCCTCCCATATCTTTTCTTTTCTCTCCCATAGAGATTCCCAAACAAGAGATAGTTATTTCCCTTCCCCACTTATATTCTCTATTTCCTTCCAATTTTTTCCTCCTAAACATGATTTATGATAAATTTGAATAATTCAGAGATACGTGTATACTCAAGCACATACTATTGACCATCTTAATAATCAATATTTTAAAATATATATATAATCTCTATTAAATAATAATGTTTTGAGAAACCACATTTCCTTCATGGTGAATAACCTTGTGTTCCATCATTATGCTTAAATTCGTATGCTCTTTTTTTTTTTTTTTTGATGACGTGAGAACCCCTGCAACTACCCTTTATTCATTATATATCCTTGTGCCAACTTGGATAACACAAACTGCTAACTTTAGAAACATCTCCAACACTTCTATCAATGACTTTGCTGTTAAGCAGTCACTTAACAATACAACATGAAGCAATGCATATAATTTAAAGGAAGCACCTTTACTTGCATTCACATTTATAATGTACAGCGGGATTATGGAAATATGGATGATGTGAAAATATTAAACTCAAATTGTTCAGGAGTAACAATAATGTTTCCAGAAATTAATAAGACCATAAGAAGCCCTTTATAAAACAAGAAATGAGAAAAATAAAAGCTAAGTGAACCAGCAGTAGCGATGTAGAATGTACCTTAATTACTTTTCAAAATCTCTTTCTAGAGATCTAACGGGAACCACGCTTGCAGATTCATAATTAGTCCCGCTCAGAACATCCATTCCATGTTCCTTAATACAACAGCAGGCACAATTCTTATCGAGTTACTTAACTGTGACATCATAACTATAGTTCTCAATTTGTAAATAGAACTCCGATATAAGGGTAAAAATTACAAAATAGAACCCTACTTAAGAAATAGATACATAGTTGGAGACTAAAAAAAGCCTACCTGGTGATTTGAAGACTGCCCATGTATACGTTGGGGCCTGGAATTAAGATCAATCATATTATTGCCCATCTTGCCACAACCATCAGTATTGGTGTGCGGCACTGGAACAGATGTCCTGTGATTTTGCGGTCTCTCTCTTGTTGTAGTCTTAGATGGCTGATTTTGTTCTCTCCTTATTTCACCTGGAACAACAGGTTGCGAACCTACCTCATCAAAAAGGCCAATTTTATCCCCTGGAAACTACCGAACACAAAGAGGGAGAAAATTTTAGGTGGTCATTTGTATAACAGATAAATAAACCTGAACTAGAGCTCTCTAGTGCTAAATTACAGACCTCAATTCTTTGCCTCAGAAGGAGATATCTTCCATGTGTTCTTTTACCTCCAACATGTACAATCATATCGCATTGCAGGCAAAGGGAACTCCCATCGATCTCACAGTAAAAGAAAGCTGCATACACGAATTCAAGGGGAGAAGAAAATTTCATACCTCGGTAATGAATCTACTGAAGTACAAGAAGAAAACCAAGCGAAAGTAAAATGAAAAAGGGAGAGAAACAAAAATAATGCATACCAGGTGCATTTTCACATATATCACAACGGGGGACCTCACTAGGGTCAGCAAGCCCAACCCGTACATGCCGACTAGCAAGCTTGTTACACATGTGGACCTGCCACGCCAATTTACAAAATGCCAAGGAAAACAGCAATAAACGTTTTAATACGATGCAAAAACAACAACTGATTATTAGTGTAAATCACAAGGGCACTGCATCTTATGAAATATTTAATTAAACAAATAACAAAATGTGACCATGTGGATTTGAGTCCGAAAGCAGTAACATTGTGCAAAATAATGTCGAAAGGGTTAGCTTAATCTCCAGTCTTTTCCTCTCAACACCTTGTGCAGGTCAGACCAACACATCGGAATTGCCTTCCCTTCATAGGAATTAACTCGGCACTAGTTCATACGCATAATACAGATTTATGCTCAACATAACTGGCAATATATATGCCTTATTCAACCGAATTCCCAATCTAAAAATCACAAAGAGTGGCCAAACTTCCTAGTTATTAGCTCTCAATTCGATACGTTCATTTAGTCATCCTTCACCCAAAAATACTCCAACCTAATTCAGGAGCAGCCCCATGTACATCTCATTCTTTACCACAAAAAAATTGGTATCATAAGCTTTCTCATTTGGAAATGAACAACTCACATTTCAACTCATTCCCAGATTTTGTATAGCACTTATTGACTATTTAATCAATTCTAATTTATCCAGCATTAATGAAAACAAATAAATAAATAAATAAACCAAAAAACACTTTTGATATACAATTACAGATTAACAATAACCAGATCCATTCTAATAATTAATTGTCAATAATAAAGATTCAAGAAACCTACAAAATAGACTTCCGAACATATATATATATATATATATATATAATAGAACAAGAGCATAGATACACGTGTGTGTATATATAATACATGTATATATGCATATGCATGTGTTTATATATGAAAGAATTGAATGGATGATATGGATACCTTTTCGTCGCAAGGACGGCAAAGAGCAGCCTCGTCTGCGGCGCAGAAAAGGATCGCAGCGGCACTCTCACAAACGTCGCAAAGTGTTCGCATAATTCCTTCTTTTCTATCTTCTCATTTTCGACTCTTCAACAAGCCCATCCTTCACCGTCCGATGAAGAAGATTCAAAAATCAGAAGGTATTATCGGTTTAGAGAGAGAAAGAGAGTAGAGAGGGAAATAGTTGGGGCTTGAGGTTTTCTTATAAATGGCGACGAAGAGTAGTGAAGAAAGGCCCTATGAGAAAGCTGGAGAAAGAAAGGAAAGCTTGCTCGCTGGTGCACATTAACTTATAATTCAACGGGCATTTTGGTAATTGAAGGTTAATTTTTGTTTTTTCTATTTGGGACATCATTGAAGTTTGTTTAATAAACTGTTTAGTGCGTGAAAAGAAATAAAAAATTGACAACCTGTTTGGTAGGAGCGAGACAGAAGGAAGTTGGAGGAGAAAGGAAAATGGATAATGATGAATACTCCTATATTGCTTTGTTTGGAAGGAAGAAAGGGGAGGAAGTGAAAGGGAGGAGGAGAATCACTTAGTTTTGGAATTTTCATAATTTTATAATAAAAGTGGGAAGTAAAAAGTTTTATCCTTTGTAAAAATTTATTATCAATGATAAAATGTTCAAATCACACTAATTTCTTCCTTCATTATTTATTTATTTTTCATTTATACTCGACAAAAGAAATAAGATGCTTTTCTTTTCTTTCTTTTTGGGTAAGCAAAATTCAAGTTCCAAAATAAAACATCCATAATAGGAATTGTAGAATTTTTTGTGAAATGTTGGTTGATTCTAATATTGAGCTAGGGCTAGGGTTTTGTATGTACGAACCGGAGGTACGATAACAAATGATACATGACATAAAGTTTTCTTATAATACCATTTTCTTCGTTCAAATAGTGGGAGATGGTGACATTAAGTATAGATGGGCCATGGGGGACTTTGAACACCAAATCATGCAAAGGTGTTAGGGGTTGTTTGGGGGAACCTCCTTTAATTTCTTGAATTTATGCAAAAGCAGACATGAGATACTAATTTATGGTGTTTATTTGTTATTTCTATGAACTTTTTCATGATCTTTACTTTAATTCCATATGAATGGAGTTTAAATAAATTAAGTTTCAATCTCTTAAAATTTTCTTTTACTTCTATTTTATTTTACATTGCACGCATAATATAAGATACAATTCAACTACGAATGAAAGTAGAATCTCTCCGAGCCTCTTTTTTGTTTTTTAGTAAGCAAACAAGGTAAAACACAATCCTCACAATTAAATTGCATGGTAAACTTAGCTATACAAATGTAAGAAACATTTATGATTTTTTTTTTTTTTAAATGTTGGGAATTTAGTTTGAGATAGTGAAAAGTGCTAAAAATGGAGAATAATTCAAATTTGTAAAAGTTGCAAGAAAATAAAATTTTATTTATCCAAAAAAAAAGTGTTTCTTGATATCCACAAGAAAAAGTGTAAATGTTTAACATGCATCACTTTTTAATGTCAAATATTTCGTAATTTTTATTTTCTAAATGATATTGAGTTTTGAATCATTTTTATTTTCTATATAAAAGAAACATTAACCTTAAAAGATTGTTCGTTGAATAAGAACAAATTAGACAAATAATTGCAAATAATTTTTGTTTTTTGGAATTTACTTTACTGAAATCAAACATATGAAAAAAATAGTAATTCATTCACTTCCAAATCTCATGTTAGGAACTTTCCTTTTTTTTTTTTTTTGGTCAATTTGTTGCACGAGGCAACGAGGGGAATAGAGAAGTGACCACGTGAGATGTGAGAAAACAGCGGAAAATAATGGGGTCCACAGAGATTCGAGAAGGTTTGATGGCTTGGCTTTTGTGAAATGGGCCCACAAACAAAGACCAGAATAAAGAAGCCAACTTTAGGCGGAGTATTCTATCAAGTCTTGTACAAGTGCGACCGCACATTCACAGCCACAAGCTTTCAGAGAGGTACATTGTGAGAGATCCATTGTCCATTCTCACCCACCAATCACACATCTGTGCTGTCCCACCCATGTTTTTTCTATTTTTTTTCTTTTCTTCCCTCTTTATCCAAACAGTCATGATGCTTTTTTTTTTTTTTTTTTTTTTTTTTTTTTTTTTTTTTTTTTTTTTCATGGAATTAAGAAATAATTTGGTTTGTTTTGCTTATAATTGAAGTGACTCTAGTTATCATTAAGAAACAAAAATTATTTGATTTTCTTAAATTAATTTGATATAAGTAATACGTTGATACACAGATCTGATTGGAATAATAGGAACTTCAAATAAAAGTAGAAATCGACTCAAAATCATTCAAAAAAAAATTCATTCAACTTTCAATTATACCACTAAAGATTTGAATTCTTGATTGAAAGGAGCGGATATGCAATTTGAACTAAGTTAGAGTTTTTTTATCTTTTCAATAGATAAATTATTCATTTATCTTATTTGGAATTGAAATTTCAGCCTTCTATTTTCAACAGGAGATATTGCTTATATTAAGATATTGCTCAGTAAAATTAAAAATTAATTATTGAAAATTTTAAGATTTACAATCTAAAAGAGTATTAATTTTAAGAACTAATCATATATTGAAATTTGTTAATTCTTTTGTTTGAGTTTAATTATTTGTCTAAAATCTTTCCCGCCTAAAATTTTCTCTTATTCTACCTGCCACTTGTTTTAAGTGGTATCCTTTGTGAGTAGGGATGGCAATTTTCTTTGATTTGGCGGGTTTCCATCCCGCCCTTACCCCTAATGGAGTGAATTTAGTGGCCACTAAATGAGTTTGGGATAAATATGATAAAATAATTGAAAAATCGAAGCAGGTTTAGGGTAGGGGCGGATTTAGTGATGACCCCTCCTCAATTATATATGTACATTTTTTTTTTTAACTACATAATAAAGGTTGCATAATCCCGTCTGCCCTTGTCGCACCCCGTAATTAAACGGAATATATGGGGCGGAGTCGGTATTTTGTTTACTAAGGACAGAGATAATATAACAATTACAAATCCGTTCCGAAATAGAAGCTAAGTTGGTATGATAAATTTTTTAATAAAGTGGAATAGAATTTAGCCAACTCCACCCATTGCCATCCCTATTTGTGGGCTATCAAATAACATTAAATTCTTTTTTAATATTTTGTTAGTTAAATCTTATTGGAATTGATGTATTTGTTAGTCTAATATTCAATTTTCAGATTCAGGTTTTTTTTTTTCACCCTCTTCTTCACTCTAACCCTTTGTTTTTTATTATGAAAAAAAAAATTTAATTCTACTAAACCACAAGCCTAGTGGTAATTCTGATTAATAACTAATTAGTTGGAGGAACAAAATAATCTTCAGATTGTTGAAACGGATTCAAATGGCCTCGATCCAGCCAATTAGTAAAAGGCCCATCTAATACGGACCGAATTTTATCGTTTGTGGCGTGAAAAATGGGCTGTTCTGAATTTATCCTTTTATATATAAGTGAATTTTAGCATTTCCTTGTTTGTAAGTTATATACTTAATTGGGCCTTGGTAACCCAAATTCAACTAGATTGATTCATTTCATGTTTTTAAATTATATACTTAATTGGGCCTCTTGGACTGAAAAAACAATTGGGCCTCGGTAACCCAAGTTCAACCAGATTGAGATCTACCTCTAACACTGCCATGACTAAAAACTTATACAAGTAATGCATTACATCGTGTTGTAACACTCATTAAATCGATAATTTAACATTTTTACATAATTATTCACTATCGATTTAAATCTATTGTGTTATTAATTTAAACGAATTGAAAGATATTGAATTTAAAATTGAACGAAAGACGTTAAATGTATTGTGTTATTAATTTAAACGCATTGAGAAATATTGAATTTAAAATGGGACGACGATTCCCTTTTATAGATGGTCTCTCCCTGTCTTTGAATTGTCTTGCGCCTCTAACATGAGCTCATATGATATTTTCCTAAAACAATAACTCTGTTTTCGTAATTAGTGTATGTAGAGAGAACAACTAAAAATACACGTCTGAACTCCCACATTAATTACATAAATGATTAGTCTCTCATTCAAATTTGCATTCATATGGTTGGTGTTTTATATATTTCAACTAATGATACTTAAATTCATAACCTCTAATAATTGAACGTTTTGAGGAACGACATTGCTTTCACATTACTTAATAGCTCGTACTTCAAAAAAAATCGATTCAATAGATATTAGAATTAGGAATATATATTAGAAAAAATTACATCAATTTACATGCACAAATTACATACTTTATTGATAATAATAAAAAAGACACTTTAACTCAAGTATTTGGCACATGTGTGTGGTTCTTTAATTTTGCAAAATCAATCGTTTAGAATATATTTTAGTGTTAACAAAATGGTATGTGCTCACATATAACTTATGATTTGAGAAAAATCATTATTTAATTATAATGTATAATCGTCACCATTAGCAGAAACTCAGCTCCTTCTCATAATGTTACAGAACCAATTGTTTGAATAGCAGCAGGTGAAGCAAATGAATGTGAGAGAGAGAGAGAGAGACGTGCTGGTGATCATTATTTTCTTCAATGGTTCAGGAGGTTGGACCAACAATTAATGACGAATAATTATACCATGTCACTCCATATGTTACTAATGCAATAATAGTCAATAATTACCTCATAGTTCATCTCTAACTTTCTATATTTTTTACTACGTCGTATATTTTAAACTACATAGTAGAATTTTGGTGCAGCGGCAACGAGTTGTGTAAGGGAACACTTTGCTAAAAAGTTGTCATTTCTAATATTCCCAAAACTAAAACGAAGGGAAAAAATTAAGCCTAACACAAAAATAGTGAGAAACTGTATAAAAAATTTTATTTGGTTCAATTTTCTGAAAACTGTTTATGAAAACTCAATTATAAAAAGGTTGTTTATTATTTTCATATAACTGTCTTTTATTGAATCTTGATTTATTGTGTATTAATTGTTTCAAAATTTAATTTATTATGAATTAGTTTATAAAATTTTAAATATTTTTCTTCAATTTTAAGATTTTCCATTATATCAATGGTTGTGTGCATGTGATTAGTTAAAAAAAAAAAAATAAGAAAGAAAAAGATATTAAGGTTTAAATGTATCAAAACATTTTCAAATACTTTAATATTAAACCAAAATGAAACTCAAAACAAACATTTTAATTAAATACTAAACCTAAATCACGAAACTCACTCATCTAAATTTCAAAACCTAACATATTAATCAAAAATATAAATTTCAAAACCTAACATATTAATCAAAAATATTAAAGCACACCTCCTCCCTAGTATTAAAGCCTCTTCCCTCTTCTTTGTGCGTCTTTGTAATAGGAGTTCTTGA